TCCACTGGACAGGAGGCTGGAAAAGCAGCAGAACAGATCTGGACGATGTGGAGTAGAAAACAATTTCTTGCCCCCCCCCTTTTTTTATTTGTTTCATTCTGGCCCGTCACACTAACAATATCATGGAAAGTTAAAACAGTTCCGTCTAGTGTGATTGGTGAAGATTTTTCTTATTTCAATTATTTATGCCCTTACATGTTTCGGTCTTCAGAGACCATCTTCAGAGGGACACCTTTACATCAATACAGTTAGAAGCCACTATTACAATATATGTTCTGAAAATTAAGATATATACATACAATATAAATAATATACAATTGGCTGTAAAATCTAAAGTCTTTACAACCGCAGCGGCTGTTCCAATACTTTAAAATATTTATAACTGGTTTGTTAAGACTCTACTGGAATTCGTAAACCAAGCAGGTTCGTGTCGTCCCTCTTATTAGTTCTCTTGACGGGGGCTGAACGGGTGCCGAACGTGTGCCACCTTGTTCTTGAGAAGAGGGTTCTTGATGTTGTCCTGTATGTGTTTGTGGCGCGCTGTATTGTAATAGTGGCTTCTAACTGTATTGATGTAAAGGTGTCCCTCTGACGATGGTCTCTGAAGACCGAAACATGTAAGGGCATAAATAATTGAAATAAGAAAAATCTTCACCAGTCACACTGGACGGAACTGTTTCTTGCCCCTTGAGGAAATCGAACCCCGGCTGTGCAGCTCATAGCCCATCCTCATACCGACTGAAGTCTATCCGTGAATATAGTTTACAGATAGTCACACCCTACATGTGTGAAAAGCATTATGATACAGACTATCCAACACAATCTCTTTTCTCCTTCTGTCACCCTTCCTTTTCTGATCCCCCTTCTCATGCTGAGACCTGTCCGTTCTCAATCTGCTGTTGTATGACTCAGTTCGGTTTTCTATATTGTCCATGGAAGGACCCTTCAAACTTCAAACCCAAGCAACAGCCGCCATTGACGATGCGTGCTGAGTCACGTAGAGTGTACAGGATCCTCACTGTGACAAAATATGTCCCAATCAATACTGCATAGGGAATATACTAAGGGTGATTAAAGGGGAGTGCACCGACAATTTGCGGCAGACTATCATGTCATTCTTTTTCTTACCGTTCTCAGATAATCGATATAACCAACAGAAACCATAATATTTCCCCCACTAATTCTAGAGAGTCCTTGGTATTGCATCATATATACTGTATATGATGCAATACAAGGACTCTCTAGAATTATACAGTGACAATTGCTTTTGACATGCTATACATGTCATCTTATCTTCCAAATTCAGGATCTTAGTTACATCCACAGCACCACAACAAACATTCTACACGAACAATATTGTGACATATGGGCCGACTGTAAACATTCTCGCGGCAACGAATACAGGCAACAATAGAACTGCCGTTTCTATGTGACGGCCGGTAAACACCTTCCCCCTAAGAACGTCACAATAATAGGGAATCCATTGCTACAAGATACGCTCTGTGACCAGTTGCTAGGTTACGCAACTATTCTGAATAGAAGAGGTTCTCTATGCGGTCAGTGCCGCGGCTATATAACGAGAGCTGTGAGGTGTAGGATTAGGGAACCCATGTTAAGAAAAGGTCGAATACCTCTACCATGACCCTGCGAGTCGTAGGAGGCGACGAAAAGGGAAGTGTCAAATCTGAGACAGTACCATATGGTCACGAGTCCCAAGGGACTCGGACCCGAGAAAGACTGTGCTGGCAAGGGCCAGCAGCATATACAAAAGACAGACCCGTCCTCTCGTCAGAGAGGTCACCCCACAGGAACAAGACCGCATCTGTCACAGTAATAAGTGTCTGGTCGTGATCCCCACATGGGGTTCGACACCAAGACTTCCTGACTGACTAGAGCGACCTGGAACTAGAAGTAGTACAGAGTCAAATTCAGATTTCAGATTTCTCACGAGGCAGAGTGAACCCCGTTCTAGACTCACTACTTCTCAGAAAATCTGGTAGCGCCGGGAATCGAACCCGGGACCTCTGGATCTGTAACCAGGAACTCTGACCACTGGACCACAGAGGCGATCGAAAAAAAAAAAAGACAGGACGAGGGAAATATCTTTCTCCTCACTCTCACTTCACTTAAGAACACTTCTTACCAAACCAAGAAGTTGAGAACGGCATACTTCATCTTCCCCTCCTTTGCCCGCCCGTCTCAACATTTTCGATGACATGACTCACCGCACCTGGTGCAGTGTGAAGTAGTTAAGTAGTAACAGGTGTAACTGGCCGAGCCATAGTTCAGGCGGCTAGGTGCCGGCTTCCCACAGCGGCGCCACGGGGTCGTGCCCGGGTCAGGTCATGTGGGATTTGTGGTGGACAAAGTGGCACGGGCAGGTTTATTCCGTGTGCTTCGGTTTCACCTGACAATTCTCATTCCACCGACTGCTCCACACTCATTATCTATCCTCTGGGGCTGGTACAACAGGCCAGTTTGTAGCAGACTCAGTCTCACCGCAACCAAAGAAACAAAACCCTAAAAACAACACGTGCAATTGATGCTGTCTCAAAAAAGGATAAGTTATTTTACCCTGAAAGGAATGGATTTTCGAATTTCGTACAAACTCACTAATTAATATCCAATAACACGTATCTCGATTCAATATATCTCATGATATTCCTCAGTCCTTCCAGGCAAATGCCAGGATGGTACCTTAAAATTAGACCACAGCTTCTTTCTTCTGGGGTCACGCGGTAGCGTAGTTGGTTGAGGCACTATGCTACAAGTCGGAAGGTCGCGGGATGGAATCCCGATTAGGTCATTGGATTTTTTCAATTGACCTAATCCTTCCGGCCACACTATGGCCCTGGGGTCGACTCAGTCTCTAACAGAAATGAGTACCAGGAATCTTCCTGGGGGTAAAGGTTGGCCGGTGCATAAGGCTGACAACTTTACCGCCATCTGTGAGCCGACTGTCTAGAAAATGTGGGAACCTCAACATCTCACAACCCTATGGGTCTCCACGGCCTGTTACGGGGATACCTTTACAGCTACACTGAACGCGCTACGAGAAACCATCGAAGCGTCGTGTGCAGCCATCACAGCAGACAGCCAGCCGTATTTCGCTCAGCAGTTCGGCGGCATCGACGCTGTTTAGCCGCTGATGGTGGTCACTTCGAACACATAGAATGACTCTCTCTCCCTCCGCGCAAGAATTGTAACTACATGTCATTTTGTTCCAAAGATACTATCAAAGACTGGGTACATTTTTTTGGACCCGTGTGTGTATATATATATATACACATATACATACTTACGGAGCCGAGCCCTTCTGGAGGAGCCGCCAATTCTGCAGCTACTCAAGGATATGGAACCCGAAGGTTCATTACAGTGTTCATAAGAGCCCTCCACTGGTCCCTATCCTAAGCCAGATCTATCCAATCCATAACATCCCATCCTACCTCTCTAACAACCATTCTCATATTGTCCACCCATCTACGCCTTGGTCTTCCTTGTGGTCTCTTTTCTTCTGGCTTTCCCACTAATATCCTATACGCATTCCAAGTCTCCCCCATTCCTGCTACATGCCCTGCCCACCTCATCCTCCTTGACTTGATCATTCTAATTATACTTGGAGAAGAGTACAAGTTATGAAGCTCCTCATTATGTAGTTTTCTCCAACCTCTCGTCACTTCATCCCTCTTCGGTTCAAATATTCTGCTCAACACCCTGAATCTATGTTCCTCCCTTAATGTCAGAGACCAAGCTTCACACCCATACAGAACCACAGGCAAAATTATAGTTTTGTATATTCTAATTTTTACGTTTTTGGACAACAGACGAGAGGGCAGAAGGTTCTGGATTGAATGGTAGCAAGCATTACCAGAGTTCAGTCTCCTCTTAATTTCCTCCTGAATCGGGTTTCGATCTGTTATCGTTCTTCTCAAATATCTGAACTGTGCCACATTTTCAGAATATCTGTTTCCTATCTTTATGTCACGATTCTGCCCTGCATTTTGGTGACAAGGCAGTAACATATATATATATATATAAGTAAATAAAAATTCTTGCCAATGAGCTTACAAATTCCTCTCTTAGCTTCTAATGAAAATCTTAGAAACCTTCTCTATAAACTTGTACAAATAGTAAAGACGGTCTCATTATCACGTATACGCTATATTACTTCACATTCAGACTAACAACTAACCTATTCAACTGTACCGTCGTATTTTGATTTAATAATGCATTCCACATTAGTCCCCCTAGTTCACTCCAACATTCCTAAAGCTCAAGGCTGACCTATTTTTCAGTATTTTAACCCAAATTAAGATAAGATCCTACTTGTTCTATTACAAAGTCAACCCATGGGAATTAAATAAGTGTTAAAGAAATGGTAAAATATTAACCTATTTTCAGAAGTTAATATTTTACCATGAAAAGTGAAGAATTATATAAATCGAGCGATCAGGGCATTACAGACAGCAGGTCCCACAATTTGGAGCTTATGTCAAACTGATGGAATAACGTAAGTTTTGTGGCTTTCACGGCGATGACTATGAAGAAAGTCGTCTTCTGGGTTTTGGCCGACGTTTCGGAGGAACGTATCGCAGAAGCGTTTACGCCACTGCTCTGCATTCACAAGCCATTCACCTGCTCTGAAGATGGAGGCGATACGTTCCTCCGAAACGTCGGCCAAAACGAAGAATACACGGCGCCAAAACCCATAAGACGACTTTCTTCATTGATGTAATAATGTCTGGGTCCTGGTAAAATTGTGCTCCTAAGGACCTCTCTTTAGGGAAAACTATCTTTGCAACTCAATCGCAATGAAAACGTTTTCAAGAAGCTTCTATAGGACTGGCACTTGATTTCGAAGGCACATTTCCAGCCCCAATGATACAAACTGAAAACTTAAAGCCGAGTACTTCACACATACTATTCCACCCACAGCTTAACACAATAAATAGTAGGAATTGTTGGGTAATTAACAAATAATTTAAAGAACTTGGTTTAATTTTAAATTTTTTTTCCTTGTATTTTTACCATTATATATATTTACAAAACTCCTAAAACAGAGTTGAAATAAATTTAGATTAAAGCGAATTTACATAGCCACCGTGAATCAATCACTAGACAACCTGTAATCTCTTTACAACAGGAAAACAAAAATTCTTAGGAGCGCAGAGAGTTCCATTAAAGGAAAATAATCATTCGTAGCTTTCAATTTTGCTAGTTGCAAGTGTCAAACAAATTGCAATAATCGGAGTACACTGATTCCAGTTAACAGTAGCATTATGCGTTTCTGGCAACACTGCGTTACAATAATCTGAACCCTCCAGTCCATTCTTGGTCCCTTATTCAACACCCTCTTTTCCAGTCGCTGTCTGAAGGGTTCACAAAGAGCCTCCTGGGTGCAGACACCTGGCCCGAGTTTCCTTTATAGCAGATCAGGGTAGAGATCCCCCCAGTCCACGAGAATGCAGAAGGGGGAGTGAGAGGAGGGGCAAATTTCAACCGGTCCCACAACGCCTGTCCTTCACAGCAGTCAGGATCGGTAGTTTTCACAAATTAAAATCGAAACATTAATGAGAAGTGATTTCCAACTTTGGCCTTCACCAATTTAGGTCCGTTGCTAAGTAAATATGTGGGGCTTTTTGTATATAAGTACCAATATAAAATCTGCCTAGGCTTTGAAACTAGTATGATGCAGAAACCAAGTACAAAATCATTAAAGACAATTCCACACATCTTTTAAAAAAATATCATTTACAACTCGTTTCAGAACACTGAATCATACATTTTTAACACAATACTTAGAAAAATATACTGTATGATTTTATCTTCTGGGTTAGACCTCCGTGTACAGCTCGCCGCCGTATCATACACTGGCAATTTAAACACAGAACTGCTCAACTGTCTTTCACTACTATGTTCAGTTCAATATCACACAGCTTCCTGCAAACGTCCCATTGTACATTCCTATTCAAAGATCACAAAGTTCGTTGGATTAATGTGTTTACGTTTACTACCTGCTGGTCGTGGCAACACTGCTCGGTTTCGATGTAGCAACGGCTTGGGTAGTGAACCCTAAGCAGAGATTTTAAAGACAGAGGGATGGGGGTAGCAACAATTTTGCCGTAACGGAAAACTACGAAGTGGGGGGCTCTTTCTTCAAAGAACTAGTACAGACGGACGTTGCCTATCACGAGAGGGGGTGGAATGAGTCAATGGATACAGCGTAACGAACTGTCTGATTCACTTTCGGCATGTCTACGCGATATACAAAAACCGGTGGATTGTCAATTGTTTTACCATCTTTACACATGGATTGTCCGTTATTTTAATTACATCTTTACACAGTCATCGCAAGAAACGGCCTCTGTTGCAGAACATCAACACCCTCCTTGGCTTGAGACGAACACAGGTCTGGGGTGGATACCGAACGGGTTAGCTTCCCAATTCCCGTTCCCGCCGACATGTCCGCAGCTACCGCTGCCGCATTTCCTGCAAGGCTGCCGAAACTGAATATGGACACAAGGCTTGTAATACGATCGATTTCCATTGTCGTGGACCCTTTCTCATCATCCTGAACAGTCACATCCTCTTCATCTTCTTCGCCGCATGTCACAACACAGTCCGCCAGCAGGGAAGCGTCGTCCAGGAACACGGAGTCATCACCCTCACAACACGCAGCCGATGTCTTCGCACGCTTGGGTAGAATAGTTGAAATAGCTTCTTCTGTCTCCCACTCCCCAACAGCCCTCCGTCTCTTAAGGCACCTCGTCGAAGAACACGTACTTGTTGCATTCGATCTGTCTCGTAGAACACTCTCTCCACGAGCGGGTGATTTGTCCAGGTCTAAATATGTAGGGACTTCACTCTGAGGAGTGGCGGGATTTGTGTGATATGGGGGTGGCGTTTGGTTTTCTTTGTCATCTTCATATGATGGAAGGGAGGACGTGATATTATCTGCACACCGTACACAGGACGTTGAAGGTTGAAGAAATTCTTGGAGATGGTTAACTCCGGACGACGCGTCTTCGGAGTGTGGTGTTGTATGTTGTGAAGATCCACTGCCAGCCTCCTCCGGTGTTAAAGCTACAAGTCCTTCATCGTCGTAGTTCTGCTCGTATTCGTCTTGCTGCTGCTGCTGATCCTGCGGGGTTGTTGCTGTGGTTGATGTCGTGTAACCACCACCACTGGCACCACTCTGTTGGGATTGAACCATGTGGTATGCTTCCTCCATGAAAATGTAACGCGCCTTCTGGAGAACCGTAGCAACCAAAAGATTTTTGTGGAGGCTAACACCGCCGCGTTGGGCGCGAGACTGCGCTATTTTAGTCAGAGAAATGCTTATTAGTCTCTGCGCTTCTGTTGCCATCACTATTAGTGTACTTACTGAAGCGGCCGGAATATAAAAACGATAAAAGAAAAACTTGCTGCAATTATACCACTTCCAAGAACTTCACCACACGCGAACTTCTGGTATTCCAACAACAGTATATCTCACGTAGACAATGTTGCAACCCGAGATGAAGCGAAAAACAAACTGTGCACCATAACCTACACGCTTACCACTTTCAACTAGAATGGCAGTTAATGTCACTACTACCCATATAAGTAAGTTTCCGTTGCCCTGACGTCACGGCCTACTTATCAACCAATCAGTGGACGTCCTTCGTCATTTAAAAGAGGCGACTGAACTGCCTCCTACGGGAAAGCACCGAATCTTCTTACACGTAGCCTTAATGGATAGATACAATAAGGTCGAAAATCGTAAATTATTGTCTCGAACCAGATACTGCAAATATACGAAATCTGCTTAAACATCGTAAGCCAATTAAAACCCTATCGTACATGTACTTAGCACTAGAGTATGACGGAAGTTGTGAATGACGTTTTTCTATAAAAAATGACCCTGTGTTATACACTTTGTTTTGTTCCTTTTCACAGGCTTATTCACCCATGACTACTTATTCCTTTACGTTGGACATTACCCATAGTTTCGATTGAAATACTAAAACCTTGCATGTATAACATAATGAGGGCTATAATCGCTATTACAAGTGTCTTGACTGATCGACAACCCCCTTCCTTTGTACAGTCCTCAAAAGTTATTGAAATTGCACTTTTGGTATGAGAATGTTCATACGGGTTTTAAATTAAACGAAAATATATTTTCATTAGTTTTAAATGGTTTGTTGAAAGTTCTATTTAAATAATCGCATAGCATCTGCCATCTGTTGGCGTAACACTATAAGTCAAGCATTAGTAACGGCCTGACATCTATACAGAACATTCGGATTTATTTCACGCGGAGGAGCGAGTGATCGATTTCTTTGGAGACAAAACACAGGCCTTTATAGTGAGCACTGGACGCCATCAACCCCGAAAAATTCACTAGCGACTTTAGTTCCTTGTGGGAAATGTAGCGACAGAGGCAGAGGATATAATAGGTCGTGACACCTTGTAAAAGTTTAGGGATATAGGATACAGGCGGAACGTTACTAATGTTACTTCGAAACAGTAGTTTCATGTACCACACTTTCCGTAAGGACGCCATACTAAACAAACTCACTGGAATAACTGCTATAATAAAAACAATGGTGTGAATTTTTAAAATGGAACAGCAAACGTATCAAATTTCCTTCAAAAATATTTGCTATATACTAAGCAATTGTGCTTCAAAATAATATCAGTAAAGGAGCTCTTGCATTTCATAATGCAAGTAGTTATCATCAAAATACTAGAACACATGAAATGGAACAGAATGGATTAAAAACAATCATACACAAAGACATAGATCTAAAACACAAAAATACAGCCATATTTCAAAAGTTAGAGGTTATGTATTAAAATCATTTCAGTCATCATCTTAAGAACATTAAGGTTGGACTGCATCATGATGTGGTAAAATACAAATTTTCATTGTGTCTGTAGCCCCATTTTAATATTATCTTCCCATTTATAGGTAGGTTTCAAAACTAAATTTCCCAGTCAGAATGTTATACTACAACTTTCCTGGTTACTGTCTAATGGTGTGACTTATCTGGTTGATTCATTACACAAACAGTATGCTGCCCATTGTCTGAGGTATATTTGGGGTGGTTGGGTTATACAGACGAGTTGCTAGGAATGGTACTTAGATCTCTCGGAGGGGGAAGGAAGTCAGAACCCAGTCCAGGTTAGTATGGTGTCACAGCCTGAAGAACTTTGGGGGGGGGGCAGTAACTGAAGCATGTTTTCATGTAGAATGACCCATAATGATACAAAATTTAATTAAATATGTATTTAGATGTAGCCCTATAAATTCAGGTAAGAGGAAACTTCATTTAAACATTATGGAGAATAAGAAACTATGGAAAACTTAATGTGTTCAGAAGACCATTGTTGACTGTTAAATATACAAATTAGGAATAGTAAGTATAGCACAATGGGTCTTTTTAAATGATCACAAAAGCAGTTAAAACTTACAGAAAAATTTTATCAGACATAAAATGGGCTTCATTTTACTCTACATTGGATATTTTTCACTCTAATAATCATTTATGTAGTTACACTCAGTATACACATGGAAACCCATGCAGGTCTTCATGTAGTGTCCAAAACTTTGCCAAATTTCAGCCAAAAGTGGAACACGTCCAGATTTTATTAAAACTCCACATTATCAAATTTCATTAACAATGAATTATTCAGTGGCTCTTTAGTTGTAAATACCTATAAAACAACAACAACAACAACAACAACAAACGTTTCTCAGTATGACAACCAATAACCCAAAGATTGAAGTACAGCCACCTTCAAAAGCTTTGTATCTAGTAAACCTCAGACAATGGACAATGTTCAACATATCTGTACAATTTCATGGTTCCCCATGTATGCTGCATGTCCCACTCATTTCATAGTTTTTGTGTTAATCATTGATTTAATAGAGCCACTCTATTTCATATTAACTTTTGTTTCCTATAACTGGTTGAAAATATCTCAAAACCCTAAGATTCATATTGTTATCTGCCACCTTCGTTCTAGATGTTCCAAGAGTTTTTGCCAAATAAAATTCTGTATCTTTTATTGCCTACCCAGTCTGAGCTACAAGCACAGCCTGTCAAAATCTTTATTGCACTACTCTAATAGTGGGTGACCTGAATAATTATAATTTCTATATTACAATCATACTCTGTCAGAGGCTTGTAAATGAGTGTGTAGAGAAATTTTCTCTTTCACATAAACACACTAAAACACAGCTCTAAAGTGTTCTTCCTATAAGAGACCTGTCCTTAAAATTTGATGACTATTAGTTGGTTCAGACACAACAACAAACATGATAGTCATTAAGTTCGTGGGCTGTGGTTTTATCACATATTACAAGGTATTCACGTACACTTATACAGATCCACATTGGCCCTCAAAATAGTTGTCGTTGGCCACTATGCAAGCCTGCCAACGTTGATATAGCTGCTGAAAACATTGCTGAAACATACTGGTGGGAAATTCCCGTACGGCGCCTCTTGTGGCATTGATGACCTCCTCAGACAACTGAAATCTACGACCATGTAGTTTTGCTTTCAAGCAGTGAAAGGGAAAGAAATTGCATGGTGCGAGATCAGGTGAGTATGGAGGGTGTGGCAAAACGATGACCTGTTGCCTTGCCAGTTCCTCTTGGGCAATAACAGAGCGACGTGCAGGGGTGTTGTCGTGTAGCAACAGCAATTATTCCTACTCCAAACGTTTTGTTAGGGGGTTTGCCTACTTTTTGGTACAACTTGATGTTTGCCTGTTCAAACTGCCACATTTTCAATTTCTGCCACTTCAATTTAACTGCAGTTCACAATAGAGGCCGTAGTTCTGCTTACACTGTTTGCACACAACTGCCTGTTGCTGTGACGAGAGGTGAACTGACAGGTCACCATATCGTGCCTCAACCTATCCGCTGTAGTGCACTGCAATGACGCTTTGCGTCCAGTCCACGAATTCATTGACTGTGGTAGTACATGCACATATTATGATGTAACTGAATCCTTGTTTAAAGATGTAGACTCAAGACTTTTCACAGACTGACTTCAATGTAACAAAATTATGAGGAGAATGCTGTCTTCAGTACTTTAGGAGCAATGAAGATTTAAATTTTTGCAGAGGATTATAAATTCAAAACTAGCCTTATTAATTGTAATTTGCTGTCTTAGTGTCAGCAGTAGTAATACTGGGTTTCCCTTGAAGCAGAAATACCTCATGCATGATAGCTAAGGTCACTGATGGAGAATCTGTCTAATCTAAAGAAAACCACAGAAAAATTACTAGTGATAAAATAAACCTGTTGGTAATAGGCAGACTGGGTAGAATTGAACTAGTGAACAGTAATATCATTTCTTTAAAAATATATTCACCACGTTGTGTATAATACCTCATGATGCAAAATTTCACATGCGAATATTATTTGTTCATCAATTGTCATATTGTTTACATAAGAATTATCCCAATAAAAGGTGTATAATTTTTAAATGATCGATTATCAAATTTTCAAAATTGTGCAGGGAATGGTATTAACATCATTTCTGACCCAAGAACTGACAGGAGATACTGAAGTTTCATATTAAAAATACAGTTTGTGGATAAAATGGTTTGAATTTTCATAAAATCTTCAAATTTGTTCTGAGGTGTTTATGCCAATATCAAATTACTTTAAATGGGGTGTGTGTTAATGACCCTTATATAACAACCATCATCAATCTATCATAGGAGGATGAGAAACCTGATGACGCTGTCTTTCCTTCCAGAAAACAGAAGTTTAAAAATCTGGTAATGTTGGGAGATACTCAGTTCAGTCTCACTTGTGGCCACTACCAAGAATCTTTTTCTTTATGTGAGGGTTTCCATAGTTTTGCCAGTAAATGTGACAGTACCTTAACATAAGCCATGACTGCATCCTTTACCATTTCTGCCACAGCTCCAGTCATAATTTTCACATCTTTCTACTGAGGTACATATCACCTACACCTGACACAGCATCATCAAATAATCTAAGGGACAAAGAAAGACCAGAATACATAATCAATGTAACACAGTCCAGTTTGTAATTTCTGTAAACACACGCAATGCCTTTTTAAGGCATCATCAAATAATTTAAGGGACAAAGAAAGACCAGAATACATAATCAATGTAGCACAGTCCAGTTTGTAATTTCTGTAAACACACGCAATGCCTTTTTAAGACTTAAGCATAAATGCTGGGCTGTTGAATATCAAGTAACATAAATTTGATTTGTTTTAACGTGTTGGAACAGCTGCTGTAGTTGTAAAGGCTTTAGATTTCATACCCAAGTGTATATTGTTAATATTGTATGTATATATTTTAACTTTTAGAACATGTATTGTAATAGTGGCTTCTAACTGTATTGCTATAAAGGTGTCCCGCTGATGATGGTCTCTGAAGACCAAAACACGTAAGGGCATAAATAATTGAAATAAGAAAAATCTTCATCAGTCACGCCAGACGGAACTAATTTTCATGATCAAGTAACATACTACATGCAAGAAAACTTAAACTTACCAATGTAACCAATAATTCCTTGTTCTTAGGGTTTGTTTCCATAAGACCCTATTATGAATTAAATATTTTAGAGCTCATCATGAGACTGGTTTGCATTAGCTGATACACGCTCAGTTGGGAAAGCCCAGAAGGATGAAGGCAAACCATGAGTATCTCTTTCCCGTTTGACAAAAGCAGAGAAAGATGATATGCAATTCCCAATAAAGTGATTTGATTGACCAAGAATTGCTAGTTCAACATGAGGATTTGGTGGTTCCAAGCGATGAACAGTAACCTGAAAATATTTACAATCTAGTCAATAAGTTTGTTTACAAAAATTAATGAACACCTTAATTTCTGTACAGTTTATTTTGTGTTGTTTATGATGAGACAGGTTTCATGTGGGAAAGTAACTTGGTAGGCCAGGTAAGGTCACCCTTCCATGAGCTTAATGTCTAGTAAGCAAAACACAACTTACATTTTATAAAACATAAAGAGTACTGTGAATACACTGTGTTGAAAGGTTAATAATAATAATAAGTCTACACTCCCCAACCTTTTCAGACAAATTATGAAGGGAACCAGTGAGAGTGACCAGTCTCCTAAGACAAACAACATTTCCAATCATCACCCCCTCAAGAATATCCTGTGAGCTACATTATCACTTTGCGGACCGCGCACGCATTAATATGTTTTCCGCTTTTAATTTTTAAAGTGAACAGTGCACAAGTTACGGTAGTAGGTAAAAAAATGGCGGACTCCAGGGTGATTTAAATATTTAAATTGCCGGTCCGCAAAGTGTTAAGGGAACTGAGACATGATGATACCATACCACCAATACATCCTGCAATATACGTAGGTCGTACTGAAAGTCAAGAGCAACTTTTTTTCTGCATGCAACCTGGGAACAGCAGACAAAAGAAAGTACAGTGGTAGGTGGAACCAGCTATTGTGTTAACCTTGAGTGTCTTGTGACATCAATAGCTTGCATCATGTGACCAGTATCACTCCTAACAAAATGGCTGGCAACAATATGTCATTTCGCCAGCGTGCTGTCATCAGATTTCTTGTGAAAGAGGAAATCCCTGCTGCAGAAGTTCACCAGAGACTTCAGCGTGCTTATGGAAGTGTGTGCATGGGTGCAAGCAGTATTCGAAGAGTGGATGAGATCATTGAAGATGACAGACGTGTGACTGTGGACACAATAGCCCGAAAACTGGGAATAGGGCACAGTGCAGTACAGGAGACGATTGAAAGCTTGGGCTATAGGAAAGTTTGTGCTTGTTGGGTCCTGCGGTTATCGACAGAAGACCACAAAGATCAGCGAAAAGCCATCACCTCACAACTGCTGCAGAGATATTGACATGAAGGCGATGATTTTTTGCTCTGTATTGTGACAGGTGACGAAAGCTGGTTTCACCATTTCGAGCCTGAAACGAAACAGCAGAGTATGGAATGGCACCATTTGCATCTCCATCAAAAAAGAAGGCAAAGACAGTGCCATCAGCTGCGAAGGTGATGGACACAGTCTTCTGGAATGCAGAGGGGTTTATTCTGGCCGAATTCTTGGAACCTGGGCAAACCATCAATGCTGCTCGTTATGTCCAGATGCTGCACAAGCTCCGTCGTGCATTGTGTGATAAACGTCCAGGATGAAACATCATCCTGCATGACAACGCTCGTCTCACATTGGAAGCAACTGCAAAGGGGTGGGACGTTCTTCCACACCTCTCCTATAGCCCTGATCTGGCACCCTCAGACTACCATCTTTTCGGATTTGTGAAGTATCAGCTTCATGGACAACGTTTTGAGACAAGGGAGGCAATTCAGAAAGCAGCGCGTCAGTGTCTTTGGATGGCTGGAACGGAATTTTACAGAAGGAGAATTTTCAAACTCCCAGAATGCTGGGAGAAATGTGTAGAAAGTGGTGATTATGTGGAAAAATAAAGAAAGGTCTGAAGATTCAGGTGGTATATTTGGTTTGTCAATAGTAAAGCATGTTACTTTACATAAAATTGTTGCTCATGACTTTCAGTATGACCCTCATATAAAGGTCTGACAAATGACACGACTAATTCGTTATATGTTCCATCAACATAATTCCCGTATAACTTGAATAAATTCATACTATTTTCATTTTACAACACGTTTTTGCCCATTTATAGGCATCATCTTGTAACACTCTGTTTTTTCTGCTATTAGTCCCCTACACTGGCCAGTGTAAATTATCTTACATTAATAATTATGACACAATATGACACTGAAATACAATATTACTAACAGGACTAATGTTTATGTGCTTCATCTGGCAATGCCGTCTGAGTGGGGCACTTCTTCAATCATGTTACTCCATGTTTCAACAGTTGTGTTAGTCTCTGGCATTAAGTTTTTTTTTTGTGATTGCAGTACGTATTTTATCAGCACAAGTGCTTTCTTTTGTCAAAAATGTGCATGACAAATTATTAGAAATGAGAATGAAGACTGATATTTTAGTGAAGTGCCACTAAAATTTACTAAATATTACAGCAGGTTTTTGGAGAATGAACAGTAAGTAGAACACAGTTTCTTTTATGGGTTAAGTGATTTTTATCACTGAAGCAAAGAATTTACAGATAATTAACTACAGTACCTAGTGTTCGTCTGTGTAAACAGGCCTGCCAGTGGTTGGGCTATGGCTAGTAAGGATTCCTGTCTACTTTGTAAGGAATCATTTTATGCACTGAAGCTGTCACCAGCAGTAATCTGCTTGACTTGAATGTCTTTAACTATAGTGACTCACATTCCGGTCTAGAAAACCAAGATTAACAGCTGTGGGGGATCCATTGTGCTGATCATGTGATACCCTTTATCCGCTAAAGTTGGCACTAACTTCGCCAACATGCGGTGGTCACTCGGTTGGTATAGTTCACTTGTGGACTACAGGCCACGGAGTCAGACAGTCATAGTGACTCACTCACTTTTTTGACTCTGTAAAACCTGATACTTACCACCCTTCTTTGATTAAAGACTTCTTTTGCCCTTTGTCTGTTTTATTCAAAATTATGAATATTCCTATTTTAAACTTGGGTCAGGGGATTGTACATTATTATGTAATATTCTTGCAGCTTATGACTGATCTTGTGTGTATGGTGTATGATTATTTCAACAATAAGATAAGGTTAGAGTTGTTCTACACAAGTGGACACACCTAAAACATAAAAATTATTGTATTTGCCTACATCAGAGATGCAGCAGCTAGGCTAAACAGATTTTGACTCAATATCATATATATTCATGAAATGTATCATTGTAAAACAATTTCTGTGCATACTGTTGCATGGTCATGAATCACATGTATCACTGTCCAATGTCATGTATGTCCCAATTTTGTCATTCTGTGCTCTGCAAGAAAATCAGGAAAAATGTCAAAATAAATCCATACTGCAATGTTACCTCTCCTTTCTGCTAACATATTTATTTATTGATTTCCAATAATTTATAATTTTAATCAAACCTCAGCCTCTGGGGGTATACTGTAAAACTTCTTATTCTGTTATATTATTCATATATCCACAAAAGGAATTCAAATTCTGTTTATGAAATTATAATGTTTATTAATATGATTTTTTTAGTGAAGAAATTACTCACCTCCATTCTCTTAACTGCCTCTGTGAGATCACTAATCATGTGATTGCTATCTGAAGCTACAAATACCGCTACAGCACCTTTCACATTTCTCAGTACCCTTTTAAGTTGTCGCACAATTGTCTCTTTGGAAGGGAGACACATTTCTGTAGTGGCTATACCTCGCTCATTTTGATAACCAAGGCACTGTGGGGCTGCGAATAGATTTGGACTGTAATTGATGTGTTCACATGCACGGACCTATGGAGTAAAACATCGTACAATTAGCAGATAATGCATATAGCAAAATGGAAATATGGGAGTTTCTCAGACCCAACAGATTATCAGATATGATGGTAAAGATGATGACGAAGACGACGACAACAACAACAACAACACCAACAACACCCATCTTCTTTCAACAGTCTATCGCTGCCCTCCAGTTTGTATTACTTATGGGCATGGGTGATTACAAACTACAGAAAACCTGAAAGTAACTTTTATTTAAGAAATTAATTTAGAACCAAATGAAGTGACTAAAAGAAACGTTGTGCATAATGAATAAATAAGGACACAATGAGGTAAAGGAAAACTGCAATGTTTGAACATAATCTATGTAAACACACAATGAAACTAAAGTTTACTATGAATCTGGGTATGAAATATGAACTTAACATGGTTTATGAAGAACTTCTGGGCTGAATTCAACATTTCATGTGGCCAAAGGCTCTGCACAAATAAAAAAAAACAACTGTCAAATAAATAATTCATTCACAATGCTGTACTAAAAGAGGCGCTGATGTGATAACCTTATGTTTTGACACTCAAATGTGGAACGACGAAAAATTCAGATTTATACTGAAAAATATCTGGATTAGTTTAGACTTTCTGGAGTCTTAAACTGCTATAAGCATATTGTTGTTACATGTACACCCATTGCTAAGGAACATGTTGGTAAATGAGTTCCCGCGAAGACAAATTCTTGATAAACAGTCCTTTGCTAGGTTATGCAACAACAGAGGAGGCTGTGTTTTCTGTCATCCATGTGAAGCAACTGTAGAAAAACGGTGTTATGCAATCCTAAACACGTCTACAATAATAGGTGCTTTCTGTGGTGTCTGCACAGAGTGCTTATAAGAGAAGTGAATTCAGATACCAGTTCAGTTCAGGGCAGTTACGAGTGAATAACAGTAGCAGAAGCATGTGAAGAAGCTAGCAAGGGAAGTTCACAGTTGAAGACTAGAAGTCTGCCTGTGAGAATTTACTATGTAATTAGAAGACTTTATGTGCGCTATAGTCGTAGTGCAGTGTTTGATTTAGGGTGACTTTTATAGTTCCTGTGTTATAAATCTGTGAAGACTAGTGGAGATAGACTGAAGAGAGTAGTGTGAAAATCAGTAATAGTGTAATAATTAATTGTAATTATGACCTATAAGTATGCCATAAATCCAATTACCAATCCAAACCTGCGTCTTAGTCACTGTGATACATGTGACAATATCAATATGGCACGAGAATCAAGCACTATTATGTCTTATCCAACATTATGAAAATAAATGTCTCATAGGTTTTTAAGACACATTTCAGAATGAATGCCTCTATTGCTGAGAAGTAATTAAACACAAAGCGCAGGTGTTTATCTGATCAAATAGTCAGCAAAGCTGAAGTTTTAATTCTGACAAAGAGACTAGACAACAGGACTGTTGTACTGGCATATTTTATTGGAATAGGAGAAAGAGGTGAAGCTGGATGTTCAGACAAAGAGGGAGAAAATATAGTGAACTCCCATTTATCTTCTATATAAACATCTGGACTTCTCATGTAACCAGCAACATCTTCCAAGAAACTTTAATGTTTTATAAGGTTACTTTGAGAACAAAGTTGTGATGCACATATGTTCACCTGCCATGCAGTAGTTCTCACAGCTGTCACTAGCAGTGCCACATGTCATCCTCACCCATACAGGTGCCGTACAGTTGTAAAGATGCACGATTACAGTAGAGGTCACTTGATGAATTTGTGACTGTGAAATCTTCCATCTATCAATCTCCTATATCTCCTAAGCAAATTCTCATGCAAGAACTAAGGTGAAAGTATGCTGTTCTTACTTTGAAACAGAGACCACAAATGTTAGAAGACTGGAAAAGGGTGAAAGCCACATAAAAATTAAGTTCTGTAAGAGACGTAACGGAGAGGTATACATCCTAGATCAGTTAATAGACATCTGTAGGATCTTTTAGATCAAAGAAATGGACACTGTTGCTACTGATTCATGGCACTGTTCTATGCCTAGGAAATAAGATGGCTCCAATATCAGGAACACCTGCTGATGTGCAGTTCTTCTGATATTGCAGCTGCTGAAGCCTTTGTGTGGGCCACAGAGGAAATCAAAATAATGAGGAGTCAACCAAGCACTGAAGATGCTGAATTATCACCAATTAAAATGAGGAAAGTGTAATGTCACCTATTGCTAGAAATCCATTATGCCTGTATGGATCACATGCCAAAACATAACATAACCTGGATGTTGCTGAAGACAGAATTGTCCAAAATCACACTGTTTTGTACTTTTTCACCGCAAATGAGACCTACTGCTCTGATTATAATTCTGTCATGTATTATAGTGTACTGTGCAACTGAAGGTGACATTTATACTTTGCTGTAGCAAATTTATTTTGATGTAAAGGGAAGATACTCATTTTTGGTTACTAGATCTTGGTATTTCTAGTCTGCTTTTATGGAAATACACAATGAATATGTTTCAGGTAAACAAATTAAACAAGATTATGACTAATATTTAATGTACTGCACAGTATAATACTAAATAATGTCATTTAAAGCACGTGTTAATAAAGTAAATGGTGATTTACATGTCATTCATCTCTGTCAGTAACCTCTGAGACAGAAATATATTAATATCTTTTTGATAGTTGGTTTTATGCTTTAATACAATTCTAACTAGGAGGTATATATTGTCATGTGTATTAGTGACTTATAAGACAGGGTTTGGACTGGTGATCAGATTTATTGATCACTCTTTGTACAATCCCTTGTGAACCAAATAATTTACAATAACTCACAATAACAAACAGGTGTGGCCCAAAGTAAGGTGCTAGGCTGGCATTTGCCTGCAGCAACTGAGGGTATGAGTTAATGAAGATAAAGGTGTTTACACCTATTCAGAGCGCTATTCCTTTTTTCTCCAATAAACAATTTTCATAACACAGGTTTTGAAATTGTACACTTTAATTTAAATATAACATAATAATCTGAACTACAGTAGATACTTTACCCAATCTATTCCATTACGTAAATGAATTCCTACGAAGGCTCCTGTAGGAAGCTCTTGCTTGATGAAATCATGTGCCTGCTTCCAAATTAATTCACTCCACTGCATGTAACGATGTAGTTCACGATTCTCAAGTTGGACTGGGAAGCTTGCAGGAGCCCCAGTAAATGCAAGAACTGAAAATAATTTAGAAATGCTCAATGCAGATTACTACATGCTACAGAGGCATGAATAGTGTGACATGTTGCGCAGCGGAGGACCCCTACCTCCCCAGCGGTACGTGGCGGCAATGTAGCGCTCTCGTTACTACGGTAATAGGCGAGTCACCACCCCGCCACTCTCCCCACGGTGATGTAACACGGCGTGAGGTAACAGCTTTGTTAAGCTATACGCAAACACGGCGACGTAGCATCGGTTCCTACTGTGACAAGGCACTCATTATGTAACAGGCAAGCACTGTGGCTATATAAGGGAACTGCACAGCCGCCGGAGTCAGTTAACTTGTAGCCGTTCCCGGAGTGAGTTAAAGTGCATCAGCGGCCGAAGACAGTTCTCCAGTCAGCAGTGAACGAGTAAAAGTGTGATAATCAGTGACAGTTTGTGATAACTGAGAATTAATTGGGAGTGTGTAACACAGTGACACTTGTATAGCTCCCGTACTGTGAAACGTGTAGACTACTGACAACAGAGTGAATTGAAAATTGTGAATAATGTTATAAAGTGTGAAACCCCGCAACATTGTCATAATTAATTGTAGCCGAGATTTGTAGGGTGTTAAATAAACCAATTAACAATCCGAACGGCGTCTTCAGTAACAAAACACGTTACAATATTATTATGGGTACCAATATCTATATAGTGAAACCACCTGTTTACACAGTCCTACAAACTGGTCAAAGATGATCCAATCCAACTAATTCATTATATAGAATATGTAACCACTCAAGGAAACCAAATATTGCAGGAAATGCTGTATTCCCACATTTTAAAAAGGAAATGAAACTGGAAACATATTCAATAGGAACATATCCTCCAACTTCCTTGGCCCTCCAAGTAACAGCTTTTCAGGAGATCCTAATACTGTAGTTCTTACCACCTAAACTACATTCTCAGTATAGCATAATCTTCTAGATTCACTATCTTAACAATACTAATTCATTACGAATGTTATCATAAACTATAAATATCTTTATAAATGTAATTCAGAACATTAGTTTTTAAGATGGAATGTAAACCTGGGCATTGTCTGAAGGCTGCTGTTCCAATTACAAACTGTGAGTACGGTATCACTGTGAATGGGAATAGGGATTTTGAGTATCACATGGTAAGTCGCTGGCTTCCCACAGCGGCGTCCCTAGTTAGATCCCAGGTCTGGTCAAGTGGGATTTGTGGTAGACAAAGTGGCGCTTGGGCAGGTTTTCTCCGAGTACTTCGGTTTCCTCTGCCAGTCTTCATTCCATCATCATAATCACCCAGGGCAGGTACAAAAGGCCAATGAGTGATCGCCGTGCCAGGTGGACCCAGTTGGACTCCACCCCCCACAAGCTAAACACATTGTAAATTGTAAACATTCGCATAAACACAAAGCCAGATGATATTTTATTTCATTCAAGACTGAAATCTCAGTTGTCAATATGTCATACATACCAGACCATTGGTGTGCAGGATACTTCTCATTCCACTTTGTAGACATATCATGGTGATATATATCATAATGCAAGGGTCCGTAAAATTCAGACGCAACAAAATCCACATCAAATGTATCCCAGAATGGTCCAAATGGATTTCCTTCTTTCGCATTACATCCATTGCCATCACCCCTAGCAGTGTAACAGAAAGCTGACAAGAACAATAATAAAATGAACATTAAATATTATAAAAATTAGGAATGCACATTAATCAGAAGTTCATATGGGGAGTATCTCTGATGATCAAATTCATACAGATGGCTATAAATAAGCTAAGAAGTAGTAATATAGAAATAGTCTCAGAAATAAATCCAGATGCCTACAGCAATGCAATACTGTAAACTTATATATATAACTGATATAAATGTATAATATTTATTGCCAACTATTTAACAACGCTGTTATCTGTGCTGAAGTTTAAAAATGAACACTGTTTCAGTCTCTATAAGCACTTAATTAGTTTAAATTTATGTTTAGCGGAGGAAAAGAGAAGAAACCCGGGGGGGGGAAGGAAAAAAAAAATCTGCTCCTATGTGACTTCCCCATCATGAATCTCATATGGTGTCATCCAGGATTCAGTACCATAAATATATTCCAAATTTCTCTCCCAAGGACAAGACAGGAATTTCCTCTTGTGGTAAGACTCCACTACATGGGCCCCTGAAAAACGGGCTGATTTCTCACTTCCCACTACCTGTATGCAAGGGCCATGAAAAGGGCCACTTTTTATAAATTATCATTCTTTTCCTTCATGTGATGAAAAATATACTGGGTCTCAAAAGGCCTCTGGTTTTCTTTCTGTGATGAAGAACAATACTGTGGTCCCCCACAAAAACATTCTCCTGCTCACTTTTCCCAATGGACCACATTTTATTTTCCCATCCTCTCCCATGGCTTTCAGACCAGCTTCCTTGTAACTTACCTATACAATCCAACTGATTTGTTGCTGCACATACTTCAACCATCAAGGTAGAGGGAGAATGTTCATAAATGCCAATATTTGCCTACAAGGCTACATAGTATCACAATACAGAAGACCAAAATCTGAACACCCCAAAATTGTTCACACTAAAGATTATTTAAGAATCGCTCATAGGCATGTACTATCGCTATTTGTCATTAGTAGTTTATATTACATATCTACTGTAAGTCTGATCACACAGATTTTCAGCAAACAGCACACTTTCAGATACCCAAGATAATGGAGGGAAGAGAAAGCACAAATTCTAAAAAACAATAATTTACAAAAATATCTTATTTCAATATACACATATGTACTTGTGCATATTATGCTGCAGACAACTTCCTCTAGTCTCACAAATCATAAGTTTACTCACATTTCCTTGCTCCATTACTTTATATATCACATGATAAAGACCTGGTTCAACTGTTACTTTGCAATAATTCATTATGTTCTCAAAAAAGTGTCAAAACCAGGCCCAGTCATTTATTGAAGCAAGCACTTTTCAAGTGATGGTCATCTCTTCTTTCTGTAAGGCACAAAATCTGGCTGACAGGGCTGGACCTAACAGGAAGGAGAGTGAAGGGTCCCTTAAGAGTCTAAAATAATTTAAAACTCAGGAGTTGTGGACCACAAAATAATGCTATTTATAATGGTTTAGTGCAAGGATGCAAACTATTTAAATTGTTTTTAAGAGGGACTGTTCTTAGAATAATAATTAAATCCTCTTCCTCACCTGGACAACCAAAAATGATGGGATACATTACACAGTATTTCATAATGGAAGAGGTCAGTTGTTCCATCCAAAATAAATGTAAAAAATTATGTGCATTGCAACAAATACAAACTTACAGGAATCACAGTTGTTAGAGTGATATACACCATTGCCAGATCTAATACAAATATCCACTGATACATATTCTCCACAGAACAGTTTTAAAACACCTGATGATGACTAATGACAGTCGAAACATGTAGTGGACAATGTTGTTTTTAAAATAAGTTTAAAAGATGCATTATGTATATGTAGTAACTTTTAAACAAAGATTTTTAACAAGTGTTGCATGTTAGATGGAACATCAGAGACATTTGTTAATGAACTGAGGTGTGCTTTAAGACAAACTTATGAGCCTCTGCCAGCTCTTAATGGCTGAACTACTGCGTGGTCCCTAAATAATTACCATTATGTTGCACGAGTTTTGAGGAAGGATTTTAATATCATATCACTAAACCTCCTAATGTTATTAACAGGCCACCAATAAGGGAGTTACAAATCTTTAAGAAAGATGGCCTGCCTGCAATGATTTGTCTATGCCATACAGTCTTAAAATTCTGTTGCCTGTACAGCATTCCAGGGCTTATTTAATTATGCTGTCAGTAAATCAGAATACATAGCATCGAAAGACTGATGGTGAATAATGGATTGGTAAGGATGTGGAATAATGAAGGTACTATCCTGTCATCTGCCTGGAGAAACTGTGGACAAACCATGAAAACCTTAGTCAACTTAGTTGGTGTCCCAACTGAGATAGAAACGGGACACCTACTGAATAGGTGTCTCATGTGTTATTGCTTTAGCCAGTTTGCTTGACTGCACAGTATGATTATCTACAGATCTAAACATACATTGACAAATATTTCAATTCCAAACGAGTGCTTTATCATGCTGTCCACTGACTTTCATATCCTCCTTGCAAACTGGAACTCATTCCATTGTCCCATTGTCTCAGTATTCCCACTGGCTACAAATACCTTATTACATGCACTCTGTAACCATTACAAAGGGTTAGCACCCCTGTTTGAAAAAAGTGAGCATAAGTACTACTTGTAATTCTTTCTTCACTGCATTTACCATTCTCCAAATTGAAGTGATCCTAAGCAGGTAACACTGTGCATACTTATTATGTGTGCGCCTGCAATATGCCATGTCTGTAAAATGCATTATCAAATACACAATTTTCCAATTTGTTATCAAATGGTCAAGTTGTTTCTCTCTTTTGTTACCAAGTCCAGATATTTAATACAAGGAAAGCTTTATACAACAAACTTAAAGTCAGTATTTTGAGTACAGAAGATGACTATGAAACTGCACAATTTAACACTGTCCTCATTTAAAATAAAACAAAGCATTTATTAGACATGTCATGTACATTATTTATCTTGAAGATTTTACAAATGTATTAAAAAATCTTATAATACATACCTATCCTTTTTTGTGGTGGCCAAATTTCAAGAGCTACAGTCTTCATAAAATTTTCCATAGTCAAAACCCTATGATATTTCAAAAAAGGTTCCACTTTGAAGTATGTATCAAATGGAACTTGAATCTGGAATAAAATATAAATAAAGAAATAAGCAGTATATGAAAAATTTCCTAGAGAGTCCATACATAAGTCGATGCATGAAAAAAGTTATGGGGAAATGTGTAAATTTTATTCAGTATGACATGGAAGTACTTGGTGTTTTTTAACAAAAATATTTGCTACACATTAAACACAGGGTTACATAATCTGAATGGGAATAACAGTATGACAAAAATTTTAAATGTGACTAAATGGATAGATGCATGAGTATTCAGATGGCATGAATCAGGTTCTCATTCATACTTTTGGTGACAGCACAGTACATCTGGCATGGAATGACTGATTCTCCCTAAAATCAGGTAAGGTAAAGTTGTCCCTGAGCTTAATTACACACACGGAACTCGATATATAAATACATATTTTCTTGAACTCTGAACTAGTTTGAGGTGAGTGGTGAGCTTCACGCCCCGGCCGATTTACCCCAGTGGGAAAGAGCCCCGGGTACCTATTGGATAGGAGGCTGGGTGGGGCCCAGATTCAGTCTCGATGATGCAGAGAAGAGAAAATTCTTGATCCTACCGAGACTCAAACTCCGACCCCTCGGTTGGCCAACCCGTAGCCAGTTGCTATACCGACTACACTAACCCTGCTCCCCTAAAATCTGGATTTTCATAACAGGAAGTATAATATATAAATATAATATAATATGTTTAACACTGAGCGCTGGTAAAAATACTGATTCGTGGGTTCCGAAAAACCAGCCTACCCACACCAGGTAGCAGCATCTGAATGGAACAGAAAACTGTCCTGAAATATGATGGTGAGCGGCCCACAGCACAGACTCAAAACTTCAATACGCGCTTCGACAAAAGTGTGGATATTATAAATTACTCTTACCGAGCGTAGTTCTCCGTATCGATATTCAACCCATGGTGGCAGTACCAATGTACGGTTCAACCCCTTTGAAAAACCAAGGGCACCCAGGAAGTGATCGGCTTGATTGCCAAACCGTCCTAATGAACGCAAACAAGAATACCATTTACAACATAACCTTTAAATATGCAAATTATATAATTAGTATGAATAAGTATCTTACCCATGCAGGGGCAATATAATACAAATCCACCAGAGTCAACTTTTTCAGCTCTTACTAAAATATTTATCATGGATATATTTAGCACCATATAAAACCAAAGACGCCATATAAATTTGAAACTGCCTCCAAACTGTTTGTAATATACCTCCATCTTTCTGACGAAATGGGATCTGCTACCAACATAGATATTACAAGAACTGAAATAAGGTTTCATAACCCGAATCCAAAAATATCTGTAACACTTCAATATACGAACAATGAATGCAGTGGCTTAGCATGTTTTTTACAGTTGGAAACAAGTATTAATTTAAAAAATATTGATAATCTATTGCAAAGATTCACCTAGTCTTCCCCACGTCAAACTGGAAGTAGTAGCTTCAGAACCGTTCAGGACCACCGAATGCATTTTCATTACATTTATTACTGGAGTTTTATATGTACTGACATATTCAACACTGGATGAAAGTTTCCAGCCTTTGTGCTTTATTACTGAGTATCTTCCAAGGGCTTCTTCCCTTTTCGCTTTCCTACCATATATATTGTTAAGAATTTCTCAGCTGCCACATGAATTCTGCATGCCTTATACTTTACATTACTCTGCTTTTTTGCAGGTTATTTTACGAGGCTGTCTGCAGATAGAACATAAGAACATACAGAACATAAGTAGTAGGAATCCGTGAAGTAAATGGCGCGTACACACCAAGGAAACTGAAAACCGCAACGCAACTGCAATTCCCGAGAATTGTCACCGACGTCACCGATTTCAAGATTAGCAAGCGTACACTGAGGAAACCTATCATCAGTTTAGATTTATTTACACATATCCGTGACGTGTCAATACCGCGTCCGATTAGTTCCGTGACATTTCATCAGTGTCAGTGATGATTCATATAGTTTCTTTGAACTTCACGGACGCAGCCACAAATCTCCGGCGCAGTTCCGTATTGTAGGCTCGATCGTTTTAAATGCCCATCATTAAATCGCATCTGTAATTCCAAATGAACAGAACAATTCATAAAGTTTCTCTCCTTTGTACAACCTTTTGACATACCAATACCGATTATATCACAGGGATTTATGATGTGTTACTGTTATATCTAATGGCATGATATATAGTATATATCATGCCATTATATATATACATAATCAGATCACAGTAGCCAAACATGCTACAATACGGTAACATGTTTGGCTACTGAGACCTCTTCAATCGCAATACATATTATCGCTTCTCTTATTTGTTGTTTACAACAAAGACAAATTCAGATTAAATTCTGATGTCTACTAGACAAAAATATAACTTCCACCTACCCTCATCAACTTTATCAGTATATCAAAAAGGAGTCTACTGGCATAAAAGTGTTCAACAATCTGCCACAAAGTATTAAAAACTTGGGCAATGATACTAAAAAGTTTAAATCAGAGTTAAAGAATTATCTACATGCTCACTCCTTCTACTCTTTAGATGACTACTTCAATGTAAATAGAGAATGATGTAAAATTAAGTTATATTAATTTTTAAGCTAAAATTGCCTGTACTTATGTATGTAACCTTTTGACTTGTTCTGTATCCAAAGGTACTAATCTGCTTAGGATTTATAGAATGTAAATAAATTCAATTCAATTGATATTTGGTTTATTGAGTAACATATAACACCTATTCAGTAGTCGACTAATATTTTCGTGGTATGTCCACAGTTTCTCCAGGCAGATGACAGGATAGTACCTTCATTATTCCACATCCTTACCAATCCATTATTCACCATCGGTCTTTCGATGCTATTTGATCATTGATATATATCACCATATGTCTACAAAGTAGAATGAGAAGTATCCTGCACACAAATTGTCTGGTATGTACGACATATTGACAACTGAGATTTCTGTCTTTAATGAAATGAAATACCATCTGGATTTGTGTTTATGCGAATGTTTACAACTTACCATGTGTTTAACTTGTAGGGGGTGGAGTCCAACTGGGTCCACTTGGCATGGTGATCACTCATTGTCCTTTTGTACCTGCCCTAGGTGATTATGGTAATGGAATGAAGACTGGCAGAGGAAACCGAAGTACTCGGAGAAAACATGCCCCAGCGCCACTTTGTCTACCACAAATCCCACTTAACCAGACCTGGGATCAAACTAGGGATGCCAGCAACTTACCATGTGATACTCAAAATCCCTATTCCCATTCACAGTGATACCGTACTCACAGTTTGTAATTGGAACAGCAGCCTTCAGACAATGCCCAGGTTTACATTCCATCTTAAAAACTAATGTTCTAAATTACATTTATAAAGATATATTTAGTTTATGATAAAACTCGTAATGAATTAGTATTGTTATCAAAAAATCTTACTGTGAAAAGTACAATGTTCCTGCATCATAAATCCATAAATTTACTTGGACATCTCCTGACGGGAAGATACACAATCAGATTGACCATATCTTGTTATATGGGAAACGGTATTCAAGTATACTTGATGTCTGATCATTCAGGGCAGCAGATTGTGATACTTACTACTACCTGGTGGTGGCAAAGGTTAGGGAAAGACTGGCAGTGAGCAAACAAACAACGCACAGAGTTCATATGAAGAGTTTCAATCTCAAGAAATTAAACGAGGTAGAGGGTAAACAGCAGTATCGTGTTCAAATTTCAAATAGGTTCACGGCTTTGGAAAACTTGGACAGTGAGGTAGGTGTTAATTGAGCTTTGGAAACTATTAGAGAGAATATAAAATTTTCTGCCAAGGAGAGTGTAGGTCATTATGACCTGAAGAAGCAGAAGCCATGGTTCAATGAAGAATGCTCAGAATTACAAGACCAAAGAAAACAAGCCAAACTGCAATGGTTACAGGATCCAATTTAAATAAATAGGGATAATCTGAACAATATAAGATGTGAAACAAGCAGGCATTTCAGGAATAAAAGGTGGGAATATCTGAAAGACAAAATTGATGAGCTTGCAATGAACAGTAAGAATGAGAACATTAGAGACCTGTATAGAGGAATAAATGACTTTGAGAGGGGTTACCAACTTAGAAGTAACTTTGTGAAGGATGAGAATGGTGATCTGCTTGCAGATTTCCAAAACATTTTGAATAGGTGAAAGAACTACTTCTTCTTGATCTTCATAAATTACTGAAATGTAATTAAAACTGTGCAAGTCACTTTCTACAAAATCACCATTTTTTTTGTGGCCCATTTAATACTTATGGTCCTATTCAGCAGGCATCAATCAATGACGCACAAAATATGAATAAAATCTCTTCAGGTGCATATCCATACATAAAGAGAGCATTCCAGAATCATCTCTTATTCAGGTGGGCTCAAAATGTGCAAATCAATCAGAATCTCAAGATTGCTTCTGTCTTGATCAAAACACTTTCTCATACGTACCACGGCATAATGAACAGAAAAACTGATGTTTGCAAGACCTGCTATGCTGAAACCATGGCCATTCTTTTGCTCTTAACATGGGATACTAAAGCCCACCTCTGCCCCACTTTTCATAGATGCATACATTCTATACCGTCTGTTGCTGTTTTTTTTTAGTTCTCATTCCACATTTCTTGTCCAATATTTCTGATGGTGACATCTGAAAGTGTATAGTTATTATGAGATGATTTAGTGTACACAATTCTAAATGGCAAAATGATTTGCTTCACCTCTCCACACATGTCCTGACTGACCCAAGTAGACCCGTCCATTGATTAACTCTTCCCCCAAAAGAGACTATCATTTGAGCAAATGCAATGAAATGAAGCTTACGCCTAACAGTATGTTATAAAATTACAAACATTTGGAAAGAATTCTCCTCCTGCATTTAGTCATCCAGAAGTTTAGCATATATAACCATTGGGGGAAGCAGAAAGCTCTCTTCATTCAAAATGCACTGCATATACTTAAGGTAGAAGCCATCACAAAATCAAAACGACTCTTCTAATACCATACCCTCAATGCATTTACATGTTCTTGCACTCTGATAGTACAAAATATATACATACCAACAGTTTGTATGAAAATAAGCATTTTATTATAACACACAGAGGACAGACACCCCTTAATCTCATGTAAGTTCCATGTTCATCCTACTTATATAACTTCATATGCATGTGTGTGTGTATATATATGTAAAAAACACTATTTCCCACTTCAAATACCCTTCACAGTAACATGTATTAACATTAAATCTTGTCTGAAGATGTGACTTTCAGGGTGAACATGAGGTGTCAAGATTTAATTTTATGAAGAAATATGTATTAATTCATTACAGAGGTAAAACTAAGACTTTATTATTAGATACAATTCTGTGTATTGACACGTAGTAGAACAGAGTATCCACGAAGAGCCTGATGCCTGTAAACTATATTATTTCCCTTATAGTAAAATGTATGTAAAAAGTTCCTATTCCATGAGTAACAACAATCTTATCAGGTTGCCAACTATTAGCGAAACAGTGTTTATTGCAAAATCATGATCTCTTGAAGTTTCAAGCCACTTCAAGGCATCAAATATCTCCTCTCACCATCTTCCATTACAAATAAATATACAAAGCACAGATGATGTCACAGTATTTACAAACAATTTCAGGTCTTTGGAAAACTTTTCACATTAAAAAATGTTTGTATAATTGTAGATGAAGTACAAGTAAACATAATATTGTGTATGTCCATGATGACACTCCAGACCGAGATAACTTGATGGCTTACTTCTTCTAAGAGTGCATCCCACCTGTAAAAGACAATGTTAATAATTTCCAAGATTCAAATGATTTTTTCTTCCATAATCGAAACACCCAGAGATTCGTGTAATTGTATTGCCTGATCTAAATACAGGAAATGTGGGGGTTGCTGTCATTGTAAAACCATACTTAGAAATCCTTCATGTAAACTAAAAAATGTACACAACCACACAGCAATATTATTTGTCTTATGTACAAGATATTTTCAGTATGTTCAGGTTATATATCACATCATTTTAGTCTGTTGTCACAACCTCATGCCATTCAAATCAGGTGTACATGTAGTATGCATACCACATATCTATCAGACATTTTACTTTTGCATGTGCAGCCCCATGCACCTACAGAAAATACTGATGCATGGTATTCAAACATGCTTTCATTCACTTACAAGGACAATAAAACCTCCTTTTTGTATTTCTCAATTTTTAGGCCTTCTTCATAGTAAAAAATACTGTGGTGTCAGCTAGATTACCTAATTATTATATCTCCTTCTTTACTAAAACCGTCACAACACAACTATATCGAGGTCAGTGCCTAGTTTTGGCTATTAATAGCCATCATCAGGCAAATATATGGCTAACATATATACACCACTGAAATGCAGTACTAGTAAAATCGGTTACAATAATATTAATTATACAAAATACTTGATGTAAAAATACAATAAATTAGGTAATATAAAACAAAAGTTATAGTATAAAACAAGAATAAAATTCTTCGATTGATGCTTTACATCATCGAGTCATTTGTTGGTTTTTGTTATTTTGTTGTGTTCCCACGGACAAGTTGGAGTATTCTATATTTATGTGTATATAAAAACTGTTATTGGAGGCTCGTGGTGTAGATGTAGTATGATTAATGTTAAAGTCAGTGCCTCATCTTACCAAGTATTGTCCGTTCTGTAGGGAATGTAAACAACAAACAGAACTAACTTTGCCAACAAATGGCAGTCACTTGGTCAGTACAGTTCGCTTGCAGACTACGGGCCATGGAGTTTTTTTTTTTGGAGACAGAAGATAAAAGCTCCTGGATTGAATGGTAGCAAGCACTACCCAAAGTCAGCCTCCTCTTAATTTCCTCCTGAATCAAATTTTTCCTTTTACTGTTGTCCCAAATATTTGAACTGTGGACATTGTCAAAGCATCTGTTATCTTTATGCCTTGATTTTGCTCTGCATTCTAGTGACAAGACAGCAACATATACTTAGTTTTCTCTGCATTTCCTTCTAGAACAACCTCCTTACTAGCATCAATTGAAGTTTCTGTGTATTTCTTTATGGTATCTATGTTATATTGCAGCATATTCACATCATCAGCATAAACCAGAAGCTCGTGTGTCCCATTTCAGTTCCACCTGGTTTTCCTGGACCTTCCTAATTGCATATTCTAAAGCAAAGTTGATAAGCAGTGGCTATAAAGCATCTCCCTGTTTTAGTCATTTTAGATAGGAAACTCAGACAAATGTTTACCTATATGGACTTTACTATACATTTAATTTAAACACATTTTAACCAGCTTAGTTTCATGGGTACCCCAAATACTGCACACCACTTCCTTCCTAACTGAATCATAGGCATTCTTGAAGTCTACGAATACCTGATGTACTGCCTCACTGTACTCCCATTTTTACTCCAGTATTTGAAAATTGCAAAATATCCGATTAGTAGTTGATCTGTTATATTGAAACCCACAGATGACCCTCAATAATTTCATCTATATATGGACTTGACCTTGAGACAGGGATATTGGATAAAATGTTGTATGAGGGGCAATCCAGAAGTTTCCGAAATTTGAATTTTGCGCGCGAATGGTTATGAGTACATCGAAATACTGCTAGGTGTCTCCTCACACATCCTTCTTGAATCAGTGTGGCAAGCGGCGTCGTGTTGAGTGGTTGGGTTTATTGTTGGTAAACGTATTTCCATTGTTGTGTTTCTGTGAGTTTGCGGTTTTGTGATGGCTGACCTGAGAGAGCAGCGTGTCTGTATAAAGTTTTGTTTCAAACTTGGGAAAACCGCTGCAGAAACGCACCAACTGTTGAAGCAAGCTTTTGGTGAAAACAGTTTAGGCCAGACATAAACTTACAACTGGTATAAGCGTTTTAAAAATGGCCGAACATTGACTGATGTTGACGATCATTCGGGACGGCCGTCAACTGGCATCACACCAGAAAATGTCACGAAAGTTAGGGATCTGATTCTGCAAGATGGTAGACTGACCGTCCAAGACCTCTGTAACACCTTGGGACTAAGTTATGGTACATGTCAACGAATTTTGTCAGAGGAACTGAACATGAGGAGGATTGCGGCAAAGTTTGTGCCACGACTGCTGCAAAATGAACAGAAGCAGCATTGCTTGGAAGTCTGCAGGAAACTTCAGCAACAGCTTCAAGAGGATCCAAATTTTCTTTTGAAGGTTGTCACTGGTGACGTAAGTTGGGTTTATGGCTATGACCCTGAAAGCAAGCAGCAATCGTCACAATGGAAGAGCCCTTCTTCACCTCGACCCAAAAAAGCTCGACAAGTCAAGAGCAACATTAAGTCCACGTTGATCTGTTTTCTTTTATATTGACGGTATTGTTCTTATGAGTTCATCCCGCGTGGTCAGTCAGTCAATAAAGAGTTCTATCGTGATGTTCTAAGGCGTTTGAGGGAGGACATTAGGAGAAAACGTCCAGAGAAGTGGCGCACGAACAACTGGGTACTCCACCATGACAATGCAAGACCGCATACGGCTTACACTGTGCAGGAATTTTTGGCTAAAAACAAGATGGCAGTCGTTCCCCACCCACCATACTTGCCAGACTTAGCTCCACGCGACTTCTTTCTCTTCCCCAAGATGAAAAGCAAGTTGAAGGGGCGAAGATTTGATACAGTTGAGGAAATTCAAGCGGAAACGCAGACGGTACTGAACACCCTAACAAAGAAAGACTTCCAGGATGCATTTCAAAGTGGCAGAAACGCTGGGATCGGTGTATGCGCTCCCAAGGGGACTACTTTGAAGGTGATGGTGCAGAATAAGATCTAGGTAAGATGTAATAGTTTTTATTAATATATTTCGGGAACTTTTGGATTGCACCACGTACGAAGCTGACAACAGTGATATCCCATGATAATTACTAGTCAGTTTTATTGCCCTTCTTGGAAACTGGTAAAATAAGACTCCTTCCACTGATCCGGCAATTCTTCCCTGTTCAGAATAGAAATAATGAGTTTACTGATCTCAGACCCTGATGTTTTGCCTCCTGCTTGAATCAGTTCTACTGGAATTTAATCATTACATGGCGATTTACACCTTTTCAATTTTGCAATAGCAATTTCAACATAAACAGGACTAGAATCAGGTACTAACAACTCAGCTGTATGTATTTCTATCTGCCTACCATCACTGACTCTTAGATATATTTACTGCATTTGCTTCCCCATGTGATGAACCAAAATCAGCAACTATTTCCTACTGGGTTTATGTTACATAGAAGCATTTCCATGTATTCTTGTGGAGTTAATGTCAATTACAAAGTGTACAGCTTGGACTAAAGTGAATGAGAAAACTGAGTCCACAAGGATTTGACTGAGGTACAATCACATGCTATTTGAAGTGAATGGCTGAACTGTACCTTGAGAGACATGGCAACAAGTTTTTGCAAATTACTACATATTCTACCATAAAATACAGATGTTAGCCACATGACTGTAAATATGGCATGAGAATAAAAACTTGTTCAAGCAATAAAACATGCCAACAAACATGTCATGCTGTAATGGTGTCAGATTTTGGGTGTGAAAATACCTAGAATAATATACAGAAAACCCTGTTCAGGAAGAGTAATGCCCATTTTCCCTAAATGTAAATTCCAAAGTTTGCTTGCCTTGCTGGTTCAGTTCCTGTACATGAAATTTATTAATATTCCAGAATCATGATGCCCGTATACTTAAGCATACAGGCATAACCAGAACAAAGTGCATATTATACAGCACAAATATCTGTTCCTCTTACTGAAGATAAGGATTTCATTTAAATTCCATATATAGAACCTGAAACTGCAAAGTACTAAGAGAAGCTCATTTCATACACAAACAGTATCAGTAAAGATTCTATTACAATCTAGCGACATCAACCATTTGGTATCAAAAATGCCTGTGTGTGTAGTTTGAAAATATGAAGTGTTTGTTCAGCCCAGCTTTTGTGACAGCCATGAGCACACATGCAGCACTCACCTTGCCATCCAAATAAATCTCATTCGTGGTTATGAGCTCAAAAATAAAATACAGTGAAATTCCTATTTAGTGTTCCCATATAAAGACAAAACAACTCCGTCCTGCATGACTATTTAAGTTTTACCACTTGAAAACTTGAACAGTGAAAACAACACAGCAAGCCACGAACAAACACAGGACGATACTAAGAATCTCCTTCTCAAGATAGACAGGCGGTACAAGTTCAGCCCCCTTCAAGAAAGACGATAGGAGAAGTGACACGAACCTACTTGGTTTATAAATTTTAACTTAAACAAGTTTTAAAAACTTTAATACCAGGAAGGCTGCTGTGATTGTGAAAAAAAAATAGGATTTTGTGTGTACTGTGTATTCCAGGCATTGTGTATGTAATTTAGCACTCAGAACACCTAATGTGATAGTAGTTTCCAACTAAGTATTGATGTTCCCTCTGAAGATGATCCTAAGGATCGAAACATGTAAGGGTGCTGAGTTTTCAAGAGGTAAAACTTAAATAGTCACACTGGATGGAGCTGTTTTGTCTTTGTAATTGTTAGTGTGACGGACCAGAATGAAACAAATCAAATTTAGTGTTCCCATATTTAAATATATTCTCTGGCTATGGCTGAAGCCCTAGATAAACAACATACTTCCATATTTAGTATATTTTTATTTGTTAAATAACGAACATACAGAGTAAGAAATGTTTGATGTTCTGGAACTCATTCCTAGATTTAGCACAACTGTTATGAAAACAAGTACATGTTTTCTCTCTCGTTATACAGGGAAATCAAAAAGTCGTGCACATCAAACTAAAAGTTGTTATAAATTGTATTGCAGTTAATATAATTATATCTCCTACTGCTAGATGGTCTTGTAGGAGTACTAACAATGAGTAGAAATGCCATCTGTCATGTATTGGTCATACGTCTGCAGTATATAGCTTTGTTTATTGTGTGACAAACATGTTGTTTTCCCAAGAACGCGTTTTCATGGAATTGAAGAGTCTGATTGGGTTTTCTTCACTGATGAAGCATGGTTTCACCTTAGTGGCTATGTGAACAGTCAAAACAAGAGGATTTGGTCATATGAAGATCCACATGTTACATGAAAAGCCCTTGCACTCTCAGAAAATTGGAGTGTGGGGTGCTGTATCACGTTGTCGAATAGTGGGCCCAATATTCTTTGAAACAGCAGCGAACAGTCCAGTGTACCAAGACATCATCGCCCAATTTGTCACCCGCAGATTTTTTTTCCTTTGGGGGTACAGCAAAGAACTGTCTATAAAAACAATCTGCATACACCGGATGACCTCAAGAGGAACATTATGACGGCGATTAACAACATCACTTTACAGGTGCTCCACAAAGTGCCCCCAAACACGGTAAACACGAGCTTATGCATGCATTGGTGAACAGGGAAGCCATTTTGAGCATATGCTGTAAGGACATGATTTGATTTTGCATTTCTAAGATGCAAGGTTATAAACATTAACAGTAAGTGTTGTATGTCTTGTAGTTTGTGCATTAAACCAGCAAAATATAACTGCTTAGTGTGATGTGTGCGACTTTTCGATCTCTCTGTATATGGCCGAAAACAGAGAACAATTTAAAACTAACCCTCAAATTCATAGAATCAATACATGACACAATAACCTTCACTATTCTACAAGCAATTTGTCAGCATTCCAAAAAGGAACATATTATTTTGGTATCAAGGTTTTTAACAGCCTACCTCCTAGCATAAAGAACATAACTCATGATATTAAACAATTTAAATTTGCTTTAAAAAGATTTATATTCCTAATTCATTTTATTCACTGGAGGAATAGTTTAACCACAATAATGATTAAAGTGATCTGTTTCGTTGTCACTGTTTATTTTAGTTTACCACCCAACTAAGGCTCGATGACTGTAAATGGATGAAGGAATGAATGAATGAATAAATAACTTACAGCCAATAAGATAAAATAATTGTATACTAGTAATTAAATTATACTCATTGGAAGTATATTTTTATCTATGTTGTCATCATCCCGCTTGCCGTTTTTTACTATATTCACAAGTCTCCCTTATGGGGATCTATGAATGTATGAATGGCGATTGCTTGCTTTTACTTTTACTTACATATTTTATAACCTTTAACGATGTACTCATTGACAATGTTTTTGACAAAAGGCTCAAATTGTGATGCACATGTATAATTAAGTTGTATGTACGTAATTTAGAATCTTATTACTTATAAGCAATGTACTCATTGTCACCGTTCCTGCTAACAGGCTCAAATTGAAGCACATTTAACTTATATTTATGTAGAAAGTCATCTTCTGGGTTTTGGTGCCGTGTATCCTTCGTTTTGGCCGACGTTTCGCAGGAACGTCGGCCAAAACGAAGAATACATGGCGCCAAAACCCAGACGACGACTTTCTCCATAGTCATTGCCGTGAAAACCTCAAAATTTACATTATATTTATGTAATTTGTATTCTTATTAATTTTTCAATTAGATTGTTATTGTGCAGTATTTGACTTGTTCCATATCCTATGGTGTCTACCTGTATCTGGATTTTACGGAATGTAAATAAATTGAACTGATATATTTTCTCTGCCTGAAACAATTTCCATACTAACACTGTTTCATGTGTCACTAATTATTTTAGAATTTATTTGTGTAGAACTACTTATGTAACAAATAATCTCTTAACATAATTATGATTAATTTCAACCAGTGAAAACCTTGATTTAGTGAAATAACATTCATTCTCCAGGGACTCATTATATAGGGATTTCACTGTAGAACATTTTTGTTACACATCCTACAGAGTTGCAGACGCAAGAAAACTTCTATGCTGCTGCAATTGCACTTCTGTACACTTACATTAACCATTCAATTTTGATGTCAACCTTGCCTAAAACTTCTCTTCTTCTAGACCATGTTTAAATAACATTAAAACAGGAACACTATCACCATCAATGTCTCTGTACTCGAGCATGGCAACCATACCATCGATGTCCATGGATTCACCTACACAAGAAAGGAGTTATGATTACAAATGTGTGTTAAATTTCATGTAACAGTTTGTCACAAAATTATCGTCCTATCATTTACACATGAAAAGCGCTGAAAACAAACCTGTGTAAAACTGAAGGTCCTTAAATCTGCCCAAAATATCTTTCATGACTTTATTTGTATTGTTTTTGAAAACACTAACTTCATCTGGGCTCTTTTCCTCTAATTTCTGGACTAATCTGAAAACAGAAAAAATTGTACTTGTACATACCCAACAGAACGTACAAACAACAATACTGAATATATACATTAAAATACTAATAAAAATCCTAGCTTATACAGTAAAATGCACTGGGACAAAACAGCACTTTCAACCCACTGACTACTATGTACACTGTTCTTCTTCTTCTTCTTATTATTATTATTATTATTGGAGGGGGGTGGGTTTCGCCATGCACCGTGACCAGTGGTGTGTTGTACGTCCCCCTGTGATATTCTACCAGTCTCTATACTCTACCAATACTGGTGCGTGCCATCAGTCCCGACTCAGCCAGCGAGTTTGGCCTCTACAGGCTCAGCGGTATCTTGATGCTTCCCCATCTACCAGAGGCTTTAGAGACTATTGTTGGGCGGGAAATGTCCTTATAATTTGGCTCAGAGGCCTCCTTGAAGCATGAGGTTCTTTTACATGCCGTAAAGCTACGACATGGGACCCGTGGCTTAAAGTCCCTCCCTGAGGACTTGTTCCCTGAATTTTTCCGCCCTTAAAAATTCCACGACCTCCGCCGGGTTTGAACCCGCGTACCTTGAGTCATGAGGTGGGCACGTTACCCCTAGACTACGGAGGTCGCTTACACTGTTCTTGCTGCTTCCAAATCCAAGCACTGTTGTGGTAAGGTATAATTTTTAAAACATGTATTTTATATACTGCTGTCAAAAATTTAAGCAGCAACATCGACATAACTGGGAAGCAGTGTATTGCCAATGGCAGCCCACCCTATAATGTCTTACACTTTGCAACATTTGCTTACATATACTGAAGTCTTTTAAGCACAGGACACCTGAATGCAGATCATTAGGGAACTCAAAACTTGCTGGCTTAAAATGCAAATCAAACAGACTTTGAGTCTCAACAATATACATGACGGATACAGCTTTCCACTAAGACTCTTTGCTACTCCAGATATATGACAGCTTCTGCAATGTATAAAAAACCAGCAATTCCATGCAATTTAAATTATTTCAATTTTTATAAATATCTCCAAAACTAAGGAACAATCTAAAACATTCACCCAGTAAGGCAATGGTAATATATTAAGCATTCACAGTGCCTCCCCTTCCAATAACAGACACACCCAGTATACATTCATGCAGTAAATATGGCAAAGAAATTAGCATGTTCTTGAATATATTATGTATAAGGGGTGAGCTTTCTTGGCCCTTGCACTGCGACCACAGTCATCTATTGGGCCTTTGAATATATTAACCATTATATGCTCAGAGTACTGATCCATTGGAGCATCGGGTAATAGCCAGAACATTCAGGCGGCCAATTTATCAGCTCCATCTAAATCATGCTCTTTTAGTTACATAAAGAGCACAAAGGTGGCAGCAAAAGATACCTAATTCTCCAAGGTCAATTTCAGAGTTTTTTTTTACACCCAGGTGGCACCCCTGTACATACAATACATTTTTTGAGACAAATGAAATATGATGAGCTCACTTATATTCCGTATCACCAATATCCCATTGGTGGTTCAATGCTTAGTGGTAGTATTCTGTTTTTATAATAAAGTTATATATTATTCATTATATTTTTGTTACATTTTTCAGAGCTTATAGTATACATAGTTATTTTACATTATTAACTAGACAATAATTGACGTTAGATGACTCTCAACATGTTGGAATATTTAGATACAACTAACAGTGATAGTGACTTTATTCTGGAAAGTGACATTCGTAACACAAGTGAAGAAGATACCCCATATGTCACACCACCAACTGCTCACCCTGTGTCTAACAGTGAAGAGGATAACATGGATGATGAAGACTACAGGAAATGTTATCACCCGAGCAAACTCTCCCTCTTCCTTTCCAGTTCTAAAAACTGTCTGCACCTAAGCATACATATGCCTCCTCCTAATTCTCCTATTGCTTACTTCTATCTCTTCTTCACAGACTCGATCCTTACCTTCATGGTGACAAGCGTAAAACAGATATGCACAGCAAATGATTAGCAGGAAAGCAGACAATGTTCCTACTCCACTTGGACCAAAATTACCATGCATGAGATGAAAGGACACCTCACCTGTACTCTAAATACAGGCACAATAAAAAAGCCAACCACAGCAACATACTAGACCACTTTCTGTTCCCAAGCCACTCCATGATGATTTGGGAAAATGTTTACTTAGCGTTGCTTTTCTCACTTGCTGCGATTCTTCCACCTCAACAACAATGCAGGACTGTCAGGCCCTGGAGAACTAGCCTACAATCCCTGTGCAAGGTACCAACCTCATGTGGAGCATGCAGACAGGGTACTCAGGCATCACTACACACTTCCTCAAGAAATTAGTTTCTATGAAAGCCTGGTAGGTACCAAAAACAAAACCAATATCAGGCAATATTTGCCTAACAAGCACTACCACCTTTGGGGAGTCAAATTTTGGATCTTCTTTGACTGTGTCCAACTATGCCTGGGGTTTTCACATACAGAGGGGCAGGTCTTAGGAAGACAGGGAAAGAAAGGGGGGGGGGGAACCGCCTGGCATACACTGTTGTGAAAAAATTGAGATTGGAGGGTACCTCAACAAAGGCTACTATGTCTTATAAATACAAACCACTCCATCCAATGTGACATATAAGTTTTTACTACATGAAAACTTATCTCCCTTACATGTTTCGGTCCTTATGGACCATCTTCAGAGGGAACATCATTATGAACTGGGAACTACCATCACAATGATTTAAAATACACACACTTATATCCTATAATGCACAGTATGCATAAAGTCAAGATTTCACAATCACAGCAGCTTCCTGGTATTGTAAAGATTTTAAAAGTTTCTAGTTGTTAATTTAAAAAACCTTTATTGTCAATAGTTAAAATTTTTTAAACCACGTAGGTTCGTGTCCATACTCCTATTGTCCTTCTTGTATGGGGCAGATTTTGTGCTGCCTGTCTATCTTGATGAGGAGGTTCTTGATGTTGTCCAGGGTGTGCTCGTGGCTTGCTATGTTGTTTTCACTGTGCATTATAGGATTTAAGCGTACTTTAAATCAAAACACCTATTGTGATGGTAGTTTCCAGTTCCTAATGATGTTCCCTCTGAAGATGGTCTGTAAGGACCGAAACATGTAAGGGAGATAAGTTTTCAAGTAGTAAAAACTTATATGTCACATTAGACAGAGTGGTTTGTATTTATAATTGTTAGTGTGATGGACCAGAATGAAACAAATCAAATCTACTATGTCTTCGTCAACAACTATTTCATGCCTGTTCCACTTGTCCGCCATCTCTCATCAGCTGAATCACTGGAACTGTTAGCAGGAATAGGAAACTTTTACCCCAGCGGTCCAAGAACAAATTTGCAAGTGGGGGGGGGGAAATGAATTGCAGATCTTGTTCCCTTCTTGCCTGTGACTTCTGCGAGAAGAAATCACAAAGAAATCCTGTCATTCTTCTCTCCTGACATCCCAAAGCCCAAGAAGAGAAGTAGAGGGAATACATGGTGGCAATTCACAAATATAACACAAAATTATCATATCCTACATGTTTCTGGGTGGCAATGACTCTTCAGACATGGTGCTGTATACTTATTGGATGAAAGCCAGATAGTGCGTTACTGGAATAAGGTAGCTTTCAATAACATAGCCAGGATGGTGTTGAATAACTACATTCTCTACAAGGGGCCTGGCAAACTGAAAACCAGGTAAAACCACACTGTGTCCACGATCCACAGTCAGGAGTGTGGGGGAGGAGTGGTTGGCAATGAAGGACAATGCTGGAGTTGATGATCTGCAGGGACCATGAGGACTCAGAAGACTACATGAAAAGAAATATTCCCAATGCATTGTATGCAGCACAGGGAGAGGAGGCAGACAGCCAGCACAGTATGCACCAAATGGCAACAAGGGGCTGCATGAAGAATGCTTTCCTAAACACAGGTACTAACTGCAAAAGGTATGTATACACTATTCTATGTAATGTGATGTAGTTCTGGACCAGATGGCTCTTCATGCATAAAACTTGTATGAAAATTTACAGAAAAATATTACCTTCCTTAAAGGCTTGATGGGGGGTATGTTAATTTCATTTTCTTGCCTAAATTACATACATTTTAAATTTCTATACTTATATTCCTATTCTACATTATATTCCCCCAATTAATTTTTTTAAAATTATTTATAGTGTTTGCACTTATATTCCTATTCTACATTATACTCCCCCAATTAATTTTTTTAAAATTATTTATAGTGTTTGCACTTATAGGCTATTTTTAAATCTGCTGTTTATAGCAAATAAAATTTATTTCTTCAAGTCTTTGACAAAAGTACTATTTTTGGTGAATTTCTGAAGTGAGACCTGTAAACTAAGCCATATTTGCCTTAAGTGTTTCAGGCCAGGTATCTGGAAAATAGGCTAAGCGTGAAAGGGTTGCCACCACTAACTTTTTCATGTATTCCTTCAGATATGCTGTGAAACTCTTCTTATCTCCAAAGGCATACGTTTCACTAAGCCTGTGGTTCAATACAACATCAACTCCACATTCTACAGCTTCGTCTGTTCCCTCTGAAGCTTCCTCAGCAGAGGGGTTAAATCCTTCTATCTGGACATCACCATGCTTTCTTGTTACAAGCTGAAAAAATAAACACACAATCCAATGTTCATGAAACTGGATTTGCAAAAAGTGCTACAGTTTATTCAACCATTATTTTTGTAATTTATATTTCAAAGTAAATCAGCCTGTTTTTTCTTTAATTCACTTAGTGGGGGGTGGAGTTCAACTGGGTCCACTCGGCACGGCGGCCACTGATTGGCCTGTTGTAGCTTGCCCTGGGTGATTATGATGATGGAGAATTTGGTGGAATGAAGATTGGTAGGGGAAACCGAAGAACTTGGAGAAAACCCGCCTGAGCACCACTTTGTCCACCACAAATTCTACTTGACCAGACACAGGATCAAACCCGGGCCACCGCAGTGGGAAGCCAGCAACTAACTGCTTGAGCTGTGGTGCAGCCAAATCAGCCTGTTAGCCACAGACCTCATTTAACATCAGTTCTATCCACATGCCACTTCGAACAGGGAGCACCTTTCCTTCCACAAGACATGTAATACTGAAAGCGTATAAAGGAAAATAAAAAACTGCACAAAATTCACTTAAACAAGTTACTCATACCAGACCTTTATATTTAACGACACAATGACTGATGACCTTAGATACAAGTGTACTAGCATCGGGTGAAAAGGCCATGCCATAGCTCAAGGGGTTAGTCGCTGGCTTCTCACCGCGGCAGCCTGGGTTCGATCCCAGTGTCTGGTCAAGTGGGATTTGTGGTGGACAAAGTGGCACTGGGGCAGGTTTTCTCCGAGTACTGCAGATTCCCCTGCCAATCTTCATTCCACCAACTGCTCCACCATCACCCTCACCTATCATCTGGGGCTGGCACAATAGGCCAGAAGTGGCCACAGTACAAGGAACTTAGTTAGTCCCACTCCACTAGCAATATATATATATATATATTGTTGCGTGTTGGGTATGTAACACGACAAATAACTTCACGCCGTATTTGATATAGCAAATTTTATTTCACATTCGCACTTACAATCACCCAAATTACAATCTGACAATTACTGCTATCTGCAGTATCACAAATACTACACTGCAAATGCCACAATACAACTGACTGGTTGCTGGCTAACTCGGAGGTAGCTGCCTTGAGAATTAACTGTGAATAGCCTTCGCTGCTCCTTATGTAGCCTTGTTCCGGACAACACAGAATACGGCCACGTAATAGGCACCCTTGTTGCCTGGCGCCGCGTTGCTAGCAACGCTGTCCGGAGTTGTTTACTGCTTCCTAGTAACCGCGGTATCCCGTGGTGACATCACCACTGTTGACTCGCGTTGCATAGCTACCAGGATGCTGGGACTCGGCTAACTTCGGCTCCGCTCGGCGCGTCACAGCTGGCGGGGGGAGGGGTGTCATCCATAGCTCAACACGTCACAATATATATATAAAAAGTGATAATATCCAGGATATCCAAACAAAGTTCAGACATGTTAAATTCCTTAAACCTTTGGTTTACAAGTAATGGCCTGTCTTTAAATATGAAGAAAACTAAAGTCTTACAATTTGAAACAATTAATCATAATGGAAATATGCCAATGCAATTGCAGCATAAAGATGAGGTATATGATGCAATTATTGTTAATTTTTTGGGCCTTGAAATAGATAAGTTTTAAACTGGAAAACACACGTTAAATTAATGTTACCCAGATTGGGCAAGGCATGCTTCGCATTAAGAAATCTCAAGTTGTGCAGCAATACTGAAACACTTAGGATGATGTATCATGCATATTTTCATTCAGTCATGAGGTATGGGATAGTTTTCTGGGGTAACTCTTCAGATGCTAAGAAGATTTTCCTCTTACAGAAGAGAACTGTTAGGGTGATGATGGGATTGAAATAAAGAGATACATGCAGGCTGCTATTCAAAAAACTAAACATAATAACATTGGCCTCACAATATATATTATTTTTGATGATTTTTATGATAAGTAATCTTGAGTATTTTACTTTTAATGATGCAATCCATGATAAGACCACAAGACATAGAGGGAATCTACATGTATTGCAGTCACATTTAGCAGTAAGGCAAAAAGCAGTTTATTATATGTGTGTGTTAATACAGGATTTTCAATATTTATTTTCTCTATGTAAGACATTTAGTATAAGACAGGAACTTTTCATAGGAAAATTACAAGAAATATTAATCAATAATTCGTTTTATTTGGTTGATGAATTTTTGCGTTATTGTAAGGATTTATAGTGAGAAATATGTTTCACTGATATATTGGGTTTTTGGACCCAACAGAATAGGTGTTTTCCTTCACCTGAGGACGGAAACAGATCCAGTTTCCGAAACGTCGTGTTTTTATTTATCTTAAAAACCAGGACGATGGATAAAGTCCAAAAACCCAATATATCAGTGTGTTATACACCATCGTCAGAATGCTACAGTAACTACTTAGAAATATGTTTATTTAGGTATTTTTCATTATATTACCGTGGAATTTATATCTAAATATGTGACAACTATAGTTCTCCATTGCATGCATATGTATTATTATGTATTGTTAATTATCTTGTTGGTATAATTGCATGTGTAACATTTAATTGAGGTATTCAGTTTAGATTTTAACTATGGTCTAATTGATGTGTCTGCAATTCTATCTGTGATTGTCTTGTGACTGTTGTTTAACAAGTTTTATATTCAGTGCTGGTTGCACATTTATAAACACTTTGAAACGCTGATGTATGCATGTATCAATCTGTAAATACATCCAAATGGGTTCCTGGGAGAGAGCTCTCATTATACCATTTATTGATAAGAATGTCCTTAAAACAGCTCATAACTTTTCTTTACCTTTTTATCAAGTGTGTTCTCCACTGCCCATATTTGTAACTTGACTATATGAACCTTTACACAGCTATTTTCTGCCGACAAGTACCTATCACGTATGCAGTGATCCAGTATACTCTCAATTATCCATCTGCAGGTTATTCCAGCTTATGTTAGACCATATGCTAACCGTCTCAACTGCTCATATTCAGGTTGTATCAGAAAGTTTCCAGACTAGGTCAAAAAAGAAATGATGGCTTAACTTATTCAATTTTGGCTAACATCTCATTCAAAATAATCTCCTTGGGAACGTATACAGCGATCCCATCATTTTTTCCACACTTCGAAAGCACTGTGGAAGTCATTTTCCTTAATGCTGTCGAGCTCCACTTGCAATTCTCTTTGGATGTCAGACGCTGTTCCAAAATGTCATCCCTTCAGTTTCATTTTCAAATTTGTGAAACAAAGCGAAATCACCTCACCTCTGGTGAGTAGGGAGGATGGGGAACGATAACCATATTGTTGTTAGTCACAAACTCTGTGGTTTTGAGGGAAATGTGGGTGGCCACATTGTCTTAATGCAGGAGACAGTTGTGGTTGTGCCAAGTTTTCAGTTAAGATCTCCTGGAAAACTACATAACTAATCTCAATGGTGTCAATGGATTGTCTGGCGATGGTTTTCCAAATTTGATCAACATTTTCTGTCATTTTTATATGCTTGGTTGCACTGAATGTTTATCATCTTCAACAGACACTTGACGGGCCTTGAAACGTGAATGGCATTCAAAAACCCCTGTCCATCTTAAAAGAATGTTCTCTGAATGCCCCATGAAGCATTTCTAGGGTTTCAGTAACAGATTTACTGAGCTTTATGCAAAACTTGATGCAGACACATTGATTGATTCTGCCATCCGTCACAGAAAGAATGAAACATGAAGTTGAAAAAGCATTCGTGTAAACACAATGCGTGTTCACAGTGTGGTGTCACATGGGTGACTGGCGCAATAAGCTTGCAGAATTGTGACCTTGGCCTTCCCCTCATCATCTTCCACAAAAATAACAGCCTGGGAACTTTCCGATACACCTCATATACAAACTGTTATTCCAGCCATAACACTGTGTGCAAAAATAAGCTAGCAAGATAAATTATATTTAAAAGTGTCCTTCAACTACACTCACCACCACTAACTGCAACAACTTCAGCCCTGTGTCACATTACAAAGCCAGATCAATCCAGCCCATACCACCTATCCTATCTCTAAGAACCATTTTAATATTATCCATCCACCTATGTCCTGCCCTACCTGGTGGTCTCTTACCTTCTGGCTTTCCCACCAGTATCCTATCATGCATTCCTCTTCTACCCCATTTGTGCTACATTCCTTGCCCACCTCATCCTCCTCTACTTGACAGAGAGGATATGAATGAAGCTCCTCATTATGTAGTTCTCTCAAACCTCTAGTCATTTCGCCTCTCTTTGGTCCAAATATTTTCCTCTGCACCCTGTTCTCAAACACCCTTAGCCTGCTTTCTTTCCTTAATGTCAGAGAACAAGTTTCACCTCCATACAGAACTACACACAAAATTATAGTCTCGTATATTCTAATTTTTACGTTTTCTGAGAGCAAAGAAGATGACAGGTTTCTGGACTGAATGGTAGCAAGCACTACCCAAATTCAATCTTCTCTTAATACTCTCCTGAATCAAATTCTGATTAGTTACTGTTCTCAAATATTTGAACTGTTCCACACTTTCAAAGGATCTATTAGCTATCTTTATGTCTTGATTCTGCCCTGCATTCTTGTGGTGAGACAGCAATATATACTTATTTCCTTTTATGCTATCCCACTGTAGATTCACATCATCGGCATAGACTAACAGCTGATGTGTCCCGTTTAATTTCAGTCCAACTGGTTTTCCTGGACCTCCTAATAGCATATTCTAAAGCAAAGTTGAAAAGGAGTAGCAAGAAAGCATCTCCTTGTTTTAGATAAGAAACTTATTGTCTCACTGTACTCAATTTTTTCTCTAGTAGCTGATGGAAGGCAAAAATCTAATCAGTAGTTGATGCCAAAAATGCACAATAAATATTAATCCATTAGCACCAGAGGTTATAATTTAAATAGTCTGAGGACTGGAGTGGTACAATGAAATCATATTTAACACTGTCCATCATTTTACTTTTGTTTCAGAACTCAACTTGTCTGAGGGCACGCGGTAGCGTAGTGGTTGAGGTGCTACGCTACAAGCCGGAAGGTCGCGGGTTCAAATCCCGACAAGGTCATTGGACTTTTTCAGTTGGCCTAATCCTTCCAGCCGCACTAGGCCAGGAATTAAATAATAATTTTCCTGGGGAGTAAAGCGCAGCCAGCATGTAAGGCTGACAACCTCACCGCCATCTTTGAGCTGATTGTCTAGATAATGTGGGACTCTCCAACATCTCACAACCCTATGGACCTTCACGGCCTGGTACAGAGAGAGCTTTGCTTTACTTTACTTACTGAACTTTTCTCTATGCACAAAGGAAATCAGCGTGAATGTCACAACATTTTCTCAAATACGACACACAATAATAGCTTGTAGATATTGATGTGTGAGCCCATGCAGTGCAATGATTTTGATCAACTGATGGTTGCCTGATGATGGCCTTGTGAGGCCAAAACACGATGCAACAAAATAGAAAATGTGATTTTAACTACATTTTATGAATTCTAAATTTGATTATGACACATGACATGTGTTTGCATCATAGACGGAAGTTAGGGAATGAGTCATTTTATATACTTTGTACTTTTCCCCATACACCAAGGTTTTTTATATGTGGATCTTATATTTATTTTGTAAATAATTTTGTGACAAAATCTAAGACCAAGACATGGTCAAGTGACTTCTTTTATTTTGTGAATGACTAACACTTCTTAAAGACAGTCTGTCATTTCCTGTACACTGTGATGTACAATCACCCCACAGATTCCAGGCAGTGAAGTGTGGGACCAGAGTACATCACATCACATCACATCACATCACATCACATCACATCACATTCAGAATCAGATTTAGTACATGCACACGCACAAAATGCTCTCTCACACAGTTCACTTCATGGGTTTTCAGTTTGTAATAGTTCTCTTCATCACTACTATACTACCATAATTCCAAACAGCCTTCACCATTAATCACTACAACGTATCACCAATTCAGACTCACACCCAGCCAACAGTTCATTCACTCATTTCATTTATTTATTTACTGCAGAAGCTGAAACTCATATCTTATAAAGAAATTGTTCTCGGTATTTTATAACTTAAGATTATGAGAATAAAAAGTGACTTTTTTTGTAACAGTCCATTTCGTGTGTCTCTCGACCTGAGTTGCATAATAATCATACAAATGCAAATGTTATTGGTTTTAAAAAATGTTTCATGCTCTCAATATGTAGAAGCTTGAATGAAATGACAACACTGATCCAATACATTCAACAGAGTAACAGCATACAGAATATTAACCTTTAATGTTTATATAGAATGTATGAAGAAAATGTCTGCACAGCAGTGTCAGGTTCACATGTGCGACCATACCGCAGACACTGTACAGCTTCCTGTTTATACTGTGTCTCACATTCATCTGTAGATTTCTACTTCGCTGGGATGAATGTGAGAAACACAATGCTATAGCATGCATTGCTCCCAACATCATATTACAAATGCTGGTTATTAGAACATGCATAAATTTAATATATACATTGTACATATATTTGAACAAATGTAATATTTAATTCGAAAAAGAATTCTTGCAGGACCAGCAGGGCATTTGGGTCAGAAACTTACAGGTAATTCCATGTAAACATGTAGCTACATCCATCACTACACAGTAATATAAACACTTATAATGGAGCAAAACTAACACCCTCATCAGTTTATCCTGAAAGTGCACAAAAAGCTCTTACAGCTTTTGTTGCACTAATTTGTAAGAAACAAAATTACACTGCACAGTTCATCAAACAACAAGATGTCATGAAGTCATTAAACTTTGTAATTTTGTATGGTTAGTACATAACACTTTAACTTGACAGAACTGTGATATACAGAATCTGACCTGTCTTCTGTATGATGGAAAAAATATTATATGCCTTCATATGCTAATTTCTTTCAAATATAGATTTAAATTAATAAAGATTACTCGATTAATGTTGCCAATAAACCACAAATAATAATTTAAATGACACCTTGAATGAAACTAAGGAGTGAATTATGTAAAAATGAGTGTAAAACTTAAATTTCAAACTAGTATATTCCAACTCATGAACTTACAAATCAAATTACAATATACTTGGGGGTGCACTTCAAGCTGTTAGAATACCTGCAAATCTGGTGCTCATTTCCATCTACACATGCATCACGAACTCACAATCACATTTTAGAATTTCTGCAATGTTACTCAAGATTTACAGGAAATGGCATTTCAATTCTAAATATATATATATATCAATTATCTCTGTAATTTAAATTATCAGACGTTTATTACGACATTTATCACATTCTTACCTTGCCATATACCTCATATAGTACTTCATCAACAAGCTTTATTTTGTATGTATCTGAGAACATCTCATCACCTGGAATTTAATGATACAGTTCATCAGCAAAAGAAACTGCAATGTTCAGACACGTGAATAGAACTAAAGAACACTTACTGGGCGAATTACACAAAGGCATAAAACATAAATCTGCTAAAACTTAGGGACAAGCTTTAATTTCATATTCACTTCTAAAATGTAACACCTGTCAGTCTTATTAATGTAACACGTAACACACCTAAAAGCAAACTTTGACACAATAAATTGGGCACGTAAACTCACATAAAAGTGACATGTTTTAAAAGTACACATAACAAGTATTAACAATTACCAGTAAAAATGTCCTTGTAAATCCTCATTATGGAAGATGATTTGAGATTTAATAACAACAGGAACAGACACACTTTCAGCCACCCTGTTGCTCACACCGGAAAAGAACCTCTTCACAAACTGCACTGCTTAGGTGAGTTTAACACTGCCGATTTACTATATACTCGTAGACAAGGCCAATTCTCACCGAATCAAAGAGAGTGAGAGATGTCGGTATATGAAGACAACCACTTGTTGAACTATTCTATAATAATTATTATAGTTGCACAGCAGACACACACGAACTTGAGTTTGGAGAATTAAAGAATAATAACAATAGTGAACTCTGTAACACCTTGGACGTTATATTGAAACGCAACTCTGAACTAGAACCGTAAACTTCCACTCAGTGTATCTGCTTATATAACCTAGAGTCGGACCTATAGAAAACATGTCACTGTCCGTATTGTTGCAGGCTTTGCGTAGAACCGGCTGTTTACTCAGCCGTTGCTCGGCAAGGAATGGTTTCTAGCTTGCGATTACCTAGCACACGATCCACCGTGGGTACTTCCCATAGTCACATATTGTTGAAGACCTTACAGAGCAACGACTGTTTACTCACCGTTGCTGAGCAATGGTACTTGAGCTGTCACTGTAACGTTTGCTTGAATGTGGGCAGTTCCCACAGAAGACATGGTATTTGATAATTTACGCGGTAAATACAAAATAGTTATTCCTTTGCTTGACAAATTTAGCACTACGCCTTGAAGGCGTAAAGGGGAGTGGTTACTGACCACTGACTTCCAATTAGTGTCGAGGTCAAGAAAATGTGGATCTATACATCCATATACAAGGGCACACAGGCCATTTGTAGAGAACGGTGACAATAGTACGTGCATACAATTTCCACCGCAAAACTTTTATATTCAATAAAGAAGTTTCCCTTTGTATCGAACTTGTACAGGACTCAGATTGCTTTCATCTTATGAATAGTAATCAGCTATGAAGAGCACTATCATTTGTAATGTGATGCATTGTAGTATGGCAGAAATTTAAGGGCTTTTATTTGTATCACTTTTCCCTTTCGGTTCATTGCTTACTTGTTAAATTTATTTTTGTACCCTGAGGATGGAGGCAATTGTTCTTCCGAAACGTCTGTAAATATGTACCAGATTACAACGGCGTCACACCACCCTGAGAGCCTTAACTTCAGCATTAAATCATTTATATGATTTGATAGCTCACTTCTGACAGAATTCATAATTAGGACCAGCTCGACAGCACAATAAAAGCAACTGACCGCCCTGGGCAGCATATTTTGTTATTCCATCCTGTTTACTTATATAAAATTGAGCTTTCGGGAAGTGGAATGCTTTGCTTGCAACCTGCTCCTTATTTGTTTTTGTTTGGCTTATTCTTCGACCCCGATGATTGAGGCGACATGTTCCTCCGAAACATCGGGTGACTGTGAAAGGAAAACACGGATCAATATCTAGAAGTTGGGACTCGTGTTAAACACCCATGTGAGAACCTATAGTTGCAATTCTTTGATGAAGAAAGCCAATAAAAGGAGGAAGAACGAGGCATGACCACGGGCACCACGGGCATGATGAGCATGACTATATACGTATTACCCATCCCATACGATTACATGACAACATGATACTACTTTGTCAGGGAAAAGTACCTGGACGTAATTGTAATCTGTGATTGTACTCCCAGAACTACAACGCAACATGACGCTGTGACACAATATTTGTGATATGTGATAAACGATACACAAATTACGTGTGGCCAATGTGTCGACCAGTGCCTGCAGCTCGTATCCATGCATAATACTCCGTGATCAGCTAGCATTTGTGAGATGTGTGACTTTACTAATCTCTGTATGTGACGTAATTCAGGTTTATTTCTGTGTTTGGTGGTTTGGTTATTGTATGGATTTAATTCCTAAGTTGTAAGTACGTGCCTCGAATATAGTGGTTATGTTTTATGTGACAGGTGAGCTGCATTCATGTCTGTTAACACAGTGCGTATGCGATTTTCGAAATATGAGCGCACTTTTCCCAAGATAGTATACATTGACAAAATCGTACGTGTTATTGGCAAAGTATCTTAAAATGCGTTGGGACAGTTACCTTCATATAAGGAAACAGCGGAGATTTCCAAGTACAATAATAATTATTTTCTTTTTATTAAAAGAACTATGTTTTTAAAATAATATGTGTAGTGTATGTTCTTTCCCATTGCAAGAGATAACAGCTCGTTCCAGTCATTACTTCTCTGATTTTGACATGAAATTGGATATGAGGTTAAGTCAACATATTTTATGTTAATTAATATTACTGAAGTGTGTGAAGAATAATGAAATAGTCTTAATGAACTTTCAGAATACAAATTTACTGTAACTTAATTGAATTGAATTGAATTTATTTACATTCTATAAATCCTAAGTAGGTTAGTACCTTTGGATACAGAACAAGTCAAAAGGTTACATACATAAGTACAGGCAATTTTAGCTTAAAAATTAATATAACTTAATTTTACATCATTCTCTATTTACATTGAAGTATTCATCTAAAGAGTAGAAGGAATGAGCATGTAGATAATTCTTTAACTCTGATTTAAACTTTTTAGTATCATTGCGCAAGTTTTTAATACTTTGTGGCAGATTGTTGAACACTTTTATGCCAGTAAAGTAGACTCCTTTTTGATATACTGATATGCTGTTATATGCTGAAGGTGAGTAAGTGTACTGGATGTGACTGACTGTTCCAGAGTGCTATTTACACAGTGACTGCATTTAACAGCTGTGGGCTTAACACAGTTTACTGTAGGGTCCTGAAATATATGTATATATATTTTTTATTTATTTATTTCGTCTCTATAGATCATTGTTACATGATATAGGACAAGTCAGTTACTATACATTGGCCGATTATAATAAGAGAATAAAGTTACAATATTTAAAATTGTTTACAATACATTACACTAGTTAAGATTTCATATAGTGTGAGGTGGAATCCATATTAGGTCCCCTCGGTACGTCGGCTTCCATATGTCCTATTGTACCTGTACTGGTGATAATGTTTATGGAGAATTTGATAGAATGAGGATTGGCAGGGGAAACTGAAGTACTCGGGGAAAACCTGCCCCAGCGCCACTTTGTCCGTCACAAATCCCACTTGACTAGACTGCAGCGGTGGGAAGCCAGCGACTAACCGCTTAAGCTATGGCGCGGCCTTTGAGATAATATTGGTGAATTTGGTGATAGCACTGGTATAACGTTTCACTGTAGACTCTACACTGCAACATATATGGTAATGGATCTTTGCGAAATAAGCAGCTTGTGTAAAATCACAGTGTTGTATGCCATAGACTACTGATGTGGTGGTTATGAGAATATTTTTGTTTAGCATCCAGTTTGACAGCAATAACTAACAAATTATTGGAGCTAGGTATCTGAAGTTTGGAATGAAGGTAGACTATAAACATACTTAAAAGGTGTGTGTGAAATAGTGTTTGTGATTTTGCAGTTGTAAACATTGTGACAGTTTGAAAGTTTGAGGTTATAATGAACAAATTTAATGTAATCAGAATCTATTTGTAATAAGTTCTTCCAAAAATGAAACTTATGATATTTATTTATTTATTTCGTCTGTAGATCATTGTTACATGATAAAGGACAAGATAGAATTCTGTATGTATTATATTCACAATTGCAAGTAATGAAAAAGATAAAGATTACTGAATTTATATTATCATCTGCTTACAAGCTCAGCACACAGACCTGTTAGCTAAGTTGCAGGGTGTTGTTGGATTTTAAAATTAAGGTAAAGTTGGCCATATGCTTAACTGATTAAGCAGTATGCCATGAAGGCATATAGGGGAGTGGATGTATATATCCTGATTTTCTTGACCTTGGCACTGCCAGGAGGTGAGCGGTCAGCTTCACACCCTGGCTGCTTTACCCCCAGGGAAAGAGCCACTAGTACCCATTGGATAGGAGAGCTGGTGGATCCCAGAGCTGGGCTGGACGATGTGGAGGAGAGAAAATTCTTCATCCTACCAGGACTCCAACTCTGACCCCTCCATCTGTAGCTAGTTGCTGTACTGACTATGCTATCCATGCTCCCTGGCTTGTAAAATTACTTTGTGTAAATTAATCTGTGCAGGGAGAAATTAGGTTTTATAACATGACTGAGTGGTAGCTCCATCAAGTATAAAGAATTTAATATGAGAATATAAAAGTAAGGTGACCTTTTTATGTTCTTACATGAAACTTGTTACACTTGATCGACCTACCACTCATTCGTGTATTAAAAAGTGTAATGGCTCAAGATGTCTCTTATAAAGATAGATTTTATAAGTCTGCCTGAAACTCTTTGTTCAGATGAATATACTGCCTCCACTTTAAGAATCGGTAGCTCGAAGAATGAGAGTATGATCCTCTGAAACAGTGGTGTACAAGTACCAGACTGCATGATATCATAACCCAGAAACTACATTATGACTTGTACGTTTACTTGGCTGCTGCTAATGACTGAAACACATGGATACCAGGAAAAGGGACAGCTTTCTGCCCATCTCCGGATTTTTGAGGGAGAGTGAAAGGATTTATGTGCACTATTAACACTGAAGGATCTTGAACACAGTTTGTTATACCATCAGTGTTTCAGTATCCAGACTCACAACAATACAGTGATTTTTTAATCAGTTTGAGTATTTAATTAATTTTTAGTTCTCTAAAGTACTGTGCTTGCTGTATGTAATATCTGCTCTAACACTGGTTTTCATGGAGTTGTCACAATAAATTGTGATTATTTCTCTGACCAGCATTAACTGAGTGGTCTCTGAATTGAATACCCAGTGTCTTTTTGTGGGGTAGGAACTGAATTTTTATATAGATCAGTTTCAAGTATTGAAGTGTTATTAATCACAGATCAGGTCATACTTTCATTACATTCAGGTGTTTGTAACAGCACCCTTGTTTTAACTGCAGGATGTTTGTAGTCATTCCAGAACTTCCTGCTTTTCTGCATGCAGCTCTTTGTTTTTGTGAGAATATGCCATTCAGTGGCCATGTGTCTGATGATATTACTTCTTCATGTAGCAGAGAAGAGGTGAAGTTGCTATGCTAAAATTACATTTGTAAGCTGGTGTGAAGTGTGACTGAAGTTTCAAATCAATGCCCTACATCTTAGTGAGGGGCAATCTCTCATCTTACGGGAAAGACTACCCATGGCGAGTTCTTGTTTCAGGCTTGAAAGGTATGTTGACACAAGACCTAGCATTTTATTGTTTACAGTATAATTCCTATTGCCAACCAGTTTAAATCAGGCCACCAGCAGCTTTTTTAGCAAGTGATTTAAATGCAGCTAATCAAGACTGTGGAAATTGATTGCAATATGATATGTTCATAGTATAATTAGGTTTGAGTGTAACTTAATATGAGCTCCAGTCTCAGCTCTGCAAATGTAATTATGATATGCAAGCTGAGTCCTTATCGTGGTCAACAACACAGTTGCACTGTTATTGTTGCTGTTTTTCTTCTGTGTCACAGATGTTGTGAATTGTCCATTCAGTCAGTATACACAGTGTCTTTTACATATCCCACAGGAAAAAGTTGAGCAGTGTTAAGTCAGGACTCCTTGGAGGCCACTGTGTGAGTTCATGTCTTCCATCCACCAACCAAGAAGGTGGTCATGTAGTACAGCTTATCCTAATGCTTAAAATACTGAAATGGCAAACAGTGCCATAGTGTTGCTTCACATAATTGCATTGTGTTCACTGCCTAGTACAATAAAGCTTAACATGTGCCATTCATTCTTGCTATCTATGACATTCTCTTTTGTTCATGTAAATAAATGTGTCTCCTTAACCAGTTATGTGTATATATTCTTCTCTCTCACACAGTGGGACATTAAAATTCCCCGGACATTTAAATCTTTTACTGTGGCGTTTATTTTTATAATTTTTGCTCCTTTTTAAAATTCAGTATCTCAACCATGTCTTGTTATAAAATTATGAAACAAAAAGTCTCAGAAAGACCAATTATCAGAGTTCATATGTCTATATTTTCATTTATATAGCTGTTACATTAAAGTTTATATATACAGGGGGTGGACAAAACAGTGGAAGCACTAAGAAATTGAGGAATAGAATTTGTGTTGGCTACACTGAAAGAAGTTCAGTTGGCAACATTGAATGTTCTTCCATTTGTTTACTCTCTGTAGTGCTCTTGTCAGTGAATTAGTGTTGAATGACAGTTGTTGTGAAAGAATCAGAAAGTGGGAGACTTGTCTGATTTTGAAAGACAGATTGTTGGTGTGCATTTAGCTGGAGCATCTGTGGCAAAAGCTGACACATTATTATGTGTATTGAGAGTGACAGTTTCTAAGGTTATATTAGCATACATGAATCATGGGAACACAACATCAGAGAAGAGGGGCAGTGGGTGAAAATCAACATTGACAGAAAGAGATTGTTGTACGTTAATTGGCTTCCACCACTGCCCTGAGCAAACCTGCCCTATACATGAATGAATGAATGAATGAATGTATGAAGGGTAGGCCTTCTTGGCCCTTGCACTGTGACCTACAGTGGTCTATTTGTTCTTTGCTCTATACATACTTCTAATATTCCAAGTACCAATTCTCATATCCATTTTCTTTTGCCTGGGTTGTTTGTTCAGAGTTTCCATCCAGGTCCGAGGCTTTTTGAACATTTTCGTAACAAGCTTATTTTTTATGGTGAGGAGTGACTGCTTATTCAGTATATTTACAGCTTCCCTCCATACATGGAGGGCGTCTCCTCCATCCGCAACCTGAGGATATGCCATGCCGTGGTGACAAGGGAGGTTGGAGAAAACTATAATGAGGAGCTTCATAACTTGTACTCTTCTCCATGTATAATTAGAATGATCAAGTCATGGAGGATGAGGTGGGCAGGTCATTTAGCATGATTGGGGGAGAAGAGGAATGCATATAGGGTATTGGAGGGAGAGCCAGATGGAAAGAAACCACTGGGAAGACCAAGGCATAGGTGGCTGGAATATATTAAAATGGATCTTAGAGAGATAGGATGGGATGATATGGCTTGGATTGATCTGGCTCAGGATAGGGACCAGTGGATGGATCTTGTGAACATGGTAAAGAACCTTCAGGTTCCCAAAAATCCTGAGAAATTCTTGAGTAGCTGCACAGTTGGTGGCTTCACAAGAAGGGCTCAGCTCCATGAGTGAGTGAGTGAGTGACTGAGTGAATGGTATAACCTCCTACATGTTTTGGCTTATTAAAATTCATCATCGATCAAATATACACTAATAGCATTTTTCTTAAAATTGCGGAATTGCTATTAGTGTATATTTGCGTGATGATACTTTATTACTAAGCCGAAACATGTAGCTCATTATACCACTAAGATCAGTAAACTTACCATGAACACTTGATGTGAGTGAGACTAGTGAGAGTTGTTGTGTTGTGACGGAGAAAAACATTTGTTATACATTAACCCAACAGGCTGCACACTATATTCAGTTTCTTGTAACAGTTTGTATAACACGTCATCACTCACACGCATCTTCATATTATGTCCTGCCATAATGTTTACATACAAAAACTCGAACCCAGGACAGCTGTCAAGCAATCAGCAGCTTCATGTCACACTCTGAAGTAACTGGAAGACCTAATGAGCACAACGTACAAATTTGCATTGCTAAGTGTCATATCTACAATGGTGTAGTTGGAAATATGCATGACGCTTAGAGATGTCATACCACATATGATGCAGGATAGTGCATGATGTGTTCAGATATCATACCCACTTAACTGGTTAAAACCCTGGAGTTCTTCATCAGACACTATATATTGTGCATTGTGTGCTGATTTACTTTATTGTGACAGGCTAAACGATTTGTATGCCCTTTCATGAGCAAAACACGTGTCTTTTGGGTTACAGTATGGAATCAAATTGATACAGTTAATGGGAAGGTTGAAGTGAGAATTATATTTCCTGCCATTTCAGTGTTTGTGCCATGTGTCGTTATAGTTAAATTTGACAAAAACTGATACAAAAAATATACTTCACTAACTACTGAATTATAAATAAGATTATAAATTTTAGCCATATATGGCACACTGTTATTAAATGTAGATGCATCCATTCATAGTTGTTCCAAATATGGAAGATGCTTGAAATCAGTTTGTAGAATAAATGATGAAAACTCTACCAAAAATAATTTATTTGAGTTTATTTTTGTAACAGTTTTGTTTGTAATTATATTCCTTATATTGGCAGAAGTGTAATTTAGTTTTCTGTAGGTGTGCAAGAACGGCTGCATTAAAAGTATATACTTGATATAGTTGTTCTTTTTGATTATAAACTAATAGTTGTCTTCAGCAGTCTCAGTGTGTACAGATCTTTAAATCCTGTCATGCCTTCAGGGATAAGAAAGAGTTCACAAGTTTACATAATAAAATACAGGATGGGGCGCAGAAACTTCCTTTTTTTGAAGGCGAATAAAAGAAAAGTTATTGCTGATAGACAAAATTTATGTTTAACTAATGAAAGAGCATACTTCAAAGTTTTAAATCATGTAGTTTTAAACAAAATATCTTGAAGGTGGTGGCCACCGTTCTCTATGCACTGATGCAACTGTTTTCTGAAGTTCCCCTCTGCATGTTTGAACATGTGCACCTGAATTTGGGCTACTTCCTGCTGAATAACATTCTTCAGCTGAAACAGGTTTGTGGGGCTATGTTTAAAAACCTCTGCCTTGAGGTGTCCCCATAAAAAAATCACAGGGCATTAGATCAGGTGAGTGCCCATGGGATGTCACCTCGAAATGAGATGAGCCATCTGGGGAACTTTGCCCTCAAAACTGTCATCGAAGTTCGGGCTGTGTGGGCCGTGGCACCATCCTCTTGGAACCAGACATTTCCTAGATGCATTTCTTCAAGAGCTGGTTCAAAAAAGTTTTTAATTATGTCCACATACCGCTGTGAACTGACAGTAACTGCATGATTGTCTTCTTCAAAAAAATAAGGGCAAAGAACTCCAACTCTCGACAGTGCACACCATACTGTCACCTTATCACTGTAAAGTGGCATCTCATGGAGCTCTCTGGGATTGTTACCACTCCAGTAGCACATATTCTGCTTGTTGACATATCTGGATAGGTGAAAATGTGCCTCATCACTAAAGAAAACAAGTGCGTCAGGGGGTAAAGTTTTCAATAACACTTCGCACGCTGTTATTTGGTTCTGGAAATCACGTGGTGACAATTCTTGCACAACAACCATCTTATAGGGATGGGAATGATGATGTTCGTGAAGAATTCGGCACATTGAACGATTGGAAATGTCTAGGGCGACTGCATGTTTGCGAGCAGAGCACCTTCAAGATCTGAAAATCGACTGTCAAACTGCTTCCACATTTTCTGGTGTTGTAACAGTCCGTTGTCGTCCTGATGATTTTTTCACGACACTCCCGGCTGTTGCTAAAGTTCTCTACCCACAAAACGATCGATTTCTGATTGGGAACTGGACCTCTGGGCTTAATTCCAAAGTGAGTCTGGAACGCACGCTGCACTGCCACGTAAGAATGGTTGTTCGAAAAATAGGCTTCGACAGCAAACGCACGCTGCTCAGTCGTCCACCTCATGTTTCCTACTGAGGGGTATTAGAAACTTCCACGACTGCTGCGTTCGCCGAGCCTATCCCCACTTTTCTGCAACCTCCCTTCCCTTCACAATGGGTCTTCACAAAAAGGAAGTTTCTGCGCCCCACCCTGTAATAACAGTAGATGATTCAAGTAGCTTGGCTGGCTTTATGAAATTCATAATGTGTCGGTACTTTCAGTAGTATTTCTCTTTTCAGCATGTGACATTGAACAGTTGAAAAGATTTGCCTCAGGTGGGTATTGTGATGAATCTACAATTGTGTACCTGCAGCATCCTTGCGTTGTTCTAACTGCTCTCGAAGTTTTAGGATATCAAGTTGTTGCATCTTCATCCACATCAATTAAACAAGACTATAATGAGTATATGTGGACAATGAGAAAGGAATTTACAGAGCCAGAACCTGTTTTCACTAAGCCAAGTAAGAATTCTGAGTTAGCTATAAGATTTAGTGCCATATATATAAAACTTCCTAAGCTACTGATTTATTTCAGTGTATACATCTTCAGGTTGAGAAGATGATGCAGCAGTTACAATTTCTTCCTTTGATAATGTAAAAATAAATAAATAAAGTATCATTGCATTAGCACAGGATGGAAAGGCTATCCTAGGAGGAATATATGATAGAATTTCTTTAAAATTTGCTTAGTGGAGGGTGGAGTCCAACTTGGTCCACTTGGAATGGCGGCCATTAATTGGCCTATTGTAGCCTGCCCTGGGTGAATATGATGATGGAGAATTTGGTGGAATGAAGATCGGCAGGGGAAACCGAAGTACTCAGAGAAAACCCGCCCCAGCGCCACTTTGTCCACCACAAATCCCACTTGACCAGACCCATGATCAAACCTGGGCAGCCACAGTGGGAAATCAGAGACTAACCGCTTGAGCTATGGTGCAGCCCGTGTGACAGAAAGATTAGCTGTAGAATTTCTGTCAAGCTCCTCGCCAGGTTGCTTTTGCAGTATTTTTACACTTAATGTTTTACATCAAAGAGGGAGGAAGTAAAATGAGGTTTGGAAATTTTGTAATTGATGCTCTTTGGCAAATATTAATAGGAAGATCAAATCAAGGAGGATGACATGAGTGGGGGATGGAAGAGGTGACATGCATACAAAATTTGGTCAGACAACACGAGTTTACAAGACCACTTGGAGGATTCAGGCATGTTAATGTTAAGCTACATTCATTGCCTTACTGATTAATAAGACAGTGGATTTCTGAACACACTCTGAAGAATAACTTTACCGTTATTCTTTATTTTGTTTTAGCCCTGAATGTTGATTAAATTTATTAGATTTATTATTTGAAAATTATACCTTCCTCATCCTTCTTCTTGTGCAAAAGCCGAACAGAGGAATGGAATTAGGAGACCCAATTACATTTTAAAATCTGAGCAAATATAGTTCAGCAGTAGAGCACTTCATTTGCACTTGGAGGTGCATGCTTTGAATTTCAACGAGGTACTTTCCCAACAAGTATTCTCATAGTTTTATGTAGTCTGATGCATTCACCTAATTGGCATGAATGGTATATGATGTTTTAATTTTATTTCAGCATTGAAGCAGTAGTCATGAATATGTCTGTACCAACATATTATTATATAGCAGTGAAGGGTTCTTTGTATGCAAGTGACTGCTCAGTCTTTGGACTAATTCCAGCAGAAGTTCAAGCATTATCAACGAAATATCCTTCCTCAATTGAAGTGATTAATGGAATGACCATTAAGGGTAAGATTGCATTTAATCTACTTAATTATACTATGGCATGTAGACATGTTGCTAGGCAGTGACTGCAAAACAGACAATGGCCATTGCTAGGCAGTGACCCTCAAACAACAACAGAGGAGGTGTGTTTTCTGTGTGGTCTGCTAAGCAGTAATTGAACAGCAGAATGACATTTTTTGTGCGGTCTGTTCTGAGCTGTTGTAAGCAGGACAATTGGAACAGTGACTTACTACTGCAGACAATGACTCTGACAAAATACTGACCCATCCTCTTGTTAGAGATGGCACCCCACAAAGACAAGACCGAAACTGTGAAACAGTAATAAATATCTGGTCATAAGCCCCAGGTTGGGCTCGACACCAAGACTTACTGACTGACCAACTGACTGACTGACTGACTAACCATCAGTCACAATGTGACTTTGACTTTGAATGAGTTTGTTATCAGACGGTTGGCAACTGGTAAGAATGTGAGCATGGAAGCAGAGGACATTGTGAGAAGATGAATGTGATTGCGTGTAATTATACAGCTATGTTCGTACACCTGAGGATGACCTCTTGAGGTCGAAACATGTAGTGTGATAGTAGTAAAGGTATGTTGTGTGGTCGGTAAAATTGACTCTTTAATATTGATTAAATACACAACAGGATGCAAGAAACAAACTCAACAGAAGAGATGACTTGGGTGACTTAGACACAAATGGCTGAATGGAGTTAAAAGGGATGTGAGAGAATAGGGAGTGACAGCGTGGACTGGATTCATCTGGATTAGGTTAAAGACCAGAGGTGATCTTTTGTGAACAGTGTAATGAATCATCTGGTTCCAAAAAATGTGCTGAGTTTTGTGATTAGTTGAGTGACTGTAAGCTTTGCACTTGTTTTGACCAAAACTGTTATGGTGAAAGAGGACCACTGTGGTTGGATTTTAGTCTGCTGAAAACATCCATGGGATTGAACCCAAACCTACGTAAGAGTCAGAGTTACTTTACGACTGGCGGTTTACTGCCAGCCAGTTTGCCTTGACGACAAGCCCCTAGAGACTCACGACCAGTAATTTTATTTTCCAACTGATTACTTGCAGTAATAATCCTTATGTAACATCCTCTGTCCAGAGGATAAGTCTGTTGTTTACAATTGCTGTTAGTCCTCACCAGTGCAGTCATTCTCAGGTCTGAGTTCTGCAGGACTCATGACCGTATTTTACTGTCTCAAATTCAAGACTCCCCAAACCTGGAGAGCCAGGTCCCCATATCTGTATCCTCCAGGAACAGGGTGGCCTGGTTATACACCCAGGCACTGGGTTCCATTTTGTGACCTGCAACTCACAGGGCTGTGGTGGAAGTATTTGATGGGTGCACAGGTCTGACCTCCCAAACCAACCTATTTTCCAGTTATTTCCTTTATTGGAAAGGCATTGGGATTGTGAGAACAGTGGGATTGTGAAAATAGTTGGTTTATTGCTAGAATATGAGGGGGAAACTGAAACTGTCTTCTTGCTGTTAGGATACAAAAGGGGAGAGCCGAACTGTCTCATACTGTTGCTGTAATACAGGACAATACTGAAAGTATCGTCTGCCATTATAGATTTATTATAAATATTTGTTTCCTATATGTGTTCATTATGCCCAGGCAGAATTATTAATTTTGCTGCTACATGCATGGGTTCAGGTCCAGGACATCCTATTTTACCATTACTTTCTCTGTCAGAAAAGCACTGAGATGATGACAACAGTGTGTTCCAAATGGTTTCTCCCAAACACCTCATAGAAGAAAATTGGTAAAGACTAGAGATGTTCATCTTGGGGGGAGAGCCTCACGAAAATTGATAATTCTGCTGCTATATGCATGGTTTCAAGGCCAAGCCCAGTTACTTCCGCATTATTTCTTCCATATGAAAGGTATTGGGGTCAAGACAGTGATGGGACTGTGACAACAGTGAGATCGTGTGTTACCAATTAAAGTGTTGAGAATTTGGGGTGAGGGCTGCAGTGCTGTAAGAGGATGTATGAGAATGAATTATTTAGTGTAGTTCCAGTGCCAAAGTCAGGGAAATGTTTGTGTTTCATTATTACAATTATAAGATTATAAGATGACCAAACCTGAAGTAAAAATGAATGCAGTAGATGAGGGTGATTCCTTCCTTAATGTTTTAGGTACTACATATTGTGATATTCATAAGGAAAGCTACCATATCCTCTCAAAGAACAAATACAAGGTGGTTCAAATATGACCGGGACTGATTTTTTTTTTAAACCATAATTGCCAAACACTTACTTGCACATGTCAGTCTTCAGCGTACTCCCCTCTGGAGTCAACACATTTTTTCCAACATTTTGGAAGCAACCTGATGCCCTTTTAAAAAAAGATTTGTTGTTGTCTGTGTATGCACTCCCGAACAGTTTGGATGACAGCGTCGTTGTCCACAAACCGCATGCCTTGCAAGTCCAATTTGAGCCTTCCAAACAGGTAGAAATCACTTGGGGCCAAATCGGAACTGTACGGCGGATGTGTTAGAAGGTTTCATTTAAATTTCCGGAGGGTTTCAATTGTTGTTTTGGCCGTATGGGGGCTTGCATTGTCTTGAAGGAAGGCTACCCGCTTTCCACCTGTCTTCTGCTTGGATCGGATCTTTTCCTTCATGTCTGTTGCCAGGAGGTCTGAGAAATAAGCTGCATTGACTGTTCTGGCATCTGTCAGAAAGTCTACATGGATAACCCCCTGCTGACGATAATGCGGTTCATTCTCCACGCGGTCTCTGCCCTCTCTGAAGCACTTACACCACTCAAACACACGGGTCCGTGAGAGAGACTCTTCGCCATACTGTTGTTGGAGTCTGTGGTGAATTTCAGCGGACGGGACGTTTTCTCCAATGAGGAATTTGATCACAATGTGTTGTTCCACGCTCCGTGGTACCTTCTGTTTGCTCATCACTCTAGCAACTCCCAGACAGGACTGAACAGGTTCTAACCCTAACATGAGGGAGGGTGGAGGTTGTGGCTACAATCTCTCAAGGTTGCACAGCTGCTGCACAGTGCGGCTTGTTTACAAAAAAAATCAGTCCCGGTCATATTTGAACCACCTAGTATTTTTCTTGTAGAGTTAATTTGTGTATGGTTATTTCCAGGTCCACCAATCCAAGTAATAAATACATTGAGTGAACTTGGCTATAAAGTTGTCTGTAGCACCGGTGAAGCAGAAGTGGTATGGACTCTTCAGAGGGAAGTGTGAAATAACAAGAACTTCACCATGCCTCATGTTGTTGTGAAAGGGAATGTGGATGCAACTGAAACTAAAGTGTTTGGACTTTCACAGAAAGAGTTCCAAGAAGTGCAAACAAAGCTGCAAACATATGGAGGTCGGGTGGGACAAGATGGACATACTTTCACTCACCCACCTCTGCAAGTCTTGGATGTTTTGCAGATGTGTTTTGGTTATACAATGATAACGTCATGTGGCCATGGAAACCAGAATTGTCCTATGTGGACTCTGCATCGCCCATTTTTCTAGATTAAAGGTGGCAGACTCAGAAGCATAGATAAATGTACACAGACTGCATAACTAAAAAGCAAATATTTTGTGTGGTATTTTCTACTGAAGATATCCCAGTGTTTCACGTTATTTTGTTTGTAAGTTGATGTTTATGTTGCCTAGAAGTATTGCACATTGCGATTAGGATAGCTTATTTTGTGGCTTTGAACTGAATTTTTGTCATGAATCTTCACTGTAATAAAACTGCCCGAGTCCCTTTAGATAGGACAACTGGAATTACAGTGATTATGTAAATGTTATATCAGTTTTAAGGTTCGTGAACAAATTTAAATACTTTAAATGGTTATTCTCTTGATTCTCTTGAATTTTATGGTTACACTTTTGTCTCAGAACCATTTGTGTGGATACGTACAGCACAGAATGTTGGGGGAATTTATGTGAAAATGTTCTACAGTTCATTTCATAATGCAGTATCTCAGTCAGTGGAACAACTTGCTACAGGTTCAGTGGCTAGACTATATTGTACCCCGTTGTTTGTCTATATATATATAATATTATTATGTCTGTCAACACAATAAATTCCAAATAAATAAACCAATGTTACTGAATTGACACTTGTTTATTATTATGTATCTTCTACATGTTTCGATCCAGCTGGATCATAATCAGATATGATATGATATGAGACTCGTTATTGAATTGTGTTTCTAATGTGGGTCCATATCAGCAATTATATTAATATAAATATTGTTGCTAATTTTTACATCTCATTATATTATTAAATTGTAATATTAGTCATAAAGTTTAAAATGTTAAAACATTGTTTGAAATATGTCAGAATGTTACAGCTCTTTTCGTAATCAAATATTTTTTACATTGGAATCATTTTGAAGTGAAAAAAATGTCTGTGGTGATGTCATGATAATATATATATTTTTGACCTATTTACAAATTTTCCCTCATAGTTATAATATATGGGCATAACTTATTTCTTAAATGTTGGAAGAGAGGGACAAGTTTAGGAGATAAAAATAGGGTAATAGTTCAAAGCCATGTTTAATGGTGACTTATAAGTTTAATTAGGAAATGTATGAACCATATTAGGTTTTCTGTGTGAACTGTTACAGGTTTTGGAGCGATGTCAGACTGCCACAGTCACAGTCATTGGTCTGTGGGCACTTCTTCTTTGTATCAGACATTAGATGAACTTGATTTTGAGCGTGGAATTTGGTATGCAGGTAAGTTGCAGTGGGGGGGGACATTAAGGAGTACATTTTGACAGAGGTACTTAACCTTGAATGTTTTTTAGGATTGTTATATAAATTTATGTTATTTTGTTGGTAGCACTTTCAGTTTAGTTGTTTGCAGTGCAGATAATAAGAATAAACAAAATTTATAACTGTGGGGAGAAATCCACATAGAGTAACCAAAAATTGAAGTGATTATATATTGTATGAGGGCAAATCAAAAAGTCTTTGCCCCTATTTTTTTTTTCAGCCACAGTAATACACATACAGCGAAATCAAAATGCAGGCAGTGTTCTAAGTACCTTTGACTATTTTTCCACATAGTCACCACCCCTGTCCAGGCATTTGTTCCATCTCACCACTAGTTTGGAGATGCCGCTGTTGTAGAATTTGGCCCGTTGAGTGTGGAACCACCACCAGACAGCAGTTTTCGTGTTGTCATCAGAAATGAATCTCTGGCCTGCCAGGAACTGCTTCACTGGACCGAACACGTAATCACTGGGGGTGAGGTCTGGACTATACGTTGCATGCTCCATCATCTCCCATCTGAATGACTGCAGTCGGGCGGCGGTCCTGTTTGCCACATGAGGCCTGGTGTTGTCATGGAAGAGAACCACATCGTCCATGAGAATCTCCTGGTGCTTTTTCCTGATGGCAGCTTGCAGACGTGCAAGTGTGCCACAGTAGCTGTCCACATTGATGGTATGAAATTCAGCAGGAGTGGTCCTCGGCGATCCCAGAAGACCATGACCATCACTTCCCGATGGATGGCGTTCTGTGGAATTTCTTCGTGACAGGCGAACTGGGATGTTCATTTCCGATGACGACGAGAAAACTGCTGTCCTGTGGTGGTTCTGTGCTCAAGTGGCCGAACTCTACAACAGCAGCATCTCCAAACTAGTGGTGCGACAGGACAAATGCCTGAACTGGGGTGGTGACTATGTGGAAAAATAGTCAAAGGTACTTAGAACACTGCCTGTATTTTGATTTCCCTGTATGTGTTTTATTGTGGCTGAAAAGAAATAGAGCAAAGACTTTTCGATTTGCCCACATATAAGTCAGAGATGGCAGACTTTTTACTGGACTGGTGCCAGATTTACTTCAAAGGTTCCTTAGCAGTAAGATGTGGTTCTAGCCATCCTGTTGCTTTATTACTGCCTGATGGACTGCCCAATATTTTTAGATACTTGCCTCACTTATGAGCTTGTATGTGGTTTTAAAAGGAGGAGCCTGGATAGCCTAGTTGCTATAGCAAGTGGCTAAGGGCTGGATGACCTAGGGATTGGAGTTTGAGTCCTGGTAAGGTCAAGAATTTTCTCTTCTCCATGTCGTCCAGAGTGGCTCTGGGGCTCACCCAGCCTCCTGGCCAATGGGCATGGGTCTCTTTCCATGGGAGTAAAGTGGCTGGGGCGTGAAGCTGACCACTCACCTCCAACTGGTGCCAAGGTCAAGAAAATGTGGATCTATACATCCACTCCTTCATATGCTTTCATGGCGTAGTGCGTGCTTAGTTAAGCACAGGGACAGCTTTACCTTATGTGGTTTCAAAAGTGACACAAGCAGCTCTTATTTTGTGTCTAAGACAGCTTTTTATATTTGGCTTTATATCACATTTCAAAGTAGTCAACAGGATAAGTATGTTTTCTTCTGGCTGGCTTTCTTTGGGTAACCATACTTTTGAGTATTTGGTGTGAATGCATAAAATAATATGATAAACTTTCATATGACAAAGAATTATGGCTTGGTGAACTGCTGAATTAAGTGGCTCCAGATTTTAATATAAACAGATGCTAAATGACAGTTGGTGCAGTGGTTTTCCATCCCTTATATAGAGCATGACTGGAAAATGCATCCTCAGAGACAAAGATAGAAAATGATTTCTAGAGTTTTGTTTTCATCATATTAGATTCTGCCATTGGAATGTCTGTGGCTCTCCATAGCAATTTATTCATCAAATTCATTTGTATACAAGGAAGGACGTTTGCATTATTTTGGTTGAAAGATTTGGAAATGGACCACTTAAAAGTTCATAGTTTTGTGTGAAGACAATGTTGAACAGGCAAATAATTTATAGCTGACCATCTGCAGTATCTGTGGTTTAAAATACAAGTACAGAATGTTCAGAAGAATATAAGGGTAAGCTTACATGAAGGTGGGTATACATAGAATTTTGAAAGCTGGATTTGTTCATGTAATTTCTAGCTAACTCCTTGGAGCAGAATTCCCTCAGAAGCTAGTAATCACGCAATCAAAGTTCCCTGTTTTATAGAAGTCAGATGTTCAGTAACATGTTGACAAGGGCCTACTACTAGACCCTGTTTGCTTTGTAATCTCTTTTGCATATGCTACATTTCACACCCCATCTCCTCCTTAATAATATTTTATGAAGAGTACAAGTTATAAGGAGCCTTATTAACATAATTTTCTTCAGCATACTGACGCTTCTCAAACCCTTCTGTGAAACACCTTCAGTCTGTATTCACATAGGTTGAGTACCAAGAGTATTCTAAGTTTGGTGCAGTATGATTTTTCTCTTTTGATGAATGTTTCTATAATTTTTAGCCCAACATGATGACCTAGAACGTGTGGAGAAGTTGTTGAATCAGGGTGTCTCTCCAGATGTTCAAGATTCAGCTGGTTACTTCGCATTACATTATGCTGCTCGTGCAGGTCATGATCGCATCTGCTGTTGTCTGTTGGCTGCTGGAGCTACGGTAGATGCTGTTACAAGAGCAGGACAGGCCACTGCTCTTCATCGAGCCTCTTCAGCTGGCCATGATTCCGTAGTAACTTTACTGCTGAAATCTGGTAGTAATTCAGGACTCAGAGATGCTGATGGCAAGACAGCTTTGCATAGGGCTGTTGAACAGGGTCATGTTGGTATAGTTAAAATTCTCTTGGAAGGAAATCCTGACCTCAAATTTGTCTGTGACATGAAAAACAAGTTGCCTTTAGATTATGCTGCAAAGAATGAGGAAGTAATTGCTTTGCTTGCTTGAAGGTCACAGTAAACTGCTTGACTATAGTAACATGACCACCTTCTTCATGAGAAGGAAATAGAGTTTGGAAGTAATATCAAATGTATTCCTCAGTACTGTGATTGATGCTTCTGTATACTTTATGTGAATGTGGAAGGGCAGAACAAGCAGGGCTTGATTTTATTCAGTACTTCAAGGTTTTGAGCTGGGATAGTGCAGCCAGTATAGCAATTGGCTATGTGCTGGGTGACCAATGGTTTGGATTTCGAGTCCCAGTAGGGGCAAGAATTTTTCTTCTCCATGTAGTCCAGATTGGCTCTGGGGCCCACCCAGCCTCTTATCCAGTGGGCACCGTGGATGCTTTCTCCGGGGGTAAAGCAGCCGGGGCGTGAAGCTGACCACTCGCCTCCAACTACCGCAGAGGTCAAGAAAGTGTGGGTCTACACATATACTCCCTCATGTGTCTTCATGGCATAGTGTTTAATTAGTTAAGCACAGGGACAACTTTATTTTTTACCTTTGCTTTCTAAGGTTTGTTATGTTAATGTACAGCAGTTACCATTTTAATTCACAGTACATACATACATACATACATACATAGCTACATGGTTTCACAGATCCCTTGTCCGGAAACCGGACTGGATATTGAACTCGTCACAGCCAAACTGACATTGCAATGTGCAACCTGGTCTAGACAATAAAATATTCAACAATTATAACATTGATAGGTACAACAGTATAAAAATCAGTCATCTTACAATTCTTGCTAGAACATAGTCTTAGAAAACAGACTGTAACAGTGCATAAAATTACCTACTTGCCATATATTCACCTACCGAGTAAAATGCTTTTGAAGCCAGAAAATCCTTTAGTCTTTGTTTAAAAATATTAATATTGTCTTTCAAGATATATATGTTTTGTGGCAGGTTGTTAAATATTCTAATAGATGTAAAATGCACACCCTTCTGAATGGAAGATAATCTCACAGAAGAAACATGTAGCCTATTGTACCATCTGGTACTTATTTGATGTATGTTATCGTTTGCTTGGTACATATTTAATATCCACTCATAGTTTGCTTTTTTCTTCCTCCACATTTTATTCGCTATAAGCAGTTGCTTTGGTATAATCATTTGAATTATTTTTTAGTATTTTCATTGTGTAGTAACAGTAACTGACAAATGCTACAGTTACAGTTGCTGAAATTGTGTACACTTCTGTAAGGGATTAACATGTCATGTAATGAATTAAAATGTTTACATGTTATGAATTTATTCCTTTTTTTAGAAATGGTGTAATTATATGAGAAACTTTAAGAAAAGAACATATGGAGGAGTTCAAGATTTTACAGTCATTCTATAAAGATCTGACATATATTATACTTAACCAGATAACCTTTGTGTGATGATACTGCCTGGGCAAGATATCTGTTAAAAACTGGGCCCATAGGTTGAATGGCGAAACAGAAATTGATGAAGATGAGATGCTGGATGATTCTAAGGGGTGTCCTGCATGTTGAAGCTGAACATTGAGAGGACATAATCATAATTTTGTTGTTGGTTTTACTTAGAAAGAAAATAAAATGGAGAAAAATTTTCTGGTAGTCCAAAAGAAGGGCCAGACCCTTTAAAGTTTATTTTGATATTGTTTTGCCAAGAGTAGAGCCTGAGGTATTTTAGCCAATGGAAATGAATACATCTATAGCTGGGTGCCCTGCCTATTATAATTCTACATTATACCAGAAATCTGCCAATTTTAAAACAAGCTGATTTGTTCAAGGTGAGTGCTTGGCCCCTTTTGTATTCACTTTTTGTTGGCTGGTGTTTGTTATTTTAACCTATACAAAGGCTTTATTTTCTTTTCATTGTATAAGAAAGATACTCTGATCAGATAATGATTCAGTTTCATTGAGAGAGAAGATGATGCTTATCATATATATGAAACAAAATGATGTGTAGGAGTAGCAGATGTATGCACAGTATATTCTTGTATTCCTACATAAGCTGGAAAATATCTTTATATGGCAAGCCATTCAGGCCATTCAGCCGTTCATGTTATTTATAGGATAGCATATAATTATGTATTACTAAAATGTGAAAAGAGTTTGTTATCTTATTCCTTTTTGTAGTAGTTATGTGTCATTTGATGTTTTCTAACTTTATTCCTGTTTTCACATTTAGAAACATCTGTTGAATTGGTTATTTCAGTGTTAGAAATTTCATATTAGTATGAAATGGGATCATCCAAAATAGTGCGTGGTTGCATTAACTTTGAATGTGCAAAGTATGTGAGCTACTTCAAGATTTTATGAAAGGGAAAGAAGAGATCTGGTGACTGCTCAGTAGCACTGTCATAGTGTTGTATCATTGGTGCTTTGACCTTAAAGTAGGGGACGTAACTGAAGATCAGCTGAGTTGGAGCAAAGTCTGTGAATGACTGTGGTTAAGGTGCAGTTTCAGTTAAAGTCCAAAGATCCATTTTTAGATATAGAGGTTTATTGTAATAATTGAGTGAATGTTTGTATGGAAGTACAAATGCTAGGAATGTATTGAGAGTGGATTACCTGCAGAGAATGCCAGGAAATTTGACTGAAGTCTAAAGTTTAAATAGTAGTCGAGAAACATCGATGCTCTATATTCTTAGGAATGGAAAGCACCATTAAACCAACAAGCTTAAATAAAACAAAAAAGCAAAATGGCCATGGCAGATTATGTGGTGTTATATTCTAGTGCGGAATGCAGTGTGTGGAATGTAGTATCAATATATCAAGGTTGTTCCTTAAGGGTGCTGTCCTGTTAACATTTCAAGTAAGAAACATGACAGAGTTAGTGAAAATAATCACCCATGTCCTGTGGACATGTTCATTGAAGGGTCTGTTTAGTAAGTTGTCAACAGTTTTGGTTCTGGTTGGTTGCCCTTATTGTGCTGTCAGCATACTCTAATGGAATATATCTCTGAATTCTTCAGACAGACAAACATGACATTTTAGCCAATTCACAGATCAAGCATTTGCAACCCCTCCCTTCTCCAGATTCAGAGTTAATGTAGCCAGGATGTAAGTAAATGGGATAGTATGAATGGAAATTCTTCATAACAGAATTTTACATATCCTGAATAACTGCATATGACAGAACTTATTTTTTGTGAGAATACTCCAAATATTCCATCTTCTGGGGCTAATGTAGCAGTATGGGTTCCAGCTGTATCTGTATATTAGCAGAGAAATTATAAGTAGCAGCCTTATAGCCAAGTGAAGTCACACAACTTCAGAGTGGAAGCGCTGCTGATTATTCGTGCGATGATTCTGATGGTACCCAAATTTGACAGTACAGGTGTGGAAAATTTTGTTTCATTATACTTAATAGAAACAATTTTTTAATGAATTTGATTTGTTTCATTTGTTTTGTTTGTAAATATTTCCAAACTCATTTATTGTTGTAAATGTCTTATTAAATGCTTGGCCTTAAATAGTGTTCTGGGCCCAAATTGTACTGGCACAATCTAGTCATCATATACACCCAGTTTTAAGAGCATTGCATGTACCATGAAGAATTGTATGCTAAGAGTTCAGAGTTTTCAGTTTTATCTGACTACTCTGCATATAAGATTCCAAAAATAAATTTGTTGTGTTTATGCATATGGAAAAGCAATATCATTCTGTTGCGTTTGAGGTTCTCATGGTGGTGATTATGAAGGGTGTGGTCTTGGGTGTAAAAACTTTGTAGTCTGGGGACAACCTGATGCCTCCATATTCAGGGTCAAAGAGTAAGCCAAGCAAGAAAGTAGCAGAAGCAGGTGGCAAGCTAAGAAGACCACACATGGAAGATCAAGTCTGTTGCAGGCTAAACACACCTAAAAGGAAGTGTGAGGGAACCAGTGGAAGAGTACCTGTTGTAAGGGGACTTATATAAAGAGCCAGTGGGAGCAAAGGACATGAATGGTACTTCTGTTGGAATTTAATAAGGGTGGGTTGCAGCTGAGTGAAGTTGGATGGAGGGAAGTCATGCATGATGTTTGGGTTACAGCCAGGTGGGGATAAAAGGAGCAAGAGGCAGCATAAAAGACCAAATTAGGGTTAGAGAATAAGCTGTTTCTGAAAGAGCCAAGGAAGACTAGGAGTACTGAAAGGGCAGAGACCATAACTCTGATAAAGGCTAGTTGTACCTGGAGAACTTTGTCAAAAGAAACCTGTTAGGGAGCCCTCCTCCATATCTTGAGGGAAATAGATAGGAGGTTTCCATGAATTAAACAGAAGCAGTCCTTGTTTATATTGTTGCAGTGGAGCTCAACCAATGTACCATTTGCTTTGCTTGTATTGGCTTGGAGTGCCTTCTTCTGCTAGTGTCTTGTTTTGTTTACTCTTCTACCCTGAAGGTACCCTCTTCTACCCCTGTTGCTCCAGAACTTTTAGCCGTTTGCAGACTATGTGACATTGTGACCCAGAAGAGTATACTCTTAATGTTCGTTCTGTTTATTTTAACTGTATGTTTTATGTTAGAGGTAATATTTCTTTGTAGTCATTTTTAGCTCTGTTAATAATTTTATAAATTTTCTGATTTTACAAATAGTTCGACACCATTAAGACCAAAAGTTATATTAATTTACAGTAAAAAGATTAGGAGAGATAGCCAAAGTCTGAGAGTTTATAGATATCTTTCTTCATTTATAAAAGGAAAACCAATTTTATTCAGTATTTCCAGTGTCAGATCAGCACACAAAGTGAAGTAATTACACGATAAGTACCAGTCCTGCTTCTTATAATAATGGTAAACATATGTGTACTGTTTTGTTGCATCCACATATTCTATTGCAGCTGTATAATTCTGTGTATGAATAATAATTTTGCAAACCTAAAGCATTGCTTAGTCATATTATACCATATTGAAATGTATAAAGCACATTATTATGTTGTTGTGTATGACAGAAGTGAAAGGAATTCTGTCAGAGGATATCCTGAGACTTGAAATAGAAACTTAAACCATACGATTTTTGTCGCATGTTGGCTGTGTTATGCGACAAATAACTTCATGTAGGTCAAGGATGTAGCGAATATCTATTCTCCTTCACTTTTACACTTATAATATGACAATGCTTCTCAACTTCACTCGGCGACTGCTAGACTTCAACTGTCTTCAACGGCGACTATCTCAAGACTGACTTGGCGAATGCATTCAACCCCCTTATGTAGGCAGGTTCCGGACTGGGTAGAACGTAGTTCGGTTTCTGCTGTTTCAACAATCTGTTTTGCAACGAACTTTCCATCTCTGGGGAAACGCGTTTGTTGATTCTGCAATTCTTACACAACAGCCCACTGTTACTGTGTTACCATGGACGTATCTACTCCGAACACGTTACAGTAGATTGGCCACAGGAGTGAGGAGTGATTATATTATTAGCGAGTGGGCAGTAGAGAGAGAACACTGATATGGAAAGGTATAGGGAACATGTTTTCACAGCTGTCAATTTATTTTTTTTTGCATACAAAATCTGAGCTCAAGATATCCTTTTGAGAGTTTTCATGTGTTTCATTCACTAATATATTTACTTACATATCGCTTTGTCCATATGCCTATTCCAGTTTTTATGAAGAGTTTGAAGAAAATACAATTCTATGTAACACATATTTTACATATTTTTTTTGTAATAATTTGAAGTATGTCAGACAATGAAATTATTGATTGCTAGGAACCAGTAAAGTTAGCATCAGTTGCAGTATTCCATTAGCAGAATTATTACCTAAAATGTTACTTGCACTATTTAAAAATACTTTTTTATCATGAAATTCACATAAGTATTCACTGCCTATAACATTTAAAGTTTTCATGGTGATGAAGATTTTGTCTTTTGCACTGTGACAGAACGAGTCTGTAAGGATTGGGAATCGACATTATTGCCTCTAATGTTGTCTGCACTATTGAAAAAATACTTTAAAATGTATTTTGTATGTGTAGAAATCATACGAGTATTCATTTCCTGCAATCACTGAGATATTGACAGTTCTCTCAACCCTAATCTCAGTATTGCATGTAAAACCTGCATAATATTGGAGCATAAAATATGGATTAAAAGAATGGGCATTATACCAGTAAATACTGTATTGAGCATTGTAAATACAGTAAACATATTTTGCATAGGGAAGGGGATATACTTCAGAATCAAGTCACAGCCCATTAACTGTGTCATGTCTGATGGCCTACACTTGCCAATCCATATGAGAATTAGATGAGTGGTTGAGAAGACCCTACAACATTAATTCTGCCCAAGACCTGGATTTTTATACAGTCCTGATAACTGCAGGGAAGAAGAGGTTTCAGAGGAGTATGCAGCTTATTAGTTACTATAGAGTTCTTGCTTTTATTGTTAGTTTTATTAGAAGTGTTAAGTATAGGAAATTTTTAAACTTGCAAGATTTCTTAATTGTAAACAACAATATAATGAATAACAATGAATGTATAATAACATACAGTAGTTTAATTATTAATTTTATTTGGGCTTTTGCCAGGTTGAAAGATTAAAGGCTGTCAGTATTTTAGATGCCACTGCATTGCTTGAGATTGTTGAGCTTAAGATATAAATTGTTTATGGTGTGGATACTTGATCTGAATGACTGCGTGCAGCTTTATCACTGGCAGACTTACTGTCATTCATACAGATACATTTTAATGCAGTATTACCATTTATTTGCAGCCTGAGAGCCTAATAAGTAATTTGCCCATGTACTCAAGTACAGTACATGACACATTTAGCAAACTTTCAGTGTAATCCAGATAGGCATGAAGGCTGAGACTGAATAACAGTTTTCAGATCTGTCAGTGAGGGGATCTGGTGATAACACTAGCTCTTTTTAAAACACAGCGTTTCAGGGACAGGATTCTGTCTCCATCTTCAGGTGGACCCTACTCAAACCTGTAAGATTTTCTTATGCAATTTGAGTTTAATTTAATTTATTCTTATATTCAAGTAGATCCAATTACAGGACGAGAAACAAGTTCACACACCACTGGATATAGAATGTGTCAAAAATCGAAACAAATGTTCCAACCAATCACTGGAACAAGTCAAAATAACATAATATAAAACATAGACAACACAGTCACTAAACATAATAAAATGTGATTACAAGACTTAAATACTAGATGAAAACATATTAACCATTTATCTTGACTGAAGACAAAGCAGAGGAATTATTATTTAAACACATGTTGGAAAATGATTTTGTAAAATCATTAAGAACTTAGAAGGCAATATGAAGAAGTGTGTTGTTACTGTATTGAAGTATTATTTCAGAATTTTATGCATCTAACCACAGACGTTTAGCTACAACAGTAATCTATAACTGGGTATCTGTAGTATGAGCACTGGAAATTTATCCGTCTCCACATTTCCAGGGTGACATGAAGTTATTTCTCTCTGTGTAAATGCAGTCACACCATGTAAGCATGTATGGAATGTATGCAGCCTCAATACCATCTTTCTTATATCACTTTAAATATAAGTTTCAAGCACACCTTACAAGTAGTGTAATGAAACTGGTCGAGAAATTAGTTTAATGATGAAGCTGCTTTGACCTTCTCCATCACTGTAATTCTGATAACATAATGAAAGAGCAGTTTTTATAGAAAGCTAAACAGTTTCCATTTTGAACAGTGCATTAACTTGTTTGGACTGAATAAGGGGTGGCCCACATGTACCCATACACACCATCAGTGATCTGTAATATAGATTCTGGAATTTAGAAAACAAGGCAGGTTTTGCCGTCTCTCTCATGTCCCTTACTGAAAGTAACAGCAGCAATTGTCTCGTTCTAAATATTTCATTGCGAAGTTAAATTTGGAACTTGTGGTGTCTCTGAAATCTTTTAGTGAGAGATGGTGTGCAGTATATTCCTTAACCCTTTACATTGCAGTGTAATTACATTTGTAATTGAGATGCAGTGTGTTTTCCGTGAGATAGGAATTGAATTTGAAATATTTAAATGAGCTTCATCTTTAAAGGGTTAAATAACTACTGATCTTTACTTTTCCTTTTAACCTGGTTATCTGAACACAGAAGTTAAATCTATAAATGAAAATTAGCTTAGGGTCTGTCTTTGTATAGACATTTCCATTGGTGTATTATTTCATTACCAGTACTTGAAAGTTTGCAGACATAACTTCTTCGCCATGATGCTACTTTTTGAAGTGCATATGTACTTTAAAAAGTATTTGTAGACAGCTGCTCTATTGCAGAAAAAGTTTGTTGTGAAAATGAAGACTTATTTCACTGTTGTATACAACTGGTTCCCCAAGCACATTTCTGGATGCTTTGCTTACTGTGTTCACTCCAGTTTTCTACTGATCACCCCCAGGGATTCTTTATGGTGTTATGCAACGGTACAGTATACCACATCTTTCATAAAACAGAAAAATGAATGAGAGAATGGAAATTTAAATAAGAATAATTGCTACTTATTGCTTCTTTTTTTATAAGAAAAATCACCCTCTTGTTGGTATAGCCTACTCTGAATGTTGTTTTCTATAAAAATAATTATTACCACAAATACATCTTATTGCCATCTTCACATAGACATGGATGTTTCTCTTATCCACATCACCTGAAAGCTTGTACATGGATGAGATTTGTTGTATATGAATCATCAAATGTAAATGTTGTAATGCAGCACTAAACTATGTAGTCAATGGGCATGGAGAAATATGAGTGCTAAGAAAGATCAGAAGGAGCATCATTTCATGATCAAACAGATACAGACGAGGCATATGAACATGATGCTGGTGCTAAGGTAACTTACAGGCAATTGTGAAACAGCTGTCATCAATGGTAACTTTTTTAACCATAAAACAATGCTGAAAGGACATGTGGCATGGAGGCCTAAAGATGACCATGAGCATGCATACATTGACTGAAATCAGTATGGTGCCAGCAGGGCTGGCCAAATGGTGGCCTGTTAGGTCATTTTGTGCATTATATTTATGAAAAGAAATGTGGACAAAAATTTGTTATTGGCTAGAATGTAAAAATGTGTGAAATTCAGTGTTTATAATGGGCTAAACTTGTATGTTATTAGAAAAATATGTTAGATTTATGTATATTATCTGTAGTTTCATAACTACAGTAATTGGCCAACCCTGCTCTGAAGCATTACAAAACATTTATTTGAACTACTATACATATACATTAGACAAAATCTGCATTAATGAACTGCTTTGTAAATAAATTTTTTGACACACTGTTGCTGGAACTAATGTTAAAATGATGTATATTTTTCCTTAAAATGAATGTTTACTATGACGATAAAAACTGATAACCATGTGTCAGAATTGTTTGTTTACATATATTTCATTTAACAACTCTGTTCATGGCATCAGGAATTGTTGGTAACACTTCTTAATTACCTCATTTTTCAACCAGAACAGTCACTGTTCATTTGCTTTTTTATACATTTCAGATAGGTACATGCACTTACCACCTTCATATCCACAATGTTATGAAATTTGGAAAGGAAGTATTTTTTATTCAACTGAAAAATGCAGTAAGGCAAACTTCAGCTGTCCAGAAAATGACTCCACTTATGCATGTACGTATATGCAATATGTGTATTCTGTATGTGTCAGACCAAAACCATTAGCGTTCACCTTTCTAGCTATGATTTTTATCCTGAACCCCATGCTATGTAGAAAATACAAGTCTGGAATAATTCAAGTGACCAAGCAGGGTGGCTCTGTAGTAGTGCTTCTTACTTTTATTTACAAGATGATTTGTTCTAATCTTGGCTGAGATAAACTATCCTGACAGGTTTTATGTGGCTTTCCTTGGTCCCTTCAGGCAGATGCTGGGATATTACCTTAAAGTAGGCCATGACCACTTCCTTCCACATCCTTTACAATTCATTATAACCCAATCATTTGACACTACAGTCAGAATTACTGACAGTATCATTAAATAAAGTACAAAAAAATTAAGTTACTTCAAAATATATACTACAGGGACGTTCTTACCTTTCTTGACTGGTTCATGGCTCTGCACTTCATGGCGACTGTACTGCCAGCTGTGAGGTGTATATGAATTTTGTTGATGAATCAATATGCCTGTTTGCCAATAATGTTTGGAATGAAATATTTACAATACAGTGTTCACAAGAGGTGTTGAATATGCTCTCCCTTTACTTGTGGACATTCCTTGCACTGGCAGAAGAGGTTCTGCAGGAATATTGTCAATTTCCGTATGAATATTTTCATTAAGTTCTTCCATTTGGGGTTTTCTGTTGTAAACTTTGTTCTTTAAACCCCAGAAGAAAAATGAAAAGGAGTAAGATCGGGTGAATATGCTGGTTGAATACCACTGCTGATAATTCTGTCCCCAAAGACACCGGACAGAGCCTGCATAGATATACGTGCAGTGTGGGCAGTAACCGTGTCTTGATGAAACCAGCCATAACAGTCTCTCTTCTTCTGTTAACTCTGGAAAGAATTGCCTGAGAATGACCTATGCATATCTTTCACAATTAACTGTTTTGTTACAAAACACAAGTACAACAATTCTTCTTGCACTTACAGCACACCAGACACCGACTTTCACTGGATGTAGCAGGATTTTGTGGGTTAGATGTAGATTCTGTGAACTACAGTAGCCATTATTTTGCGTATTTATGTGTCCCTGCAAGCGAAACTATGTTTCATCAGAAAAGAATGTCAACTACAGATTGTATAAACCAACTGCAAAAATTAACCCTGCTAGCTGGACCGCACAGCTTCCTGTTGTTTTATAGGGTCTAAGCTTCAGCAAGTGTATTGCCCTTCTTGCATTAGACTTTGACACTTAAGTCTCTTGAGCTAGATGTCTGAGTAATTTTCTAGGTGGATGTTCAAGTCTGGCTCCTGTGTCATCTAACCTTTCCTCAGTAAGCCCTCGGGCCTTATGTTTTTGTTTCAAGTTTATTCACCAATTTGTGAATTCTTTCATCATGAAATTTACATAAAAATTTTCACTGATATTTTTTAGTATATCCGTATTTCACATAGGTGTCATACAGAAATACACATTGCTCTAAAGTATACTGCGCCATGATGGAACACTGCTCTCTAATTGTATCTGAAAACAAATGGCTAATGTAGCAGATAAGTGTCACCCACAGCTGACAAATCATAAATTCCCATCCATGAACCACTCCGTGCGCTGTGAAACATAATGCCGTCAATCGGTGTACAAAGTTAATAACTTCCCTTAATTCCAAATATTATTGGCCATCCGGCATACTGATTCATTGCAAAAATCCATATGCCCCTCGCAGCCGGTGGTGCACAGGTTGCTGTGAAGTGAAGAGCAGTTAAGACCTCCTTGTAGTTTTGTTCATGCCTGCAGGGGCATTTTCCTCTTCCTTGTTACTGAGAAAAGTTTCCACTTTTCAGTCAACAATAATCTTTCACTCATGATCTATTATTATTCTCTAATCCTACTGCACACTCACACTTGTGCGTCCATCTTAACTGCCAAAATCTACCTGAGCCTTCAATATTCACACCAAGTCCTTGTTAATAAGAATGCAAGGACCTAACCTATTTTTCCTGCTAACCCTGGTTTCTGGCTATTATGATCTTCCATGCTTGTCCTGCCTTGTAGAAATTACAATGTCGCATGAAATATTAACAGCTTTAATATTCTCAGAATGTGAGGCCCCTTAGAGTGGGGCATTAATCCTTCTCTATTTGTATCAGTTTACAGTGGATTATTATTTCAGAAAACATGATCTCTGTATTCATCAATAACCAGTTCCACAAACTTTCATTTGTTTGGTATTAGTCTGAATGGGTGATTCATGTGTCTCATTGATGGAAGCTGGGTATGCTAGTAATATAATTTCCTTTCCACGCCCTTTTCCTTCAACAGTCAACTGCTCTGACAGGAAGTTAAACAAAGTAAAATTACTCTTTTTATTTTTCTGTTCATGGTGATAATGGAGTGTTTTGTATCCTGACAGTGTTGTCTGGGTCAGCATTCTGGTAAAGTGATTATCTTTTTTAAACCCTCTAGCATATAAATAAAATTTCAGGGATGTTGTATTACTGGATCAAAAAATGTAACATAAGCTGTATTTTACATACATTTCTATCATATGATTTATGATAGTCAAAGCGTGCAATTCTCAGTTGATTTTTAACTAGCAATCAGTCTGGAACTGTATTTACATTCATCACAGCAATCTCATTTTCTATGTAACATTCACTATTTGAAAATTACATAGTGGATGAATTGACTCTCAAGATTAGATCTGTTTATAACAATCCTTATTGACAATACAGAAAGGCTTTCATAAAAAGCTGTGAAAATGTGAGAATTATATTGTATAGGTTGCCTTAAAAATTATTGGTTAGAAACATTTTTATGTGCTGTGAATTTATAATCAAATACCCATAAAGACATAACACATTAAATATAGCTCATATACTTATTTCAATTTTACACCAGAATTTTGCAAATTCATATCAAAATGTAATGAATTTTACTATACTTTTATTTAAGTATGTATGCATAGTCTTCAAATATTCTCTTGGTAATCCAGAAAGTGTTCTAACTTAATATAAAGAACTTTGGTAAAAAGAGACGCTTGCTTGTTAGCTTATTTTTGTTACCAAAGTTTTTTGTCACTATTAGTTACAACATTCCTACACATTCTAAGGCAGGTGGACACACGTTCCGTCTTCAGTACAAGTATTTGTATTTACAAGGACATTACATCCTTTTTATCCCCCTTCCAGTCCCTAAGTTCATAGCAGTGTTTTTAATCCTGACACTCATGCATGAATTAATGTAAATTTATGCTGTTTGTCATGACAGTATTAAAGAAACACTTGTCTCTAACTACAGACATCATTACAAACAAAACAAAACAAACTCTGTGGTTTCAGCCCACAAGCGAATTATATCAACTGAGCGACTGCCGCTTGTTGGCAAGATTAGTGCCAACATTTTAGTTGACATACATTATTACATGGACAGATTATTATGAATTGTGATGATTTAGAGGAAGTACCAAACATCCTATTTCAAGGTATTGTCCTACAATTTGTGTATAAAAAGTCAGGAAAACCACGTTAAGGTGGTATCTGTGTTCCTCTGACGCTTTATGTCATACTGATGCAAAAAATTACAGAACTGAAAACTGAATCTGGGGTAACCATGTAATAGTGATGACAGTATTAGGATGTGAGCATTATTCTTAGTGCATTTGTACTTTTTATACTGAAAAGTGATTAACAGTCCACTCATGAAAGTGATTTCTTATATTTAACATTACTGTGTTGGCAGTGTATTAAATAATACTTGTGTTTGCATGTTCTTGCTGTCAGTCAATACTGGCAACACTGGACTTTCGCTGCAGAAATATCGATAGAAGTAATATGCCAGACATCTGCACTGGCCTATCCATTGGCAAGTGCTCTTACATTTCTCACCTAATATATGTACATTTCAAATTTAACTTTCTTGTGACTGTCACTTGAATCTTCACAATTAAGTATAAAGAGCCCTTAAATCAATCACAAAAATCAACATCTTCTAACAGAACATATTTCTTTAAAGTTAAGGGCAAATATGATGATGTGATCTTCTCATAAACTCTCTCACCCAATTGTGTTCTTATTACCAGTCGACACAGTTCAGTCAGTCTCATTGGGTTAAACTTCATATAAATTAGCCAGTCCCTTAAATTGTCTAATGATAGTGATGCTGATTCTGATGGTGGCTGGAGATCAGGAGTACAATGCTGAAGATCAAAACCAGCATAAACTATCATTTGGGCCAAATGGAAGTTATTTCTTTTTCTGGCCAGACAAAGGTTGTCTACTACACATGCTTCTACATCACAGAGATTGACATCAGTCCCATAGCGAATTAAAAGAGATGCAGCTCTATCTTTCTCCAAGAGAATGGCTCTAAATAATGGAGTATCACCACCAGTACATGTCTGCACATTCAGAATTGCTCCATATGATCGCAAGATATGGAACATTGACTTAAAAGTAGAGTGATTTGAATCACGGATGAATTCCACTGCTTCATGTAATGGCATGCTTCCAGTTAGAGCGTTGGGATAATTGACAGCTGCACCTGTGGAAAATATTTAACAATCAAAAAATTACAACATAACTGTAACAAATTAATAAACCACTATACTAATGCCTCTGAGTTTTATGAATGGAATATATACTGCAGACTGCTTCAAGTAAATATAACAAAGTGATAAAATTATGGTCTTCTGTGTTGTGATAAACTGTAGTTTGAGGGTGGATACTGGTGCTGTGGATAAAATGTCTCCATCTTTAGGGCTGAAGTGCAGCATGTTCCTTCAGAATGTTTGTATACACCCACAAAACTACAGAGTGCCATAACCCAGAAGACCACAGTCTTAAAACAATTACCATATGAAAATCTCAAAGCTTATGTGAAGAATAAAGGGGTTTGTACATGTGTATGAAAGGTGTTAGTACTGATTTTTTCTTTTAAAGAGATTTGAATGAAAATTATTATTTGTTATAACCTTCATTATTTTAATGAAATATCTATTGTTTCACTTTAATTTCTGTATCCTGTACACAGCTAATAATTTCTGTATACAAATGACAGGAAAATGAGAGATGGAGAAGAATGCAAAAATTATGGTTATGGTTATGCTACAAAAAAAAAATGATTGGTTTGTACATGTAATGAAAGGTAAAAAAATTATCAGTAGGCAGAAGTGGAACTGAATAAATTTGAGAAGGCAAAGAGGAAAATGGAAAGATTAAGCATAAAAGAAACTGAGGAATATTGTTGAGACTATGAAAATTTCTCTACAATGTTCTTCTGTTTGCATGAGTGGAACAGGCTCTCACAGACTACAAAAGTTTAAAAAATAAAAGTAAGCCAGTTTCAAATATAAAATATAAAAATGTGTACTCTCATGCACAAATTTTTGGCAAATAAATTGTTTTAAACTGGCAATAACTGACAGCCAGAATGAGGCCTTCAGAGGACTTGCCACCTCAAAACAATTAGCATTAAAGAAGTGGGAAAAGAATGGAATACATTAGGCACATAAACATAATATTTTTCATTATAACTGTACCATTCATAAGCAAGAGTTCTGCAAGCTGGCAAACCCCTGTCCTGGCAGCAACAATCAGGGGTGAATCGCCATTGTCATCACGCAGATTTACGATGGAGCCAGCTTTCAAGAGCAGTTCTGCCATTTCAGTATGCCTGTGCAAGATGGCATAGTGAAGAAGGAAATGAGACTGAGTTATCTTAGCACCGGCACCTAATAACATCTGGACCAGAGGTACCGCCTTCTGCCACACTGCCTCACAAAGTGGTGTATAACCTGAAATAAATCATGCATATATACACATTATGGATACTAAGATCTAAAAGTTTGTGACGATGGTATATGGCTACAAGTATTATGTTTTTGGATATTATCCATCATCTTGTCTATTTTTTAAAAACACGTTTTGGAGACTGGATTCTGGAGATAGGGGCTAGCTCTCTGTATTGGACTGAACTGAGTAGGTTTTACCTGAGGACGGGGACAGAATCCAGTATCCGAAACGTTGTGTTTTAAAAAGGGAACAGGACGGTTTTTAAAAAATAGACATCATCATCATCATCATTAAATATAGTTTCCTTTATGCAATGTATAAAGAACAGATACATAAGCCATCTGTAAAAAAAGTCACACTACAGGGGTGGAATCTGCAAGTTTGCAATTACCGATAGAATTCTTGATTGTCTTCACTCTGACTACTCCTGTGGCACATTCCAAACAAGAAAAGCAAAATATATACATCACTTTAATGACCAGTGATGGCAGTACTGAATGAAAATGACCATGCTGGAGTCATAGGGGGCACCAATAATAATGTTACCAAATGACTTTTTGTATCAGCACTTACAGATATATATGTAGATTATAACTAGCATTCAAACTGTGATAAAAGCCTGAAAATTTTTGAAGTTAGCATATTTGCTCAAGTCTGATGGCGGTTTCACTGAGAATGACATCATACCATGAATTTCCTCAGTGTTAACTTTGGCCCCATGCTTGATGAGAAGCTCAACAACATCATCATGCCCTCGTGATACGGCAAGTAACAGTGGTGTACGATCAGATGCATCCAGAGAGTCAATGTTTGCGCCACCACCTAACAACACTCTGACAGTATCGATGAAACCTCGTGATGCTGCAATATGCAATGCTGAAGTCTTATCACTTGTCTTACGATTAACTTCAACACCTGCATCCAGTAGCATTTTTGCAACTTTGTAATAATCCCGAGCAGCAGCAAGATGAAGAGGAGTGAGGTTATCAGAGTCCCCAATATCCAATCGACATCCTGCAACAAGGAGCAACATGGCGTGCAACTATGAAGTATTCTCACTCTATTTTACCAACATGAGAATTGAGGTTGTCATGGCAGTGCCTATTAAGATTAAAATCTTTTGGGATTTAATGCCATGCAGTCTGGTAGATAAGTACCAAAATTTTGGAGGATGGTGTTGCCTCTATCCTCAGAAGACTCTATTTAAATATCATAATTTTTTGTTTTGTAGTACGTGTATATTGTTTAACACAAACTAACATACTAATTTGCCTTAAATCTGTTTCATTTTACAATGATAGTACAAGTGTTATTAGGGGTATGTGGTAGCATAGTTGGTTGAGGCACTATGCTACAAACCGGAAGGTAGTGAGATCAAATCCCGATGAGGTCATTGGATTTTTCAATTTACCTAATCCTTCCAGCTGCACTATGGCTCTGGGGTTGACTCAGCCTCTAACAGAAATGAGTACCAGGAATATTCTTGGGGGTAAAGGGTGGCTGGCCGGTAGGGCTGACAACCTTACCGCCATCTGTGAGCTGATTGTCTAGAAAAGTGGGAACCTCAACATCTCACAACCGTATGGGGCTCCATGGCCTGTTACAGGAATACCTTTACTTTTTTTACTTACTACTATGGTTAGCTCTATTATAATTTTAAAAACCATGGTCAAGCATGAAGACAGCTGTACAAACTATGAAGCCATTCAAGGATGCAAGGAGGCATTCTGAATGATTTTTGGAGTGGTATTACAAGGATTTATATGTAGTAATTAATATACAGGGTGTCCCAGGAGGAATGTGCCAAACTTCGGGAGGGTGTTCCTTATGTTAAAGTATGCCGATATAACCCAAAACACCTATGTCCAAAGTTGAACGGTTACGGAGATAATGGCCAGAGAAGTGTCAAACTTTGACCGGGGTTACACACTTGTTGATTACAAAATACATATTAAAACTGGCAGGAATATGTGGATTCTGTAATGTTAATAATGTACGTAACATCAAACTAACTTGTGAGTGACGGAAAGCCATAAAATTGAAGTACAAAATACTCGCTCGCCATGTCATAATTGTCCTTAGGTTTCCAAGCAGTATACATAACACATGACTGGCGAGCGATGACGTAACGTGCTGACTGCGCGTTCTGGTATGAGCCAACTACATAAGCACGGCTAGGGAGTATCATCGCACTCAAGGACAAACATAGATAAGGGCTCTCAGCTGAGAGGTACAGCGAGGTACAGTGCTTGGACCTGCCAGAAGACCACACTTTTCTTGGGCCATTATCTCCGTAACCGTTCAACTTTGGACATAGGTGTTTTGGGTTATATCGGCATACTTTAACATAAGGAACACCCTCCCGAAGTTTGGCACATTCCTCCTGGGACACCCTGTATATCTCAGTTCCTTTATACTGGTGAACTTTAGGAAATGAATTAACTTCAGAGTAATAATTATCTCATCCGTGACTTCTATAACTTACAGTTCTGTTGCTAGGTTTGTCGGATTTACTGATGCTAGGTTATCATGAATTCTCTATGACAAATGGAGAGGAGCTAATAACTGCCTAATTTAGGATTTCTTCTTCAGCAGCTTTATGTAAATGAGAAAAACCTGTCATAATATGTTACAAGTTTAACTGAATCTGGGACTCTCACACATGTTGCAATTATAGTAGTCATGACCCACTATAAGTAAAGTGAAAGTAAAGTAAAGGTATCCCTGTAACAAGTTGTAACCCATAGGTTTGTGAGATGTTGAGGTTCCCACATTTTCTAGACAATCGGCTCACAAATGGCGGCAAGGTTGTCAGCCCTACGCGCTGGCTGCCCTTTACCCCCAGGAATATTCCAAGAATTTTCCTGGTACTCATTTCTATTAGAGGCTGAGTCGACCGTAGGGCCATAGTGTGGCTTGAAGGATTAGGTCAATTGAAAAAATCCAATGACATTATTGGGACTTGAACCCACGACATTCCAGCTTGTAGTATAGTGCCCCTAAAGTAAAGGTATCCCTGTAACAGTCCTTGGAGGCCCATAGGATTGTGAGACGTAGAGATTCCCACGTTTTATAGACAATCAGCTCATAGATCCATGATATGTATGTAATGGCCGTCTTGTAGTGCACTCAATTTCATATGTCGCTTCTTGCTACATGTTTCAGCAACATAGTGCCATCTTTAGGTTCGTTATTTACGCTAAGCTATTACATTGTTTGCCATCTTGTGTCTTTCATAAAATTATTTAGAAAGTACATTGTTCGTCAACTATAATAAAATTTGTATATACTAAAACTTATTAAGATATTCAACTATATGTCTAAATTCAAGCTCGAGTATAGTATGGTTCGTCCACTATGGGAGTCGTTTCTGTATATACTGTGTCTGTGATGTGTCCTTCGTTTTTGGCTGCGAGCTCATAGATGGCGGCAAGGTTGTCACCCCTTAGCACCGGCCACCCTTTACCTCCAAGAATATTCTTGGTCCTCTTTTCTGTTAGAGGCTGAGTCGACCTCAAGGCCATAGTGCAGCTGGAAGGATTGAAAAAATCCAATGACCTCATCGGGAATTGAACCCGTGACCTTCCAGCTTGTAGCTTAGTGCCTCAACCAACTACGCTACCGTGTGCCCCATGACCCACTATATTTGACCTAAAATGCTGTCTAGTTTAGTTATAATATAAGAATGGAGTAAACTGAAAATATATTCTAAACAATCATGCTCATCATCTGAATACGCTACAGCTGAGTTGAGAAAATTATATAGGCTTGGATTCAGTTAGCTGCATACCCAAATAGGATGCCTGCTTACCTGCAGTTGTTAATAAATGCAGGGCATCCATATGCCCTTGCTCTGCAGCATAGTGCACCGCACATCTCCCATAAACATCCTGATGGTTCACGTCACAGCGGTGGGGCAACTGGAGAAGAGAACTGGTGCGATCCAGGATGTCAGCATACCAGCGATACAGTGACGCCCATGAATCCTCTTCTTCTCCCTCACTTCCCTTTCCTTTGTCCTCCACTTCCACATCCCACTCCAGCCCATCCATTCCATCGGGTGTCCGGTCATCATTAAGAGCGCCTGCAGATGTCTCATTCTGCACTCCAGCACATGAACCAGCACATTCACTCATACCTTGATTCCAATTCTCATCTACTGCCTGCCTTAAATTCTCACCCTCCATACTACTGGGCGAATGCTGTACACTCCCGTCCTTGTGAACCACAATGAAATATCCCAAATTTTGTTTCTGGCTTGAAGGATTACTTAAATCTGTCACTGTTGAATCTAATTCTAAATCAGAACTCAGACTAACAGAACACTGTTTCCTCACACCTTCAGTATTTTCCAGGCAAGCAGCATCAATATTAATGGTGTTACTTGTCAAATTATCCGTATGTTCAAATACACATTTCTTTGCATTGTTGATGTGAGAGTAATCACGTCTATTCTTCTTACTTCTGTGCTTTAAATGGTGATTTGCCTGGTCTTGTTTGTAGAAGTTTTCAGGAAGAGTAACAGGGACACTACTTGCATCTAGTAATACCTGTAATATGGCCATGTTTCCCATTTGTGCTGCTGTTCCAAGGGGTGTTCTTCCAGATGAGCATACAAAATTTACATTGGCCCCTAAAAGGAAAGTTTAAATATACACAGAAAATAATAATAATATGTACATTCTTGACAAATGGAGACAAAACACACATTTCAGGTGCAATGAAACTTGAATTTTCTCTTTAAAAGGAAGCAAGAATTAATAAACAAATGGAAATTTAACTGTATTTGGTCTACAGGATGGGAAGAATTCAACAGATGTCAACTGCCTGTTATTAACAGCTATAAAACGTAATCTAGCTCAAATCCATATAATTTATAAGACTGCTGCTTCCTTCTTACAACTTCAGGTCTTCAAATCTTTTTATGATATCAAACATTTGTAAATATTAAATAATGAATTACACTTGATTGAATTTGAAAAGAATATATTGTGATGTGGATGGTAGTACCTTAGAGTATCTCAAGGAAGGTTAAATTGTTTGTGAATATAGTTTATGGCAGAGCACTATATATTATTGTGAACTATACCTATCTAAGTAGTCCAGTGATTGAGGCTAGCTCTTTCTAAGGGACCCAACAGAATAGGTGTTTTCCCTCACCTGAGGATGGAAACAGATCCAGTTTCCGAAACGTAGTGTTTTTCTTAGTTATCTTAAAAACCGGGACGATGGATAAAGTCCGAAAACCCAATATCTCTGTGTAAACCTATCTACCTACCTTGGGCCAAGAGACAATTTACACAGTTTGCATCTCCTCTTGACACTGCAGCAAAGAGCTGTTCTTCAAGTGAATCCATTGTTCAGGAATCAACTGGGTAAGAAACACACAGAATTCAATAGCTTTTATGGCAATGCAAGGGATATGTGACATATTAAGTTTGGTCTTCATGTAATATTAGTAACATGTAGAGGCGTACATGACAGCTGTCGCTTTTTTACAAAATGATGAATGAAAGTATATTATTAACGGTCTGAATTATTTTATAATCAGTCTATAATTCCTCCAGGAATCTGGACTTTTTTTTTGCTATTCTTGCAATTAACTGTTCTGCCTCTGCGTGACAGTTTTGGATTGAGACTGTCATGTAAAAATATTCTTACTTTGTATATCTTACCGTCAATTGGTAGCATAGATTTTCTTATTTCGATGCTCTCTCAACAATATAACGTAATATTTCAAGAGCTTTGACGGCTTCGCCAGCCCAAAGCTTTTATTAAATATATCACCAAATTCGGTAGCTGTAAATCGATACGCAAACAGTCAACAATTACGCCAGTATGCCTTATAGCCAACTTCACGCAAAATTAGATGGCTCCTGACGTCCTATTTTTATAAATATATGTACTTTATATTATTTTGGGATTTTAAAACAATTAAATCATTGCTTGTAGTTGTAAATATTTATGTTCACAATTAAAATCAAAGAAGGTTATGAAGACACCGAGTTAAATTACATAGTGACATTTTTTGTCTCTACAACATTGGGTAGCATTCACACCATTCACACGATTCACGCCACCGCTCCACAAATTTTCGGTATGGCGAGGTGATGCCAGCTGTGAAGAATTTTGTAAAGAGAAATGTTGTGTCCAGAAGTGTGGAACTTTTCTCCTCCTGCTAGTAGTTTTAAATTCAAGAGAGGCAGACTTAATGAAGTAAAAACTCAGTGCACTAATTTAATCGACTTCCATTACTTCAATCACTTGGTATGTAATGCCGATTTCGTTTTGTGATGTGAACGACCAGTTTGTAAAGATATATGTATAATTTACGGTACCGGTGTTTTGTTTTCAGGTTTCTGTTGTTTTGCCAGATACAATTAATGTATCAGAGGTAATTACGGACTCACTGAATGATGACTGTGAATATTATGAAGTGGAAGATATTCATGTCAGCCACTTAATCAACAAGGAATTCATTGAAGCATTTGTGAAGAAAGGTACAGCACAGCTTGTTTTTTTATTATATTAGGTGAAGTTATGCATGATGTTGAGATAAACCAGCATTTCTAATAATTGGCTTTTTTTTTTTTTGCATTTTCATGTACATTTTGGTGTTGAGCGTGCATAAGGTTAAAATATGTAATCACAGAATACTCGTTAGGAATTTATGGGTTAACTGTAAACTTGAAATACAGTTTGTGTATTTGGTGAACAGTTTATTACTATTTTTTAATTGTTAACAAATTCAGATCAGTTACTTTGGACAATGTTGAGCATTTGTGCTATCTGTGTTAATGAATACATGATGGAGAGAATGGTGAGTGAGATTTGGGAGATGTCCCTAATGCAACAGGATGCTTAAATACAAAATTGTGTCCTTGGAGCTTTGGCTACTGTTACAATAAAAACAGGTACTTGGCTTATGATGGTCTATGAATCAGCCAGCACTTACTCAGCAGCCTTTACTAAAGACTGCTGATCAGGTTTATGACCAAGGAAGAATTAACTGATAACAGAAATGTTTAGCACATTTACCCTATAATTGGGATGTTTTGTCTTATGTATGTACTCTCAGTTAGCATGCAAAATGGTTTTGCCATAGTTCAGGTAATTAGGTGTTGACTTCTCAACATACAGAAAAGGTTTAATCCCCCAGTCTGTGTAAATGAATTTAATGGTAGACAGCAAGACAGTGAAGTAGATTTATTTTTATGGCAGCACAGAATGTGCTATTGATTTTAAATATGCTGCCAGGAATGGATATTTTTAAGCTCCTGTATTTCAGCATCCTGTTGCAATTGTTCACATTAGCATCCATTTGTCTATAATCTATCTAAATTGAAACACTTTTTATTTTACACTTTGATACACTCTCTAACACTACATGTTTCGGCCTCAAAAGGCCATCTTCAGGTGTTTTTTTTTACAGATATTCAATTGAGATTGTGTCAAAATTGTGTCGAAACTGCTACACTGTTTCACTGTTCCAATTCATTTAAAAAAAACCACACGCTGTAGTCTTCTTTTTAATCGGGATAATATAAAATTCTTTTATAATTTGTTACTTATTGTTTTGCTTCACTCAGGGTGTCGTCATTTCCGTAAAATATAAGATGTTTTCCTTGGCAGCTTCTTCCTCACGTTAGTTATTTTCTCCTGGTTTGTGTTTCCTCCTCAACCTATGGTGTTGTCTTTACTAGTGACTACTGTGAATACTGTTAAATATTCTTTACAAAATTTAAAATATTCTTAACAAAATTTACAGAAATATATATAAATTCACACTACAAAATTTTGCATACTGTGATTGCACTTGTTTGTAAGTTATCATTTATGACTCAGAAATATTTTGCACAGTCAGTTGTTATTTTCCTTTGCAGATAAATTTGATGTAACGAAAGTTACACATGTTTACTGATTTATTACTCAGTTCTTTGGAATTCTGCATTGAAAGGTTTGTCATTCCATCTCAGCAGTTTGTAAGACTTCTTTGTTGGGGTCATTTATAAAGAAATGACTTCAGGATAACCCACAACAACTTGTCGGTCTCACTGACTTTAATGAACAGATTGTTTGTAGGTACAGGCAGATGGCATTACTCTGTATGGGTATTTTCTTTTCTTGAAAGCAGTCTAAAAGAAGCCCATACTTATTTTTCCATACTACACCAGTTTTGTTCTCCAGGAGAGTTGCTTTACATTTGTTAAGATTGTTCATCGTTTAAACGTAAGATACTTTCGATGATTCTTATTGGCATAATAAGCTTTGAATATCTCAGCCATGGCTGCTTTTGNCACATATACACGGTGCCAAATCCCAGAAGACTGCATTCTTCTGTATCTCTATAGTTTCAATATTGTTATGTTTTACAGAGAATATATTTTAATATTCTGACTAGTTGGTCATGATTTGCAAATGCTGGCTATGGCACCTGGCACTGAACATACGTGTATTTATAGAGACTGAGTCAATGCATGTATTGCCTAATATTTATTGATTCATCTGTTTTGAATATAGGACATCTGACAGTCCTGAGCAATGGCACAAATATTGATACAGATGATTGTGTAGCTCTTACACCATCAGGACATCTTTTCCTCACTCTTAACAGACAAACTTATCAAGAACTTGGACTGGAAGGCAGACCTTCATTCTTCTCACGATCAAAACCCAATAGATATGGTAAGAATTCATAAAATATTACTGTGAATATTGAGAAAGATATTTAAATGTAAGATTCTCATTAATAGTTTAGATGTTACCACTAACTGAGCTTACAAATTACAAATGAAGACATACTCAGATTACAGCAGATGTTGGAAGTTGTGTCTGTTGTTATATGGAAAATGTTCATGCTTAGCACTGAGTTTGTCATGGAGTAGCTTAGTTTAGAAGGTTTGCAGTACCAAGTGCTCACTGAGGAGAAATTGGATGAAATCACTGCCAAGCTTGATTATTCTCCACAAAAATCTGTGAGAAACCTTACAGAAGAGATTGGGGTTTAAAGTTTACTGTGTTTCTGGAAGAACAAAATGTTAACTTTTTATGGAGATACCAGGAATAACAATTCCAGCATCTGCTGTAATCTGGGTAAGTTTAAATTTAAAGTCTTAAGTTTCTGGCTTGTCAGTTTGACTAGCAGTCTGAATTTTCATGGCCTGAGTGGTTCAGTGATTTGTGAAAAGTTGCAAGGTGATTGTACCGACACTAATATCCACAGTATTAAAACAAACAAATCTGTGGTACAATGGTATGCTATTTGAAGTAAGATAGGAGGACAGTGCACTAAGTGGCTGATAATGCACTGCATGTGAATTATATTTTAATCTTTTCCTGGAAGTGGTTTGATGAATGAAGAAACAGATTATCTGTTATCGTGACTTACTGCACTTTGTAGTAAAGGTAACCATCCATTATTTATGCAGGGGATTAAAACAGTCTCCATCACATGACAGCACATTCATTCCGCTAGTGCACAAACATATGATACAGGAACTTTCTCCCGCTCCCTTCAAAATTTCTGTGGTTAATAGTTACAGAACATTTTTGGATGTGGGGATGTGGTATGCAGAACTGCTTTAAGTTGATAATAACTATATATATTTGCCATTAGTAATTATTATAGTGATATTGTTAGGAATAAGAGTAAATAAGTAATATTACTATGACATGGATATTATTTTGGTCTTAGAAAGCATATTTCTAAGACTCCTTATTTTCTTTCCAGTTATGGTTTAAGTAAAGATATGGGCATATAAAAACATTTGAAATGCCTAAGAAAAAGCAACCTCTGTCCATGGAGAGCTTGGCTCTTCAGGCAGTTGGACAATTTGTGACAGCTGTTGGTCGGAACATGATTAATCCACTTGTTGATATTGCTCGGCAAGACAGTTTAAGAGGAATGGCTCTCTTACAGAGTAGCTTGGATCGACTCAATGAACTTCTGTATGCTAGTGTACCTTGGTACCTGTATGACCAGATGGCCACCCAAGTGCTTACAGCCATAGCTGCTCTTATACAGGAAACAAAGCAGACATATGTTAATTTTGAACCAATGACAATTTTTATTAATCAAATGAACATAGTTGTGAATCTGACAGAAGTAGCCATTCACCCTCATCTACGACATATAGACTTCTCACTTTGGCCAAAAATAATGCGTCATGTATTGTACAAAAACCTATACAGGATGACAGGTTTGGAAAGGCTGAATCTAGGATCTGGTTCTGGGGGATGGAAAACTTCTGATATTGAGAAGTTGACTGTGTGTGGTGTATCATCCATGAGAAACTTGACGTCACTTTGTTTATGTTTTGACTGCACTGATCATATTCTGTCAGTGGTGGGGCAAAACTGTAGTAAGCTACAGTGTCTTGATGTAACAGCATCACGTTCAGTGACAGACCGAAGTGTCAGCATTCTGGTAAACTGCGTAGAGTTGAGGGAACTTCACCTTTATCGTACCTCAGTCACTGTAGAAGGATATGCAGTTTTACTTAAAGGACTACCACGATTGGAGGATTTGGGTCGTTGTGATGAATTTGGTTTTATATTGGAACATTTACGTTCAACTGAAAGTCATATTGGACCATTTGGATTGAAAATTTTTCAAAGTAGGGATGTCACAACCTATCATTTGAATCTTCTGATTGAGATGTGTCCTCGGGTTACTCATGTCTCCATCTATCATGATGAACGAATTAGTGATCTGACGGTGTTGTCTGCCTTGGATGATTTGTGTGAACTTAAACTTCTCTCTTGTGATTTTTTCACTGACAGGGTGAAACAACTACTGGAAGTGAAAGGCTATAATCTCACTTGGCTTCATTTGGAACATGTGGAAGAGATAGATCTAAATGCATTGATATATATAAGCCAATATTGCCCAAATCTTAAAAAGCTTACATTCTACAACTGTGAGTTCCTGGAGCACACCTCATTATCACTCAAAATGTTATCTGTCCAACCTTTCCGATATCTAGAAAGGGTAATGTGTGTAGCAGAGTGTGCTTTACTTCACCTTGAATTTTTGCTTTCAAACTGCTTCAACATCAGATTCATCCAACTGGGTTCATCCACTGGGATTGGAGATGTCACAATGGCCAAAGTGCTTTCAAAAAACCCCATGAAACACCTTGAAGAGCTGAAGATTTTATACAGTGATAATTTAAGTATGCAAACAGTGCATCTTCTTATGACTCACTGTGACAATCTCAGAGTCCTCTCCGAATTGGAAAGTTGGCAGGGCATCACTGAAGAAGAGCTGACAGAATTTCGCAAAGAATTAAAACAGAACAACTTAGATCTTGACATTCGACCTACTCTTTCCTACACATCGAGCTGAGGTATTGATATGTAGCTGATATCAATCAACAGTAATCTTATTCACAAGCCAAATGTGTAAGATTTTCCATAACAAAGTGTTTTTGCAAAATTATGTATTCACATTTTGAAAATGTAACAGTTCCATATTTTGCATATGTGCTTGTATTTTCTTAACTACAGTACATTTGTAATTTGTTCTTTGATATGCATTTTAAAGTGTAGGACCTAGCTATTGGTGTGAATAGGGTAGATAGACTCTAGTGCATTTGGAAATGTCAATTTTTTTACCTTTCATGGGAATAAAAACACTATGCAAATGAAGTTGTATTGTACATTATAATGAGGGGCTTCAATAAATTGCTGAAACATGTTGGTTTTTTGAAGTCCAGTCTCTGTTCCTCAAATACACCTTGTGTTTAGTAGAATTTAGTCAACATATGGGTGTAAACTGGTAAATCCTGTCAGATTCTCAATTGTTATATTTTAGCAATATTTCATTTTTTTCTTTCCTTTGGTTTGTTTGTAATATGCCATTGTTCATATGTTTATATAAATGCTGCTGAATATGGTCATTGCAAAGTAATGAAAGTCTGAACAAATCAAGTGTCTTGTGTCATAATAATCTCTTTGCTATGGATTGTTTTGTAATCAAGACTGTGATAACAAAATACTTAAAACACATTGTACAAAAATTCTGTATAACAAATAAACAATAAAATAAGTTTTCCCTTGGACCTTACATGCACCTATATCAAATTTCTGAATAATCAGTAAACAATAAAATAGTTGTTTTCCTTGGATCTTGTGTGTACCTGTACAGACTGAAGTTCTCCGTTATTTTTCCATTGTGTGCACATCTTGTTCAAAGGTTCTGTTGTTATAATGTGCGTTTCCAGTTGTGCAATTGGATCTCAAAGAGCAACACTTTGCACCAGGCAAGAAGTTTTATAACAGAGTACAGCAGTGCCTCAGAGAAAACATACAAGTGAAGCAGAATCTGCTAGTAGCATGGGATCCACCAGGTATGTATTTTCACATTTAATTTTTATATACTTGAGAATCAAGGAGCATCATAACTTCAGGATTTTGAAGTGTAATACTTTATCTGCTAGTGCTAGTTTAATGTATGATTTCAGCTTCTGGGGGTATGCCATATAGAATGTCGAAGGTTTTCTAACATTTCGGCAAACACTGCAGTTGCTGTCTTCAGCATTAATGTGTTTTGAAGGTTCTGAAAGTCCTTATAAAGAACTGGCAGTGGGCAATGAGTTGAAGGTGAAGCTGTAATTATTTGAAACAGAGGAGCGGGGTACAACGCAGTATAGCAAGTGTCACGTAACTTTGATCAAGGCCAAGAGTAACCTTGAATGTGCAGAAGAAAAATTTCAGACATGGGGGTGGGTTTGGGGGTGTGAGAAGTGACAGGCGGCCAGTGGAAGAACAAGTGTCAAGAAACTCCTCCCACCACAAGCTATGCGCAGGATTTGATTAGGAATGTGGGGCCTTGTTCGAAGTTATGTGACACTGTCTATACATAGTGATGACGTAGTTAATGGAAAAACATGATGAAAAAATGTTTTGCAATTCATGTGAACTTCAGGGTTGTAAAGCCATTCTGCTTACTGCTTGTTTGGCCTACTTTTTGACTGAAGATCGAGGCAGCACATCAGTAAACTTCTACAGGACTAAATGGTATGACATCCCAGATGATAGTCCTCTGTAAAGTGGTTAATATTTTACTTTTTTTTTTTGACAAAAAAATCTGTTTGCAGTAGTCACTTTAGCTTGTTCCAGAATTTTGTAAACAGTTTCTCTGATCTTTCATAGTGGTATGAAGTGTCTTATATGTGGCGAGTGCTAGTTTTATAACAGTGACAATGTTTTGAATAGTTTAACTCCACTGGAAGTAAAAATCTGGGAAAAATATGGTTTAAACTGTATGTTAAATTACTGTAAATTAGAGACATTTTGAAAGCTGGTTCTTTTTTTAAGAAAGGATACTTAACTCTGAAATAAATGGTGTAGGTGCATTATGTACTTTCATTTCTTCATGTAAAATTCAGGTTGACAATAAGGTTATGAGAGGCCTGTTAAATGTTGCAATACTATTACCATGAGGCCAATATTTTGTAGTTTATTTAACAATGCTCTCAGTAAGCAGTCATGACCTAACTCATGGTACTACTCTGGAATTTTCCTGGAAAAAATGAGGAAAACCATGAAAAATTTCAGTCAAGATATTGTGTCCCAGTGAAGATTTGAGCCGGATACATTCTGGATATCAGTCAGTAGCATTACTGCTGAGCCAACTTGCTCAGTCATAAGACTAATAAATATTCTGAATGTCATGTGACCTGTTGTTTTGGCTGTTGATAACATTCTTTCAGATCCTATGGAGTCAAACCTGGAGACCCATTCTAAATTCCAAACTGTCTAAATACAGTAGACATGCAAAACACAGAGTTTAATAGTTCTGATTTCATACAAAGTTGACAGTTATAAAATACAATTTTATATAAACTGGGCTGTCTTGAGTCTAGTGGATAACTGGATGTATGGGATTAGGTGAATGTCTGGTTCTGACTTTATTTCACTTTATTTATTTCTTAAATGGAAATTTCTAGCAGCTGAGAGAGGAATGTTGGAGCTTGTAGCAACTGTACAGATAAGTTATAGTAGTAAAGAAAGTGCCAATACAGTATGTAAATCAGTGCTCCTTATAATTATGTGTATGTTTATTTTGACAGAAGAGAAAATATGTCCTTCGTCGATTGCTGCATACTTTTCGTCACAAGGCCATAAGGTATCACTCTGTCAGCCTCGATTCTCCAAGCAGGTTTTGTACAATGTGAAGGTTCCAGAGTATTTTCCAGATGATGGTGATGATAATAGTGCTTTAGAACTTATAGAGTGGCTAGGAGCTTTCAGTATTGGAGCTGATCTGTGAGTATGATTCATTCTTAGGTTACAATATTTACCAGACTATGAGATACATCCAGGTTTGAGAGGAAACATTTTAGTAGGAAGGCCTGCTATGCATTTGGACTATAAGACACAGATTTTAGCCAGCATTTTGAAGGAAAAACTGGGTCTTATACTTTGGGGAATAGAGTAATATGTACGTACAATCATATATATAAACTACTGGAGTAATGTGGTTTGCATTTAAATGTTTACAATTTGGCTATTACAGGAACTCTGGAGCTCCAGATAATTTTGTAAATATGTATCAGTGCCCTCTTCAAACAAAAGAAGTTGGTGCCACTGTACACATGCAATGGACAGGATACTTCACATACAGTCAGATTCACAGACTGTTTGATGAACTGAGGTACGCTCTATAACTTACTGAGGAAATGGAATCAGATTTGAACTGATGCCACAAACTGCATTTGTCTTTACCAATATCAAATTACATAAAAAGTCTAATGTGTTGTGGAATATTATTGAAGCTTCCACGAGTTTTGCTTTCTATTTGTAGTTTATAAATTGTAAGTTTATCAACCAAATATAAGCTGTTCATTAAAAATGCACATCAACTCACATGAAGATGGACAGCCTAACATACAGGAGGGACTGCAGGAAATATATAGTGAAGACAGAGAAGGCTTTATGAGTCCTGTACTTGCAGTGATGTTAGGAGTGTGTCCATTAGTGATAGTGTTATAGTTATTTGTAGTTACGACTTGTAAGTAGTCAATAAATCCAATCCACAACCCTGTTGATAGTCACTCAAAATCGTGACAATATGTTTGTTTTCTTTAAATCTTGCATTTATATGATAAGATGGGGCACGCGGTAGCGTAGTTGGTTGAGGCACTATGCTACAAGCCGGAAGGACATGGGTTCAAGTCCCGATGAGGTCAGTGGATTTTTTCAATTGACCTAATCCTTCCAGCCGCACTATGGTCCTGCAGTCGACTCAGCCTCTAACAGAAATGAGTACCAGGAATTAATTAAATAATTTTCCTAGGGAGTAAAGCGCAGCTGGCATGTAATTCTGACAACCTTACCACCATCTTTGAGCCAATTGTCTAGATATGTGGGACCTTTAACATCTCACAGCCCTATGGGCCTTCACGGCCTGTTACAGGGATAGCTTTACTTTTACTTTACTTATATGATAAAATAATCTGCAACATATATTTTCATTTGTGAAAAATTCGTTCTAATAGATCCCATTTATTAAATTTCCAGGAGAAATATTTTTCTGTGCTTTAATTGAGAAACGATAATTTAAATAAGTCTTGCTATTTTTTCCTCCTCTAGGCAATATGTGTCACAAAGAACAAGCATTCCTTGGGTCAGCCTGTATGTGCAAGGTTTTGCCGACAGTCCTGTTAGTTGGGGTCTCAAAGAACACCAATTCTACTCAAATGGTGACAACAACTATGTCCTCTTTCTGAGCCCCACAGGCAGTTACTTAGCATGTTCCTACATAAGCTCTAACAAAAGACCTAAGAGTAAAACAAAGAAATGAACTAAAATGCTGTGTAATGGATGTATTTTAATACAGTGATACAGAGATATAGTTACACTTGAAGTCTGTTTTTATTCAACATTACTTCCTCTTCTTCCCTTTGCGCCTGGTATCACTGGGATTCCTCATCACAGATTTGATATCTGTAGTTCGAATTCCAAGCATTGCCGATCTTGAGCTGACATCTCTCATTACAAAAGGTGAAAAACCTGAAATGGAAATATTGAAAATACTGAGATCATACACTGAACATAATATACTGTAACATGTATACCCACTGCTAGGCAACAGCGTGGTAAATGCTTTCCGCGACGATGAATACTTCTATTGCTAGGCAATGGCACAGTAAACATGCCTTTGCAACAACATAGGAAGCGGTGTTTTCTGTGTGGTCCATGCCACGCATCGTCACATGATGTGTTATCTGTTGGTCCTTGCTGCATCTATATGAGGGAGTCAGTTTGAAGGAACAACAGAATCCAGAGATTAGAGAATTAAAATTGGGAGTTCAGAAGCTGTAGGTGTACAGAACCGTTGTTGGAAGAGAATTGGGTTGAGTCTTTGGAATTGGCAAGAGGGGAATTAGACTGCGCTAAGAGACGTGTGTGAAAGTGAGACTGTGATAAATCTGTTGCCAGGATACAACTAGTGAAGACTCAAAGAGTCATAGTGTGTGTGCAAAGGTGAACTGAAAGTGCGTAGAATAGTGACAGCACTATAATTGTGTGTAGTCATGAAGTTTGTAAAGGTACAAATCCAATCATCCAATCCAGAATCTGTTATTATTAGTCATGCAAAACTGGAATATGTGACAATATATTAGTTAAAAACACTCCATTATATGGAAGTGTCCAGCTATTGGACTGTTAATACAGTATCTGATATGAAGTTTCTCTATTTTGGAAAAATGGAAGAAAACATATTTTTTTATATTAGATGAATTCCATTTAAAATATTACATTCTAAAAACACAGAGAAGGAAACCATTAGGAGTACAGATTGGCTACAGACAATCTCAGCTAAAGCTACTGAAACAAACCTGCTATGTAGTCTGGATCTAGAGGATTGTTCTTTGTACGGGCAAGCCTTGAAGGTCGCTGGTCTGGAACACGTTGGTCTTCACACAGTATAGGGTTGTTGGCATGTTTTCCTCCTTTTGGTGTTGGAAGTGAGAACTGAAATGTACAATATAAGATTTTGCTTTATTCTGTCTGCATACATAATGTTAGTCTAATTCAATCTGCAGATGCACTTCAAACTCTGATCACCTATCACCAATGGACCACTGTCCATATCTTAGTGAAGACTCTTTTTGACTGTTCTTTTTTGTTCAATTTTAACACCTGTATAAGTAGTGTATTACCACCATTTGTTTTTGGATACTGCTGATATGTGGAAGGCTTCCTTAGCAACAGAATTATCTGAAACTGAGTAAAGTGAAAGTTCTAGGAAGAATGTCTGAGCCTGCTATCTTTAAAATAATTTCAACTGTAGAGGGATTGAGTGGATATTAGAAATAAATGACTATACAACTGTTATCATTTATTCACATACCATTGCCTCAAAGATGATAAGACTATAAATGAGGTACTGACAGAAAGATCACACTGATAAGACAGGACTGGAACCTTATCACTCATGGCAACAGTGATTCTGCTAGGATCTTACTTACTTACTTAGTCACTCATGGAGCTGAGCCCTTCTTGAGGAGCTGCTAATTCTGCAGCTACTCAAGAATTTCCCAGCATTTTATGGAACCCGAAGGTTCATTACCGTGTTCACAAGAGCCCTCCACTGGTCCCTATCCTGAGCCAGATCAATCCAATCCATCCCATCCCATCCTATCTCTCTAAGATCCATTCTAATATTGTCCACCCACCTATACCTTGGTCTTCCCTGTGGTCTCTTTCCTTCTGGTTTTCCCACCAATATCCTATACACATTCCTCGTCTCCCCCATTCGTGCTACATGACCTGCCCACCTCATCCTCCTTGAGATTCTGCTAGTATCAGTGTTTATATTTCATAGCAGGAAAGCTTGTAACCGTACGTCCCTTGCTAAAATTATTTAATTGAGGGCATGACCAATCTATATATTGTTTTCACACTCAGAGAGCTGCTACTCTGGTGAGGTACCATCCCGAGACTGTCTAGCTGTAATTCAACATTGTCCTCCTTGGGTTTATGGTGCCTCTATGGTCATTAACATTGCCAGTTTGCTTCTCGTTTTATAAAGCCATAGGTTGACATTGTGCAAGACTGGCCAGTAGGGGTCTGGATTTCCCTGCTCATGTGCCTTGGAGACCTGAAAAGGTTTATGATGGACATCTCGGAAAGAAACGAATGTGGGATAGTTGCCAGGCTTGACTCTTGGCTTTCTCTTGTTTTTCAGTAATGACCACTGGGGGACTTCTAAAAAAGGAGGGAGTTTAAATGTAGACGCAGAACAGGGAGGTTTCCTATTGACAGTCGGGGTTAGCAAGTGGAGTGTGTATGACCAGCGAGCTGAGGGTGAATTGGTGTGAATAAAAGTAATGAGGATGACTGGAGTAATGAGTGAGAGACAAGCTTGAAGGAGGGATAATGTGAAGGTTGACAGTCACTATACACAATTTTAATTTAAAACAGTAATACACGGTGCTGGTTCTGGAGACCTCGTAATTCATTAACTCCTAAGTGTGTTCCCCTTCCGGTATCCGAAGCCCCTGTATCCCTGAGACAAAGGTCTCATCTTGAGGGATAGTCGTGGCATTTGTACGTTGGCGGTCAGCTACAAGCTTAATAAAGGTCTGTAAAGAGCATAATAAACAGTTGCAGTGCCATAACTGGCACAGACTGGCTATGAATAGCAACAGTTATGTGACGTTAACCGGACTGTGGGCTGGCCAATGGCAGATCAAGGGTTAACGTCCTTGATCTCACCACTGTAACAATACTAGGTCACCTATACAAACCACTTACTCCTTCCTCATACTGCAACATAAAGTGCTATAATGGTTGGTACTTGCATCAACTCACCCTCTTTCCTCGCCCTGAAAGTCGTTTTCTTGAGGAGATATGTATCACCTGAGTACCATCTTCGCTTAAAGATACTGCCACCTTCTTCAGAGTTCTATTACCACAGTTTGGACAAAATACTTTAGTCATGATACTTGTTGTCTTGAAGCAAGCATAGCATCTTAAAATGAAACTTCGTAATTGTTGGATCTGACGACCATCTACTGACAGCACACTGAGTCCAATTTGCTTCAAAACATTCTAAAATAAAGTTAAAATAAATAAATAAAAAGTTACCATAAAACAATCTGAAGGCCTTTCCTGAACCTATACTTTATGCAATATTACTTTAGTTTTTATTTAGCAGGTTCATAGTGAAACAGATACTTCAGCTGAGGTGCTTTTTCTATCAGAATATGAGTAAAATATGGGCATAGTAGTAGTTTACACAAGGATCCATAAAAACTTGGAACCTGATCACAGTCCTGGACAGAATGGCCCTGCTTTTGAAATGGATGTCACGATTTATGAGGATCTCTCTAACTTCTATGAACTAAAAATAATTTCTTTAGCTTACTTGCATTGCGAAGTCAGATGTGATACAAGCAACTTTCACTGGTTTGTCATCTACTTCAGAATTAACTTCTTGCTTCTTAAGAGCAATATTCTGGGGTGTAATCCAACCAGAGTCATTGTCTTCATCTTCAGATGCACAGTCATCAGAGCTGTCTGCATTAATATTTTCATTACCTTCCACTTCATCATCACTGGTTAGATCATTTGTGTCATCTTTAATTGGGATTAGTATATCATTAATAGTTTCCTCATCAGTTTTGGTACAGGCCAGAGAAGTCAACTCTCCCAACAGATCATTTATTTCTGTATCACATGATTCACCATTTCCACTGGCGTCCTACAACATAAGTAATTAGAAGATTACGGGATGTTATCTATGTTGCTATTTTTAAATGCCATCAGGGGAGATATGAATTTTGTGCATAAAAATTGAAGCCAGTTCTTAAATTAATATAAATGAAGTTCTATGAGAATTATGCAGATTGGGAATGTACACAGAGTGTAACATTCCAGAGCATTCACTATTATAGTATGCGCCAAAAACTGCAGTACTGAAACTTGTGCTTCTTGAACGCGCGTGTGCGTATGTCGATGGGGCATAGCTCCAGCCGCACGTGTTCCCAGTAGTGAAGAGGAAGTTGTGTTGTGCAGTTGTTGGAAATGGGTCTCTCGATGGAGGAAAAAGTATTCACAGTTGAGTATTATTTCCGCTCATATGGAAGTGGTCGCCAGACAACTTGCTTCCTTGGTTCTGAGTGGCCAGAAACCGCTACATAGTACACGTGTAACAGTATGGTGTGCTGTCTCAGCACACAGTATATTAGGCCCCTATTTCATTGAGGATGAGGAAGGCAATGCTCTTACCATCACCCAAGAACGCTACAGGGACATGGTGATCGGACCATTTCTTCAGGATTTGAGAAGGTTCTGTCGTGCAAAGGGCCTTCACATGAATAGACAGTGGTATCAACAGGACGTCTTTTCATTTCAATACTGTACATTTTGGTGTATGCTGTACTTTCGATGTTCCATAGTAATCAGCATAAAAGTGACAATTTCAAGAGTGCATTTTAAACATGTCCTTCCACAAAACAAACATATCAGGGCTGAAAACATAAACTATAAACACACGCAAAAAAAAAAAACAATACTTTTGTTTTTCCTTGTAATCTTTTATTGAAACAACTGAAACATTTATTTCTGTGTAGCATGATCGATTATAATCAAGAATAAGAAACCTCAGTGGCATGGTCAATTATGTTCTGATTAAATATATATTTTATATATGTAGATCTAAAAATGGAAGAGTAAGGAAGTTCTGTATAATTATCACTGAGAAGAAGAGACCAGTAATCTGTATGTCTTCAGAAAATCACTGTTCTTGTGTGTGTGAGAAGGCTGCCAATGGGTGTTGAATATACAAGTTTGAAATATATGCACAGTCTCTCTTGTGAAGTGGGTAGATTAGCGATAGTGCTATAATTTATTGTGATAATGAGTGACTGTAAAAGGTGTTAATAAATCCAATCATTCAATACAAAACCCTATCTTATAAGTCACCCATACACGTGACAGTATTTAAAAAGCTATGCATGTGATACTTGCAGTAATGCATGTAGGTCTTCATCTAAAGTGATCATTACTTTTGTCCAGTTTTAACTGAACTGCAATGCATTGACAAATTTTAGCAACCTCCCTGATAAATTTAATAAAAATCGACTTACGGATTCTGAAGTTGTTTCAAGCATACATAGATAGATGGACAAAACAAATTTAATAGGGCTAAAGCAAATTTAATAGGCACACTGCTGAGTCTCAAACACTCATTATATTGAAGGTGGGTCTTTTGATAACTATTTTTGGATTTGATGTCGTAATAAAAAAGGATCATAATGAAATACACATACAAGAAATGGAAAATACAGTGAAATACAAGGGAAGATAAATTTTGGTCAGCTGAATGCAGAGAAGACTGGAGATATAAACTACAAAGTTCACAGTATATAATCTCATTTTTGTTGTAAAACATCACTAAATAATTTTATACATACCATCTTGCCTGGAGAATAAAAACCTGCAGTGATTTTAGCATCATGAGGCAAATGATGTGTAAATGATACTAAACGATTAATCTGGGGTTCATTTTTCAAGTGATCTGTTCCAACTTTCTCTTTTTCAAGTTGATAAGTAAGTGCCATAACTTTGATGTCAGTTGCTGATAGACTTGGATAATCACCAGTTTTCTTAGAAAATTCTGTAACTGTAAATATACACGCATATTTATTATCTTAATATTAACATTTTGTGGCCCTAATTCATCTGGCCTATGATATGGTTCAATAGTGGACTTTCTTGAACATGGCAATTAAATGAGTTCAGTTCACTATGCAACTTGGTGCAATTTCACACGTGAGTGGAAATGACCAGCAGTATTTAAAAAAGAAAGTTTTATGTGAATGGCTTTAACAAATGTCTATTGACACTGAGTCTTAACTAACTGTTCATGGAGCTGAGCCCTTCTTTAGAAGCCACCAGTTGTGCAGCTACTCAAGAAATTCCCAACATGTTCTGAAACCTGAAGGTTCATTACCTTATTCACAAGAGCCCTCCATTGTTTCCTGTCCTCAGCCAGATCAATCCAGTCCATACCACCCCATCCTATCTCTCTAAGATTAACATTATCCATCCACTTACATCTTGGTCTTCCTAGTGGTCTCTTTCCTTCTGGCTTTTCCACCAATATTCTATATGCAGTTATCTTCTTCCTATTCGTGCTACGTGCCCTGCCCATCTAATCCTGCTTGACTTGACAATTCTAGATAATTACACTTGGCAAAGAGTATAAATTATGACGTTCCTCATTATGCAGTTCTCTTGAACCTCCCATCACTTCTCTCTTCGGCCAAAATATACTCAGCACCTTGTTCTCAAACACCCTCAGTCTATGTTCTTCCCTTAATGTCAGAGACCACTTTTCACACTCATACAGAACCATGGGCAAAATTATAGTTTTGTACATTCTAATTTTTACATTTTCAGACAGCAAAGAGGTCAAAAGGTTCTGGACTGAATGGTAGCAAGCATTACCTGAATTCAATTTCCTCCTGAATCAAATTTTGATTTGTTACTGTTCTGAACTATCTGAATGGTGCCACATTCTTAAAGGATCTGTTATATATCTTCATGTCATGATTTTGCCCTGCACACTAGTGATGAGAGAGCAACATATATTTAATTTTCTCTGCGTTTATTTCTAGACCAACCTCCTTACTTGCATCGATTAGTTTCTGTGTTTTTCTTTATCTCCCAGTACATTCACATTATTGGTGTATACCAGCAGCTGAAGTGTCCCATTTAATTTCAGTCCCACCCGGTTTTCCTGGACCTTCCTAACGGCATATTCTAAAGCAAAGTTGAAAACAGTGGAGATAAAGCATCTCCTTGTCTTAGACGATTTTGGTTACATTGAGCTTTAGTTCCATTTGTTACTGTACTGTACTGTACTGTACTGTATTCAGGAGGAACACGCTGCCTCCATCTTCAGTTCTATTCCCCCTCTTGTGGGTCCAAGTGACTACCTTCTTAGCAACCTACCTATATAATCTTACCTTCTTAGCAACCTACCTATATAATCTAACTGTATTCATAACCTACCCACATTTCAACCATGTAGATGGTGACATCATGTTCTTCTGAAACACTGACATCCACCTAGAAGTTTACATGGCATCCAAACTCCCATGATTTGTTGACAACACAAGTTTCAAATTCTTCTTCTTCTACTTCTAGGTAGGAGCGGGTCTATGTCAGGGGTGGGAAAATTACAGCCTGTGAGCTGGATCTGAGCTATGAGTTTTTTTGTCCAGCCTACTGAGCTACTGTGCAAATGTGACTATTATTATTTTTAATTCATACACATATTTTTAAAATTTCTCAAGCAATATATTTTCCCATAGGAATGTAAGAAGTGAAGTTTGCAGTGGAAACCATTTATTCTGTAACTAAATTATAAAGGGTTCTGATGATGGCGCATGACACTCAGGATTACAGGGTTCTTGGACTTTGTCCATCATTCAATATTCTAAAGACCACTTAAGAACATAACATTCTGGAAAATGGATGTTTCCATCCTCAGGTGAGGGGATGCGAGACACCTCTGTTGGGTTCACTAGAAACACTTCACCTCTGGTGATTGAGGTTAGCTCTTTCTAACACCCAACAGAACAAGTAACTCCCAGCTCCTCAATTGAGGATGAAAACAGAACCAGTTTTCAAAATACTGTGTTCTTTAGAACACTGGATGAAGTCTAAAATCGCAGTAATCCTAATTTATCACCTAGTTTTTGTCCGACACCATTCCTGAGATATGGCTCAGCAAAATACTTTAAATTCCTAATATGGCCCTACGGCTATAAGTTTGCCCATTTCAAAGGCTAAGTGAACTCTCCAATTCATGAGTTACAATCATATAAAATTGATAACACTATGAATCTCATTTGGAAAACATTACTGCCAGTCATAATTAACTCAGCCTTCATTCAAGCATAGTCAGCAACATAAGTGTCTGTGTAGGTTTGGGGTTTAGAGTGTCACCAGCTCTGTCAACAGGCTGGTTCGATGTAGCAATTCCAAGCACAAAAGTTCTTTATAAAAGTTTCAGAAAGTACAGAAATAAAATTTATGAAAGGTTGGTTTTGCATTAGATTTACTGGGTAAGGAATGGGCTCAAGATACTGTACTCTTTTGTGGCATATTACATAATTTTTTACTGAGGGTACGCATGGCTGAAGGACTCAGTAAATGTGAAAATTCTCTCATGTGACATCCACTTCTCCCTAGTTTTACTTTGACTGTTGAAAACGTCTTCTGCGACGTCAAGTACTCACTGTATTGTACATTTTCTTGAAACACAGGTTTTATTTGAAGGTCATACGGAAGAACTACTAGTCTTCTTATTTGTCGTTTGCTAGTAATCTCATTGACAACTTCCTCTACCGTTGCAATCTGAGTACCAAGCTCCTGAAAATGCAGTATCACATCATATCTGGAACTCTGTTTATCTCCACAACTGTTTATCGGAAAAACCCGTGAATATGACTGATACTTACTTGAAGTGCAGCATTATTTATAAAAGCAGTTGTATCAACTACTAAAATATCCACCTTTGGGCTCATTGTAATATTACAAACACGTTCCTACAAAGTATATAACAACGAGCACTAACCTCTTTACATCACCATACCACGTACGACCACGCGCACGACCATTTCGAGAGATCTCGAACGATTTCGAATAACCACTACGCTAGCGACCGTAGCGACTGGTACACCAGACAATGAACCAAGCTCAGTCGTCTTCTGCTCATACCACTGCTTCTATCTATACATTCAGTTGACTGACTAGGTAACTCATCTCTCTTTCACTTGCTACTAGTCACAATCGATTAAAATAGTTTGAGATAACAGTGTTTTTGTTGAGTATGGATTTTGATTTGTTGTCGTTGTTGGTTGTTGAGAAACATGAGTTGACGTTCGCGAACGAAGTTACGTCTCCATCTTATTCCGGTATATGAATGGTATGGTTATTACGTAAAATTAAATTAGAGATACATGAAACTATTCCTGTAACATCTTAGTGAGATACAATGGGATGGTATGGATTGGATTGATCTGGCCCAGGATTGGGACCAGTTGAGGGCTCTTGTGGATACGGTAATGAACCTTCGGGTTCCATATAATGCCGGGAAATTCTTGAGTAGTTGCGCAATTCGTGGCATCTGAAGAAGGGCTCAGCTCGATGAATGAGTGAGTATCCCTGTAACAGACTGTGAACGCCCATTGGGTTGTGAGACGTCGAGGTTCATACACCTTTTCTAGACAGTCGGCTCACAGATGGCAGTAAGTTTCTCAGTCTTACGCACGGGCCCCCGCAAACCCTCGCAGAAAGATATCTGGTACTCATTTCTGTCAGTTGCTGAATATCTGCCAGAACATTTCACGGGAATTGTCCACAATGGCTCACAAAACTTATTATTATAACGTATGTACTTCAACAATGCGTTCACTGACACCCAGAGCAGTGAACACTGCTCGGAACTGACGCACCTGGCCGTTGGATCTTTATGCCCCCCCCCCCAAAGAAAAACAACGAGTGTACCATACTACGTGGAGCACACAATCACGTTCACATGTGTATGTTGCTCAAGGCGACAGATTGCGATAGCTCAGTCGGTATAGCGACAGCCAAGGGGCTCCACGGCCGTGTTTTGATTTTTCGGCCATGCTAGGAAATTATTCTTTCCTCCACAGCGTCCAGACCTGCTCTGAGTACCACCCAACCTCCTCACCAATGGGTACCGCGGCCCCTTACCCTGGAGTTAGAGCGGCCCGGGTGTGACGCTGAGCAAGAATGATGGAACTATACCTCCACACACCACACGTTTTCATGGCGTGGTGCTTAATTAATTAAGCACACGGAGAACTTCACGTTTCCTTTACTTATCTATTTACATACATATTTATTAATTTATTTCCTTACCATCTTTTTACAAGTATATTTACTTTTCTGTTTATACCCTAATTTAATTACTAATTTGTTTATTTAATTGCTTATGTAGCTATTCATTTACTTATTTATTTAATTAATTCTTTACTTATTTACGTTTTTATTTACGTGTTTGTTTACTTAGGTCGAATATGCTTGACGTGAAGTTTGAAAATGCTGTTCAGACAAACAAACCAATCAGTGGCAATACTAATTTGGAGTTGCGTACAACTACAAAAGAGCTCTCTTACCATTGTCGTTCTGCATTCCCAGTTGCTGCACAGAACCGTCATCGTTCGCCATCTGCCGTGATAATGATGAATCAACAGCGCTCGCCACGCACACCACAGTGTAACACACATCCATATGAAGAAAAATTTTAAACGATATATCGAAATGCTTCATACTCGACTATCGACTTAGCTAGAACATAACGTAATATGTACATAGCGTAGATGAGTTCGAAGTCGTCGAGGTGGTGTTTCTGTGTTGGGAATATAGTCCGGAGGATACAATGCTGAAGAACTAAATTAACACCAAATTGGATGTAAACTAAAGCTAAGTCTCCTTGAGAAATATCAGTATTTTTACAAGTTGTATTACACAATGCTTTTAACGATGTTACATTGATTACCGTTAAGTCCACACATAGATGAAATTACTGGGGATCATCAGTGTGGGTTCCGACGTAACAGATCAACTACAGATCAGATCTTTGCATTCGTCAGATATTGGAGAAAAAAATGGGAGTACAGTGAGACAGTACATCAGCTACTTGTAGACGTCAAGAAAGCCTATGATTCAGTTAGGAGGGAAGTATTGTACAACATTCTGAGAGAGTTGGCCGCGCCATAGCTCAAGCGGTTAGTCGCTGGCTTCCCACCGCCGCGGCCCTGGTTCGATCCCGGCGTCTGGTCAAGTGGGATTTGTGGTGAACAAAGTGGCGCTGGGGCGGGTTTTCTCCGAGTACTTAGGTTTCTCCTGTCAACCAAATTCTCGATCATCATAATCACTCGGGGCTACAATAGGCCAATCAGTGGACGCCGTGCCGAGTGGACCCAGTTTGACTCCACCCCTCAATAAGCGAATTAAAAAAAATCTATNAGTTAGGAGGGAAGTATTGTACAACATTCTGAGAGAGTTGGCCGCGCCATAGCTCAAGCGGTTAGTCGCTGGCTTCCCACCGCCGCGGCCCTGGTTCGATCCCGGCGTCTGGTCAAGTGGGATTTGTGGTGAACAAAGTGGCGCTGGGGCGGGTTTTCTCCGAGTACTTAGGTTTCTCCTGTCAACCAAATTCTCGATCATCATAATCACTCGGGGCTACAATAGGCCAATCAGTGGACGCCGTGCCGAGTGGACCCAGTTTGACTCCACCCCTCAATAAGCGAATTAAAAAAAATCTATTAGAGTTTGGGATACCCATGAAACTAGTTTAGCTGATTAAAATGTGTTTAAACGAAACGTATAGTAAAGTCCGTATAAGTAAACATTTGTCTGATAAATTTCATATCCAGAATGGTCTAAGGCAAGGAGATGCTTTATCGCCACTCCTTTTCAACTTTGCTTTAGATTATGCCATTAGGATGGTCCAGGAAAACCAGGTGGGACTGAAATTAAACGGGACACATCAGCTATTGGCCTTTGCCCATGAAATGAATCTACTGGGTGATAATATAGATACCACAAAGAGAAACACATAAACTTTAATTGACGCAAGCAAGGAGGTTGACCTAGAAGTAAACACAGAGAAATTATATGTTG